CCGATTCCCCCCGACCTTCTTTTATGAAATAAGATACCATAGGTGATCCATTTTGAATATGGGGCCTAGTACTTGGGGTTAAGGGTTTATCTTCCGGAACCCATTTATCAATGAATGCTCGGGTTCTATGACCATTACCTATTTGCCATCTTAGTCCTTGTAGGAGTAGATCTCTTCCAAAGAGTAGACTTCTCCACCCCCACGAAGGGTTTGAACCAATTGATGCTTCCAACACCGAGCATTGAGTAAAGTAGCGACCCTTATATATTTGGGAGATTAATGAATTTGGATTGGTCCATATCCTCCAACATTGTTTAGCTAACAACGCTTGGTTGAAGGCTTCAAAATCCCTGAATCCAAGACCTCCATGGAACTTACTGTGAGCTAGGCTTTTCCAAGACAACCAGTGAATTGGGTGTTCTGAATTTTGCGACGTACCCCACCAAAATTTTGCGATATGACTGTTTAATCGCCTACAATTTTCCTTGGGGAGCTTGAAGCATGACATACCTAGTACTGGTATATTAGTGGCCGAAGTTCTAATAAGAATGTCTTTCCCAGCTTTCGAAAGTGATCGCTGTTTCCACCCTTGTAGTTTCTTAATAAGCTTCTCTTCCATAAACTGAAACGTCACTCTTTTTGATTTAGATAAGATGGCTGGTAATCCTAAATAGGAGTCATGCTCTCCTATTGTACCAACACCCAATTGGGCTCCCATAAATTGAGCTTGAGAAGGGTCTGTATTGTGACTGAAAAGGACGGCTGATTTGTTTAAGTTTATTCGTTGGCCGCTCAGATCCTCATAGGCCTGAAGAAGAGTGAGGAGAGATGTACAATACTCCGGCGAGGCGGATAAGAATAGGTATGAGTCGTCCGCAAAAAATAGATGTGAAATTATCGGACAACTAGGGCGGATTCTGATTCCTTCAAGGAATCCTGCGGAGGTAGCTTTCCTTATCATACTAGAAAATCCTTATGCACAGATGGCGAAAAGGAGAGACGATAATGGATCTCCTTGTCTTAGTCCTCTTGAAGGTCTAAAATATTCTGATGGGGAACCATTAATGAGAATCGAGTATGACACTGTGGTGACGCACTCTTTTACCCAAGAGATGAATCTAGGATGTATACCAAGAATCCTCATCATTTCGAACAAGAAAGGCCATTCTATACGATCATATGCTTTCTCCATATCTAACTTCACTGCCATCCACCTTTTTTTCTTGGATTTTGAGGTTTTGAGATGGTGAATCATTTCATGGCTGATCAGGATGTTATCAGATATTTGACGCCCTTTGATAAACCCGTTTTGTGTTTCGGAAATGATCCTGGGTAACACTCTACTCAATCTATCTGCCAAAAATTTTGCTATGACTTTGTAAATCACTTGGCAAAGGCTGATTGGCCTTAGGTTTTTCATGGTTCTTACGTTGTTTACCTTGGGGATTAGAGATATCCAAGTACGGTTGAAAGACCTTAGTAAATGCCCAGAATGGAAAAAAGCCAATACTGCTTGGATCACATCTTGATTGATTAACTCCCAATAATTCTGATAGAAACCTGCCGTGAATCCATCAGGGCCTGGGGCTTGTGTTTTGCCTATGCTGAATACCGCTTTCTTAATTTCTTCTTGAGTTATTGGAGCAATTAGACTTTGATTCTGGACCTCATCCACTGTTTTTTCTACTGGGAGGTGGGATAAGTCAATTGTGGACATACATTGCGTTAGAAAGAGGTCTTTATAGTAATCCACCGCAATGTTCAATTTCTCGTGTTCTGCAGTACACCACGACCCTTGGGAATTTTCCAGACCCCAAATTGTATTGGCTTGTCGTCTAGCTGCGGTGACTATATGGAAATAAGCGGTATTTTGATCCCCACCTTGTAGCCAATTAGTTCGAGATTTTTGTCTCCAAAATATTTCTTCCCGGTTATATTGGACTATCAATTCTTTTTCCAATGATTTGACTAAGGCCCAGTTTACCAAAGCACTAGATCTAGCCTCTGTTAGTGCGCGGTTTAGGTCGTTTATTAACCTTGCTGAGTTAGACGTTCCTCCTCTAGACCAACCAACCAACGCATGTCTAGTTCGCAGAAGCTTACTAAATAGGCAGTATTGAATTGAGCCTGCTACCTCTAGATTCCAAGCATAAGTGATTATTAACTCGGCTTCCGGCATTTGGATCCACCTGAGATCAAAACGAAATAGTCTCTTTGCTTTAGCCATCCTAGGATGTGTCTGCAAGAAAAGTAACCTATGATCTGATCCTATGTCTGTGAGATGATATGTGCTCGTCGAGGGCCAGATACTCATCCAGGATGTAGAGACGAAGACTCTATCAATTTTTTGTTCAATCGTCACTCCATTCCTTCCCCGATTTGTCCAGGTGAATTTCGGACCTTGGGAGTTTGGTTCAAATAGACCTAAGAGATTGACAAAGTCCCACAGTGGACGGGCTTTATCTATTCGCCATGGGGACCCTCCTGCTTTATCAAGGGGATATAAGGAGCTATTGAAATCTCCAATAACTAGGTAGGGATCCGATAGTCGAGCACAAAAATTTGCAATTTCTTCTAGTTGAGATCGACGTTTGGTCACAATATAGGATAAGTAAACCCCTATGAGGACAAATCGAGGACAATCTCCATAGCAAAGGACATTATTATTGATGACTGAGATGGCAATATAACAAGGAGAGGAGCCCAGAATCGAGACTGATGTTGATGGTGGCCAAGCAAAGACTAGACCCCCCGACAGGCCGGTAGGATCGACAGGATGACAATCTGAAAAGCCTAACATAGAAATAAAAGACCTGACTTTGTCACTAGGAGACATAGTTTCACACAAAAATAAGAATGACTTGGCAATGTTGCGGCAAGCTTTCAGCGTCTTGGAAGTCAAGGTGCTGCCGATTCCTTGACAATTCCACGCGTAGACATTCATTTATTGGGTTGGGGCCACTTTGGGTTGGCTTCCTCCACCCTTTTTTCTTCTATCACCTTAGGACGTTTTGGGATTGATTCCACTACGCCTTCCTCCGGCTCTCGAATACTGATGCCATTGTTTCTCCTTGTGTAGACTTTTGGTGAACCCGATGACTCTATCATAATAGCTTTCCCTTTAGACTCACCATCTAAAACGCGCCCAATTGGTGAGCATGATTGTGCTGAGTCAGTGGAGATTTCCTTATTGCCTGTTTTGTCTAGTTCAAACTCAAAATCTTGCATGACAAGAAGGTGAGAATCTCCCATATTTTCAAATAAAAAGCTAGGATCCTCACTGCAAAATAGGTTACCTAGTTCGTAAGATGGTGAGGCAGCCTGGAACTGCAACTTTTGAGCCTCATTCGCTTCTTGATACGTGATCATCTCCTTTGCTTTGGCGAGCTTGTGGGCTTGACAGGCTTGGAGCTTACTGGGCCCTTCATCCAAGTCCTTTGTTTTTAGACTTGGCCCGTTTAGACCCGGCCCATTAGTAGCTAAACTCGGCCTGGTGAAGGGATGGGTTTGAGCTCCCAAATCGTTGAAGGCCTCGCTGGCAGCTTTATGGAAATTTCCCCCCTGGGAAATCGACGCGTTTTGGGAAGCTAGGTTTCCGGAGTTCCTTCCTTGGCGATTGAAAGACGGTCGGCGACTTGGCCCTTCAAGGAGGAACTGTCTTCGCGGCGGAGCAACTGGAGCGACATCATTTCTCCAAACATTACTCCTCCAGTTCTTCTTCTCAATTTTCGCAGAGGCATATGAGTTTTCGTTCAGTTTGGAGCCGGTTCGCTTTCCAAAGATTTCCGGGCCGAAACCGTCGTCACCAGTGACCAGATCGAAGGAGCAGCTCTCCTGGTTGTGACCAATTCGCCTACATCTGAAGCAAACCACCTTGAGATTTTCGTATTTGAGCTTTACCCGGAAGGTCTCGCCCAGCGTACCATCTGCGCTTCGTTTCCTTGCTTCCAGTTTGTGCTCAAGGGGAGCGGAGACATCGATCAGGATTTTGGCATTGAAGACACATCCCGGCGACTGCCAGACTGCATACATCCCCGCTTCCTCCACCGTGCCCAGACGTGAGGCCAGCAGTCTTCCCAACGCGACCGTTCGGTATTCCTCTGGGAGATTCCAGAACTGGACCAGGTATGGGACTCGGGCGAGGTCGTGGTATAGCCGTTCTGATGGAGTCTCCCATTCTTTGAAAGTGAAAATCTTGGACTCGATAAACCACGGCGCCTTCTTCAGAGCCTCTTGCCGATCGGTTTGATTTGAGAAGACGAGCTGGAACAGTTCGTGCTTAGCATCCAATACAGTCACCGGAGCTCTTTTAGAAACTCTTTAATTATTACAAAAAAACTATGTTTAATATGCATAATTATCAGATTTATAATTATTTAAATCAATATAATTATTTAGTCACAATTCTATAAAAAGAATCCTTTAATTTCGGCAATAAAATCAGTAAATTATGTAAAGTAGTGATTAACTATAATTATGTTAAATTAGGTTGGTAGTGATTAACGAGACAAGGATTCACTCATAAAAAAAACGAGATAAGGATACAAAATTATTAAATTTGTTAGGATGACTATAAAATACTTATTAAATTACTTATATGGTTTTAAAGTAATTATAATTTATCACAAATATTGTATAAATCAATAAATAATTAGACGTGGGTTATGGACATGTTAATTATGGAATTTTTTTCAGATGTCAAAATAGGCAAGATTACCTATAAAAAAAATTGGGCACGTAATTTCAACAGAACCCTCCTTTGGACAGGATGGAACCCAGCTGCCAGATCACTTGGGAAACGATCTGGGCAGCCATGGCGATGGCTACAGAGTACAGAAGAAACAAATCGACAGGCTCTAATGAATTGGTAGATGGGGGAACAAGTGCTTTTGTTGAGTCTGGTGTCTGGTGAATAAGTCAACCTACGATCCACTTTGGATTAATATAGTTGACAACTAATGACACATACTTTTCATTAATAAAAAAAAAGAAAATCAAACCAATGTGATCAGCATTAGCTCCAATGATGAATATTGTCCCTCGTCACTAATTATCTCCTTGATGACGTAATGATAGCGGCAGCCGGCAAGCCAGCAACTGGTTAAGCACACTACGAGTCGTTTTTTATTACTTAATCCTTCAATAATATATAGTATTAGATCTCAATCAAACAACCATCCAAAAATTCATTTCTAAATCAAATTGACACTCAGATTAGCTTACAAGTTCTTCAGAACCTCCACCAAATCGTCAGCTCGTGAAAGATTTGACCTGCCTAAGTTATATCGTACACCCTCTCGTCTGTAGTTGCTTTCGAACGCTTTCTTGCAGTCCAGAATGCAGCAGAGTAATGGTTCTGCAAGTAGAAACACCATTGTTAAATAAATAAATAAAATGTTTCAGAATCGTATATCCACCACCTATAAAGCAAGAACGACGACAAGCTGGCTATTGGAGAGAATCCAAGAACCAGTGGCGCTTACTTGCATCATGGATCGAGGATTCGTCGTGTATGTAGTCTCAATTGTCTTCTCCTTCTACAATTGATTAATAAGCCGATCATCAAAAGTCCAAACTCATGAATTCCAATTGGCGTTTCGAAAGGAACAGTCATGCTTATGGCTGAAAAGAAAAATGGTTTACCTCAAACTCAAACCCGTACTGTGTAGCAACTCTCTTCACATCCTCCAGGCTCAGTTCTATAGACATCTCCTGTACAGCAAATTCAAATAACGAAGAGAGAAAGACTTCACGGTTCACGGCTTAGATCGTCACACTTTCCTGGATAATGTTTCTCTTAAGGAACAGAGGCAAAGAGAGCTTACATCTTCTTGCCCGTACATATCTGCAAAATGGTACAGCAGTGGACCCAAGTTTATCCACACCTGTTCATCCATAATAAAACGCAAACAGTTGGTACGAGAAATTCATAAAAGGGTGAACAAATCAGCTGAAAGAAAACCATATTATTGGGGCTTACTCCTCCATCTTTTAAAATCTTCGATATGGTTTCGATGTACTCTACAATATTGTGTGCGGTATCAATGAAGAAACATGTCACCACTGCATCCCAATATCCTGCATGTATGGCCAGAAAATTGCTCTAATGATGATTCTAACGGGACAAAATCTCACTGGAATGCTTATGTATCACGGTGACAACACATGTAAACAAGTATCATTCCACCTGATGGATTACACAACAGTACTTAATTCCCTACCTTCTTGACTTGCATCACTATAGACTTCAACAAAGTCACCACCACACATAGAAAATCCTTCAGTAATCCCTGCACTGCTAGCAACGGAAGTTAAAAAATGATGCCTTAAGACAGTAATAATAACGATGGATGATTTGGGCATGGATACCGTGACAATGGTTAAATTGAAATAGAAGTAGGAGCAGAAGAATACCTAGCAGGATGAATATCTGGTATTGGCACAGGACGAAGTTGATCGCTATCTGAAAGGGAATTACAATTACTATGGATCCAAGGATATATTGTCCAGTCCCCAACAGTTTCAGCACTACAAAAAAAACAATAAAATGTCATTGTGACAACAGCTCACAAATGGTTGGATTGTAAACTAGAGCAGTAAGAGTGTAAGGAAATCTCATACTGATTAAGAATGAAACTCGAGCATATCATCATGTAGTATGAAAATTCATTTCCTTGACTCATAAAACCTGTTTCATGACAAGCCAAGCACTACACTGTCATCAAGTGTCAATTTGGCTGTAAATAAATAGCAAGTGATAGAGAGTTCCCGAAAATTTAATTAGAAGGAATCACTCAATCACTCTGTGTGTCTACCCAAGCGTGAAATCTCCAATGCTAGTCGCCCAAGTCCCGCACCAGGAACTAAACAAGCAGGAGCCCTGCAAAATAAAAGATAGGCTAAGCAAGGCTAGATGAAAGTCAATGTGGTATATTATAAATAAAAAATTATAAAAGACTTGAGGGGAAATACACTACCTCTCCTTGCTGCGATTGGGAAATTGAGAATCTAGTTCTTCAAGAATAGGTTTGTAACATTCATCACGCTCTTTTTGTCCCTACAATAAGACGACCACCATGATAAATACACCATAGACATGAGGAACAAACTGAAAGCAAGACAATTCTTACCTCTGCTGCCCAATCCCTAACTATATTCCTTACTATACAACGGACCTGCAAAAATTGAGGAGCAGAGATTTAATAAGTACTTTATTATTTTAGACACTAGGCAGAAAAAATGACATGTAAAGCCACATGTACTTGATCTTGCTAGAATGAGCACATATAGCCAACACTACAAAATACTACGCCAATGTCATGGCTTCCATCTTTGTCCACTGTGACTTCATTTTTCTTAAACTTTGAAAACCTGGTTACCGGTTTAAAGCACACAATAGAATGGTTGCTGATCACCAATGCAGTGGTACATGACGCTAGAGAGAAACAATGACTTCTGCGTCAAGATATACAAAAGAACCAACATACCACATAAAAGTTTGAATCTTACCTTATCAACATCGACTAGGGGAACATGCAACTGAATTGATGGATCCAACCAATCATTGGGAGCGCTGACCTAAATTGAGGAAAGAATAAACATTAGTTGGCAGAAAACAGGATTTTTCCAACTCTAGCATATTCATGCATTCTAGAAACTTTGGGTGCTGTCAATTCATCTTAGCGATGATTAACATCCAACTCTTCGTATACAGAGGATAGCCAACTATCAGGCTCAGTGACATTTCACTAATTTTCTAACTACAGTATTTAACTCGAAATATTTTCAACAGCAATATAACAAATTTTAAATGACATTACATCGCCATTGCATTCCGGGGCATCATGTTGTAGAGTTGCTCTGTCATTTTCCTCATTCCGACTAGTATCCACAGGACGGTCATGGGAACCTCCAGTTGTGGTTTCCAGAGGCTATCGAAAAAAGGCTAAACTTTAGAACAGATAAGGAAGCAGAATCCAGCGCAAGTTGTAATTGAAACAAGAAATCATGTAAGTACCTCACTGATAGGCTCTCCAGTTGACATCATACGCATATGGCTTCCTTCTCCCTGACATGCCTCTTCAGGTCTGGAACAACAATTAGCTCCACTAGATGGAGCAGGTGAACAGCAAGAATTCCTCTGTTCTGATAAACAATGATGTCCTGATGCATGCTCATGATGCAAGTCATCACAGCAATCCAGGTCTTGGCTCATATCTAGAGGGGGCTCAAAAGCCTGCAAAAGATTGTCCATAACCACGATATCGCGATTCGCAACTCATTATCGAAGGCCAACAATGGAATGAGCAATGACTTGATCATCCCCCAAATATAAGGATGATTGAGGATTGAGCATTGGCTACAAACTTACCTGAAGCATGTTGAATATGAAATAAGAATTTGTAGCGATACACCTGCAAATTTCAAAGTAAAATAAGTCTTTCGAGCTTCTGAAATGATTAGTCATAGGTAGATGCTAACAAGACAAACACTTCTTAGCAACAGATATACCAATACACTTGAAAGACAAAGGAAGAGCAATTGAAGGTAGAATTACCTTCTTAGTTGCTGAAACTTCATGGGGTAGTGAGGTAGTAAAGCCTGATTAAACACATTCAGAAGAAGAAAAAACTTCGGTGTTACGCTAGATTAGTCATTTCGAAACGCAACTAATTGGTTATGGTGCAAAGATAAACACAGTACTAGATGCTTGTTGCAAGATGCGACGGTTCACTACAGCAAATTAAGACTACCTTGTGTGCAGGTGAGAGCTTTCTAAAAGATCTTTCATATCTTCTGACATCTTCTTCTGCTGCTTCAGGATAGCTGCACACAAAATTATACCAACAGACGCCATCATTGCCCATACGAAAACAGTCCATTTCAAGCAAGACGCCACCATTGCAGTTTCAATACAACAAGAAGGAAAGATCTAACCAGAGCAATCTTCGCTCGCTCACATAATCACATCTCGAAACTTATTGGCATTCGGTTCCAGAAACAAATACGCAATTAACGAAGAGAACGAAGCGAAGAAAGTGATTGCAATTAGCTTCACAAATCTTCACCAGCCGAGTGATCGCGCGAAATTCTTTCAGCTTCAATGGCGGATGATACAGATTGTGCAGCCGCGAAATTGTAAGCCGAAGAAGGAAAAAAAGAAAGAAGCGAAGGCAGTGCGAGAGAGAGAGCGAGAGAGAGAGAGTACTTGAGGTAAGCGCTGATGATGCGGCGGAGAGACTGGACCTCGAGAGCCTCTTCCAGCGTCCTTTGACGGCGGCGCTCCTCGTCCTCCGCCGCTGCTGCTCCTCCTACCTCCGACATGTTCTCGCCAGTTGACATTCGCCGTCGTCGTCTCTCTAAGCTTCTGCCGCCGTCTATGCTACTGAGACTGAGATAGCTGCAGCAGGCAGTGCGCCTCTCCGGGCCGCGGGGCCTTGTTGTCCGTCTGGGCTTATCGCTATTATGTAAATGACAACTAACTTTGTGTGACTGACTAATTAATCACTGAACTTTGAACTTTTGACAGATTTTTCACTGAAGTTTTGGATTGAGTAACTAACATATGTAGAATTCAATTCTTGTATCTCCAACAAATATTTTGTTCAAGTTGTCCAGATCAATGTGTGTCATGTCAAGGAAAAAAATGAACTTATATAGACCTAATTAGCTAATGTCCTCAATTTATCTTAACCCATATTCAATCCAAATCAAACTAGTGGCTTGAATAGTTTAAACTCGTTATCCAAAGATCATTCCCCGCATTTAGTTGCTTAATATCTTTAGATTGTACGAGTTGTATTTTTATAAATAACTTCGAGTGATTTAACACAATGATCAGAGAAGAAAGCGGATGATATGTCCAGGTATGGCCAAGAATGAATGAGGCTCATGTCATTAGACTTATTCTACATGATTTAGAGGTATTAATCAATTCACTAGCCTGGCCACTTTTCCTGATAGAGATGATCGTTGAACAACAAAACCCAAGAGCAGAAATCGCTGCAACAAAATTTTGACTAGGGCATCGCCCGAGAATCTTGACAGCAGATATATAGCCACCAATACTTTAATATCACTTCATCGAAACAAAAATGGCGTAAGCTAAAGTTTAGCAAAAAGACATTGATTCAAACATTTTGTTTCGACGGACCGGAGTGCCCTCTTAAGATAATCAGCGAGGTCTAACCGGTAAAAAATTTGATTGATTGAGATCAACGGTTCCTGAAACATTAAAAAAGTAGTTTAAGCATTCATATTTTGCACATAGGAACATGGATAATGCAGATAAACTGAGTAATCTGTCATTTGCCCAATCACTTTCAACATCTTCTGGCTTTACTTACAAGCCCCAGCTCGTTGAAAGCTCTGCGTCAAATGAGCTCTCGCTTTCATTTATTTCTCTATTACACACTTGATACTTAAGGCAGCTTTCCGATCATCAATGCTTTCCTTTCTCCCTTTTACTGCTCCTAACTGCCGCCACCTTCCCCACCCGCCTTGTCCACCCAATTGAAAACTACCTCCGCATTACTTCTGTTAGCCCTTTCATGAGTTTCACCCGCAGAATCTATTTAGAGTAATATTCGTGTTAGGGATGACACTTATTATGTTCGAAATTTCGGAGTATACAGAGGGGTAGAGAGTTGTAATCGGCATTGTCGTATTGGAACATAGAAGTGCGATAGACAAGTTATGAGGAAAAAATTCAAAAGTACCACTGTTTAAAAAAAAATTTCCAAAAATACCACTCAATCCCAAAAAATTCCAAAAATACCACCCTTTTTCAAAAATCGCCACCCCACCCAGCGGTTTGGTCGAAAACCGCTTGTCGGGGGCGCGGTTTTGGACCAAACCGCGGGCCTAGGGGGCGGTTATAAAAAAAAAAAAAATTTGGACCAAAACCGCTGGGTGGGGTGGCGGTTTGGCCCAAAACCGCCACCCCAACCAGCGGTTTGGTCCAAAAATTCGGTCGAAACTTCAAACGAACGTAACTTTGCACTCGGGTATCCGATCGTAGCGATTATTTTTTTCATTTCGCATAACTTTTCAAGATCTACAACTTTTACTAGGATGAAATTTTCAAAACAGGAACTATTTGTGGATATACGGGACCTTGAGAATAACTTTACCTTTACTTTTCAGAAATCCATGTACATTTTGAAATTATGATTATATTAAAAGTTGTAGATCTTGAAAAGTTATGCGGAATCAAAAAAAAGTTCATAACATTCGGAGTTTGGAGCACAAAGTTATGGCCGCCCAAAGTTTGACGAAAGGCGAGACCCGGCGGTTTGCGGCTTGCAAGATCTCAAAAAGTTTGCGGCCTCCATTTTTTGAATCCGAATCACTTTTTGAGATCTTGCAAGTCTCAAACAGTCGGGTTCCGTCTTCGTCTCGAAAAAACGTCATTTGCCACCCCAAACGGCATTTTTTTTTATTTCGTCAAACTTTGGGCGGCCATAACTTTGTGCTCCAAAATCCGAATGTCATGAATTTTTTTTTTATTCCGCATAAATTTTCAAGATCTACAACTTTTAATATAATTATAATTTCAAAATGCACATGGATTTCTGAAAAGTAAAGGTAAAGTTATTCTCAAGGTCCCGTATATCCACAAATAGTTCCTGTTTTGAAAATTTCATCCTAGTAAAAGTTGTAGATCTTGAAAAGTTATGCGAAATGAAAAAAAAAATCGCTACGATCGGATACCCGAGTGCAAAGTTACGTTTGTTTGAAGTTTCGACCGAACTTTTGGACCAAACCGCTGGTTGGGGTGGCGGTTTTGGGCCAAACCGCCACCCCACCCAGCGGTTTTGGTCCAATTTTTTTTTTTTTTTATAACCGCCCCCTAGGCCCGCGGTTTGGTCCAAAACCGCGCCCCCGACAAGCGGTTTTCGACCAAACCGCTGGGTGGGGTGGCGGTTTTTGAAAAAGGGTGGTATTTTTGGAATTTTTTTGGGTTGGGTGGTATTTTTGGAAATTTTTTTCTAAACAGTGGTACTTTTGGATTTTTTCCAAGTTATGAAATGTACATTGTTAGTTTGCTGAATACTCTTTTTTATACTTAACATGAAAATGAAAATACATTGGTTGGACCCACCATTTTGTAACGTGTGTATCGAATGATGTTATTTAGAATAGATATCATAAACTTCTTCGTAGTGTAGGATTTTCAAAACCTGTCTCGTACATCTTATTTGTTTTGGTAACCCCATACCGATGAAATTCCAACTCTACAGCCTACAGGTACCATTTTGCCCCTGGGAGGCAAATGATAGTTAATGAAACCCTCTTGTTATGGATTCTATATTTAAAATTCATAGGTCGAATTTTACATTTGAAGAAATACATTATGACTATACGTTCCGTATCTATATTGCGGTGAATTAACCACACGTAAAATCAGCATAATCATAAACAACAAGATCTCCACATTGAGTATGCCATTATTTTTTTCTTGATCATCACTAGCTTGATTTAGTATGAATTAAGTAAAACCTCATCATGTCGGATTTGTCTCCATAATCATATCATCAAACTAACACATTGATATCATGACTTGATCACCATCTAGGGAAATTTTACCAACAATAGTAATATCATATTAAACATTCAATTTTGTTTGTTAACCCTACATCGTCATTGCATTCCCATTTTCACAAACTTGGCAAAAAACCAAATTAATTGGAGATCTAGCCCAAAAATATCAACCCATTAAAAGCCCAACAAAGCCACCCAACATGGACACGTGTCGGTGGAAAACGATCGGACCAAGCAAAAGAGACCAAAGGAAAGAGGCTTTCAGGCAGGCTGGCTAAATAATTATTCATCCAGACAAAAAAGCTAAACATATTTTCCTCTTCTTCGTTCATTCATTCATCATTTCCAGTCCCACACCATTTTTCCCCCCTTTGGCCTTTAAGCTTTTCCCCCATTTCAAAGAGAGATTCCATCACTCATTCACTCACTCAATCCCCATTGCTTCCGATGGGTTGCTCCATCTCCAGATTCACCATCCTCTCGTCGCTGCACACCCACCACTCCCTCCTCGTCGACCAGCCGCCGTCAATCCACGCCTTCCACCCAGGTCCCGCCACCGGCCGGCGAGCGGTCTCCCACCCCGCCCCGCTCGTCCACCACCCGCCGTCCGGGAAAGGCGATTCCGAGCATCTGGTGTACTTAAAGTCCACCACATACGGCTCCGTCCTCCACATTCCTCCTCCGCCTCCTCCCCCGCCGCCGCCGTACAAGCCCGTGGAGGAAGAGTACGGTGAGCCGGTCGCCTCCCCCGACTCCGTAATCAACGCCTGGGAACTCATGGACGGCCTCGACGACGGCAATGGCAATGTGGGTGTTGATTTTAATTTGGGGAAACCTCAGCCACCGACGAGGAATTCGTGCTGGGTCGAGGAATTAGGGCTTCCGGACCAGCCGGAGAAGAAATTGGGGTCGCCGTCGAAGCCGCTGTGGAAGCATTTCTCGGAGGAGTCGTTTCTGTTGAAGTTGGACCCGGTCGTGGTCTCCAGCTACCGCCGCGCATTGTTCGGCAAGAGCAATCCCAAAAAATCAGTACATTCCGACTCCGAATCTGGCTGCTCCCCTCAACCAGTCTGCGCCGCCGACGGCGGCGGCGGCAAGGGGGAAGGTGGCGGCGAAATCGTGGTGTTCTTCACGAGCCTGAGGGGGATCCGGAAGACGTACGAGGACTGCTGCACGGTCCGCACGATATTCCGCGGCCTGCGAGTCGCCGTCGACGAGAGGGACGTCTCGATGCATTCGGCGTACGGGAAGGAGCTGCGCGGGTTACTGGCGGTGGGCAACAAAATGGCGGTGGGGGGAGGAGGGAGCTTGCCCCAGGTGTTCATCGGCGGGAAGCACGTCGGTGGCGCGGAGGAGATCCGGCGGCTGAACGAGTCCGGGGAGCTGTCGGAGCTCGTGAAAGGGTTTCCGGCCAGGGATTGCCGGTGGGGCTGCGGCGTTTGTGGGGATGCCAGATTCGTGCTCTGCTCCAACTGCAATGGCAGCAGGAAGGTGTTCGATGAAGATGAAGAGAGGCTGCGGCGGTGCCTGGATTGCAACGAGAACGGCCTGATTCGTTGCCGGAGCTGCTCCGTTTGATGGGTTTTCTTTTTCCCCGCCCTTTCCACTTTTCGTTGTCTAAGCTGTATGTGTGTTGGCAAGGTTGCTTCCATTTTCCCAGACATTGAAGGTTGATATCTCGTCTGCCTGGTTAGGATTAGCAGCAATTTTCATGGCCAAGGTTTGTCTGTGTTACTTGCTTTCAAGTCGGAATCTGTGTGGCAATGGAGCACTGATCCTTCGTTGACCTGGCGGCGAGAAGGCTAAGGTGCGAGTCATCGTGCTGCCGCTGTGCTCGCCACCATGGTTCGAGGATTGGTGGAGGGAGGAAGAGAAGCAATGAATCAATGATGATGATGATTACTTGCTGTTTGCTGCCATACTTGGGCAATGTAGTCTACAAACTACATCGAATCCAAGTATGCATTGCAAATGCAGTAGACTAAATAAAGGTATTCCAAAATACCTTCCTTTTAACATCTGGATTGCTCAATTCGTCTGTAGGCATCTGGATTGCTCAATTCGTCTGTAGGCGATGGAGTTGAACATTGAATTGATTTGTGAGTCGTAATACCGCTAACTCGTTCGTTCTCTTTACATAATTTCGCTCATCTTAATCGTCTTGACGGATCGTTCAATTCGACGAATATTGCATTGATTGTTACATCGTACGATTAAACTCAATGTGAAAAGGAGCTATAAAATGTTACTATGATTTGTTCTTTCTTTACAATTTTGATCGCTGTTCGATCATCTAACGTAACAAGTTCGATATGAAGTCACAACGTGTCGAAGTTAACATGATAAAAATAAAAAATCTGACGGAAGCAACGAACGGTGTCAATCAGCTACAGACAAACAAAAACTAGTAGAACGCATCCCGGAGATGGAGAATCACACAGCTTCATCGTGGCTTCTCCAATGTCCCTGAACCTTCTGGAGGCTCAGCCCCACACCCGCTTCCCATCTAATATATAAACAGAGGTCTACGCTTCTGGGAACACATCTCCGTGTTCTCATCTTCCCGCAAGCTGCAGACTCAATTGGCAAGGATCAGGCAACAATGGCGGACGGAATTTTCGGGCACCCAATCAGGCGACTGTTATGGAGCCCCCAAATCTTCAGGGAATGGTCCGGTTCCACAGCTCTCATGGACTGGCTCGAGTCTCCGACTGCCCATATCTTCAAAATCAACGTTCCAGGTTCCCTATTGTCTCATAACTTCCAACCAATTGACCAATTGGTTGTTCTTCCTTTTCCATTTCCTGGTTTCTTTAATTGCAACAGCTGCGGGAATTGGTGTGGGTGAATGATTCAGAACGGTTGTGTTTTGGTTCAATTGCAGGGTTTAGCAAGGAAGAGATAAAGCTGCAACTGCAAGAAGGGAACGTGCTTCTCGTCAGGGGAGAAGGCGAGGAGGGTAATAATAAGAGAGAGGAGGCGTTGTCCAAGGACGCCGTGTGGCACCTGGCGGAGAGAGGCGCCGGCGGGAAGGGGGAATTCGCTCGGGAGATACAACTGCCGGAGAATGTGAAGGTGGATCAGATCAAGGCTCAGGTGGAGAACGGGGTTCTCACCGTCGTTGTGCCCAAAGATAATTCCTCGAAGCAATCTAGAGTGAGGAACATCGCCATTTCCAGCAAGCTCTGAGCAATTGGGTTGGGACAAAAAAATCTCTTGTTACATGTGTTATAGGCCGGTGTATGCTTCTGGGTTTCGTTTGATGTTTATGGAACATCTCGAGAAATTTCACTTAATCCTGGAATTTGTCCTTCCAAATTGGGGAAGACAATCCAAACATGATAGATTTTTAGTTTTTTACCCATCTAATAGAAATATTGAAATTGAACTCTCAGTTATGAATACCTAGTGTACTCAATTAGAGCTAGTTCTCTAAAAAAGGATGTTGTTTAGTGTTTACAAAGTCATCAAATTAGCGGCATGTAGAGGTGGCAATTCTCAATCCAATCCATCAACCCATTAAAAATATCCAACTAATCCAACCAATTTAAATTCTCTTCATTTGATCCAAATCCAATTGTATTGGTGGATTCATGGATAATGGATTGATCCATGGATCCAAATAGTAAATTACGGTTTGGTACCTATACTTTTTATATTTTACATTTTGGTACCCAAAATTTAATTTTTTATATAAAAATATCATTGGAAAATTACATTTTGGTACCTAAAATTTTTCATTATGACATTTTAGTATCTAAACTTTTCACATTTTTACATATTGGTCCTTGATTGAGGATGTCATTTGGATTTATGGATAATCCACCAATCCACTTGATCCAATACATGAATCCACCAATCCATTAGATCCAATCTATTTGATCCATGAATCCACCAATCCATGGATCAATCCATTTGCCACCTCTAGCCGCATGCATCAGGGTCCAGCATTCCCTCTTTCCTGTTGTAACGTGTGCGGGCTGTACGTTTTGTTATTGGGCTTTGTCATAGGCCAAGGTCCAGGCGTGCATTGATCTTCTTGGATCCATGTTGGCCCGTTGAAATTGAAGACATCCTTGGGCCTCAGTGGGTTAGCTGGATCTCTATTTGGACCTGCTCAGTACATTAGTCTTTACCATTAAAGACACTCGTACAAAGTCAAAATCCATTCACAGTAGCACCGTGACGCACTGAACTGAAACAGCAACTGAGAAGGGGGAGGGAGTCAGAGAGCGAAATCGGGAAATCGCCAGAAATGGAACAGAACGGCGCGGCGGAGGCAGCGGCGAAGACGAACGGAGAAGTTCACGGCGAAGCGGCCGCCGCTGGCTCCACTGCGTTCCAAATGGACGGACTGAGGAACTGCTTGAGCAGCTACCACGACGACGGCAGCGCCGAGACGCACAGGTACTTCCTGGCTCGCAGGACCGTCCTGGAGATGCTGAAAGACAGAGGCTACTACGTCCCTGAATCCGACCTCTCCGTCTCTTTACAAGAGTTCCGCGCCATTCACGCTCAGGACATTGATATCGACCGTCTCAAGTTCTCCGCCACTCACCAGACCGATCCCTCCAAACGAGTACTACTCTCTCCCCCTCTCTCGCACTCTCAATCAATTGAAGCTCTGCATTTGAATTCGTGGCCGGTTTGATGAATTTGAGTGGGATTGCATGTCTCGATTGACCTAATTTCTGCCTCTGCATGTCGTTTGCTACAGTTGTTGAATCATCTTTTTTGTCTCAATATCTGAATCTGTTTCATTTTCAACTGTTCAGTGTTGGATACTGTTAATTAGTAGGAGAATGAATGTTAGCAATGGTGCTTAAGTTTTTGTGAGGATGAATGGGGAGAAAAAGCTGTTCATTTTTTTCGTTCATTTCCTGGTTTTGGGAAAGTGTCCTGAGTTTATTTTCACTGCAGACGATGGTTATTTTCGGTGGGACTGGAGTTATTAAAGTCAATACTGTGCGGCTGATCTCGGCTCAGATTGTTAACAGAGACAGTTTAAGTGGCCTGATACTGATTCTGCAAGGCCAAATAACGAAACAAGCCGAGAATGCACTGAGGCTTTTCAAATTCAAGGTTGAGATCTTTCAGGTACGTTTGCTACCTCAAATTTTGTGGGTTTGATATGTTTCTTAGTTATCGATCTACATGCCCTGAAGCAAAGGGAGTTACTTTAAAATGCATGGCCTTTTCCTTGGCTTGAGTTTAGTGAAGATGAGTCACAGCCCTTGCTTGAATTTGCTTCTGTATGGATCTTGCATGCTGACTGCAACCCTTGTTTAGTTTTGCTTCTGTATGTTATTATGATGTCATGGAAAGTAGTACCGTTAAGTGAATTGCTTATTGCATCAGGCAATAGCAAAATGGAAGCATTTCATGTTACTAACTAATGCTAGTTGTGATTTGTTTTGGATCGCAGATTACTGAGTTGCTCGTCAACATTACCAAGCATGTGTTGAAGCCGAGGCACCAGATACTAACGAGCCAGGAGAAGAAAAAGCTCTTAAAAGAGTACAATATAGAAGATAAACAGGTCAGTGCCTGCAATTTTGAAAGCCAATGACTCTCTTGCGGAACATATTTCCTTTGCTTCTTTTGTTTCGACTTTGCGCATGATCTTCTCTGTGGTGGCATTGCTTTCCTTGGTGTTTGTTTCGATCACATCATTAAGCTTGCCCTTGCTGACTAATCTCATCAGAATCAAATCAAAGAGATTCAAAAGATGAACAATCAAAAACCGGCATATAGTTCAGTATAGGCTAGGGATCAAGAGTTCCTGCAATTTTCAAGTACATATCCTTCATTTCTCCCATGGACAGGATTTGTACGATTAGCTTTCAAGTGTTATCTGATCAATTTGACTATTCCAGTTATGCTAGTTAAGCTTCATAGAAGTGTATTAACGATAAGCTTGTTAAATCACTTGCCTAATGCTTTGCATCTCAACCAGGGGCGGAGCCAGGATTTCGAGACCGGGGGGCCGAAAATAATTAATTAATAAAAAATTTATAATTATTTTAGAAGTATAAGACGTTCTTTGATCATTGAAATCACTCAAAATAACATCTAAACTAAAACTTTTGGCTGTCATTTTTCCGTTTGAAATTGGGAATGTTAATGAAAATTGAGACTTAAAATTAATTAAACTAAATAAAAAAGGTGGCCTTTTATCGGTACTCTCTCACAATAAATGGGGATTTCGGTTTTGTTTGGGGAATTGTAGAGGGGGAGTAAATTAATGAAGATTAAAAAGTTGGTAAAGAAAAATAAAAATGACGGTTTTGTTTGGGGAATTGTAGAAGGGGAGTAAATTAATGAAGATTAAAAAGTTGGTAAAAAAATGAAAAAGACAAATGTGATCTTGTGGATTGAACTCATGTCCTTGAAAACAAAAGTCAAGCTTGACTTCCATTAGACTATACACCTTTTAGATAATAGGATTTACAGAACAAGTAATACTTATATAATTTGTACAAAATATCCTTAACATCCTCGGGCCGAGACCAATCCCGGGGGGGCCGGGGCCCACCCTACCTTGAACATAGCTCCGCCCCTGATCTCAACTCACTTCGCCATACTCTTCCGCTGTTCCATTCTCAAAACTGATCACGTAATCATTGTTAGTGTTGTGGTATATGATCCACGATTGAACCTCTCCCAACAACTCGAGTTATTGGGACCAACTGTATTAACGATAAGCTTGTTAAATCACTTGCCTAATGCTTTGCATCTCAACTCACTTCGCCATACTCTTCCGCTGTTCCATTCTCAAAACTGATCACGTAATCATTGTTAGTGTTGTGGTATATGATCCACGATTGAACCTCTCCCAACAACTCGAGTTATTGGGACCAACTGGTTCTTGACATGGTATCAGAGCCTAGAACCGAGAGGTCTTGTGTTCGATTCCCGGTGATCCCCATTTGTTAAGCACATGGTATTCTTGTCTTCAAACCTGTACAAACTTCAAGCCCTTGTGAGTGGCTTTCGTTTGAGGGGGCGTCTTAGTGTTGTGGTATATGATCCACGATTGAACCTCTCCCAACAACTCGAGTTATTGGGACCAACTGGTTCTTGACAATCATTGCGACCTGATGTTGATGTCTCAATCTTTGGCAGCTCCCTCGGATGCTAAGGTCGGACGCTATCGCTCGTTACTACGCGCTCGAGAAGGGACAGGTGGTCAAGGTGACGTACTCCGGCGACATCACCGAGTCCCATGTCACCTACCGATGCGTCTGGTAAATGCATCCATGTAATAATGTAACCTCTTGTAGTATTCCTGTTTCATTCCCCCGTAGACGAAAAGTTTCCTAGTTGGTCTTGCTGGTAACCAAGTTCCATATGTAGCATGAACAACCCTGTAAACTTCCCCTGTGTTGTAACATGTTTCTCTTTTTCTTTTATGGACTTTGCTCCGATGAAGGATAATTTGCTCTGTGGTTCATGGTTGTATAAAACTGTATGGTTCTTGTGTGTTCGTAAATCAAAATCCATCGATTGGGCCAAGTATGAAGGCCAGTTGATTGGGCCTTAATTGCTAACACGAATGGGCCTGACAAAACATTCACACTCTCTGGGCCTCCCCTTTCCGGGGGGGGAAAAGAAAGAGAAGCTGGGGAAGGAAGGAAGGAAGGAAGGAAAAAAAGACGAGCGAGAAAAAGGAAGGAACGCACTGACAGACTTTCTAAAAAGCCACAGGATATTCAAATGATGAGAGCAGGCGGGGCAAGGGAAAGAGGAAGAAATTTTTATGGTCAAATGAATTGAGTGCAGACTAGCAGTACTGTTTTATTCTTTTCTAATTGATGTAATAATTATTTCTCTTTTTTCAAACACAGAACAAGAGAAAGAAAAAGTGTCCTTTGGTCGTGTGTGATTTTTTTTTCGGCACGTCTGACAGAACTGTTTCTTTGTTTGCAAATTGCTAAAGAACATGGATGTGAATTAGGGCTGGGAAACGGTGCGGTCTGGTCCAGACCAGACCATATATACGGTCTACGGTCTAGACCGAGAGGCTAAAGTATAGACCACAGACCAGACCACAGACTATACGGTCTGGTCCAGATCATGACTGTGCGGTCTGGTTCGGTCTGGTCTGGTCCAGATAGACCACACTCAACGAAAAATGAAAAATTTGTTTAGTCAACCACACAAAAAATTGAACCAATAACCAAGAAAAATAATTGTTATTTGCCTTAAAACATTAATCCTAACATGCATGAATAATTTTGATACTCTAAATCTTAGTACATAACAAAGATATAAAGTAAAAGCATCCCAGCTTGCACCATAATGTCATAAACATTAACATAATGTCATATGGAGACACGATTATCTCTACTCTGTGGTTAAATGTGGTTGTAACATTAACATAATGTCATATGGAGACACAATTATCTCTACTCTGTGGTTAAATGTGGTTGTGAATGAAGGAGGGAATAGATTCACAAAATTAAGGTTGAGACTTGGGTGTCGTTGTGGGGGTTTGGAGAGTGGTCGAATGGGCTGTTAACACGTATTGACAAGTCAGTTGGGTCTACGGTTTGGTCCGGTAAACCGCGGTCTAGACCAGACCAGACCATGAGATCAAATTATAAAATAATACAGACCATGGACCAGATCAGACCATACTTCACGGTCTACGGTCCGGACCAAACTGTGCGGTACGGTTTGGACCACGGTTTTTCTAACGGTCTAGTCTATTTTCCCAGCCCTAATGTGAATGGGATTGGCCACGGATCAGTTTTGTTATTAAGCCCAAAGAGGGTGGCAACTGACCAACGGTATGACAATTTCGACATAAATTGCCTGATATGATAATTTACTTAATGTGATTTACGCGCTATATGTAAATGTTATTCATATTATCTATGCTCCTGCAGATTGTGTAAATGGCTTACCTACTCAATTTGCTTGTAAGAGATGATTAAAAAAAGGAACAAAGGAAATTACACGAAAAGCGAAACTTGTTAGCTGCAAAACTTGTTAGAGAGTGGTGTAAGATACAGAATAATATTCTCCCAACAATTTGATTTATTGGGATCAGCTGGTTTATGACATGGTATTAGAGCCGGTTTGACCAAGTGGCCGTGTGTTCGAATCTTCACGACCTCCAATATTAACAGTTGATTAAAAGCACATGATACGTCGTTTGAGGAGGAGGGGGGCGTGTTAGAGAATGGTATAAGATTCAGTATAACCTTCTCCCAACAACTCGGGTTATAGGAATCAACTGGTTTATGACAAAATTTACACCAGAAAGTTAAGCAGCGTTTTATGATCCCTTTTCGATTCATTGTTTGTATCACTTGCTTCAAGAAAAAATAAAACAATTGGGTGGGTGTGAGTTGATGATTGTCGGGGAGGCGTGCACAATCCCTGCTCCATGCCTTTCTTTCTGTCCATTTTAGAAGAGGCATCGGCCTTTCTTTCCCCTTTCCTTTTTTCCCCCTCTTCTTCAGTGGATATTTCTGTTTCGTTTGAAGGAAAGAAGAGGAAGAAAGCATGGTTAGTAAAAACTAAAAAGGACCTGGGGATAAGGCATTTCCAAGTAAAGAATGCGATCCAAGAGAATGATATTTATGAAACCGATACCAATTTTTTCCCCCCAACTTGCTTGTTGTAGTTTGGATTCGAAGAGATAGAAGATAAACCGATTCCAATAAAGAGATATCATCAATAATAAATAATTGGAGGAATAAAACACTAAAATGACGAGTAATGAATTGAGTGAACAATTCGCGATTCATTTGAGTCTTGTGGTTTATGTTCAAAGTTCAAACGGGGCAGCAACATATTTGTCTGCTAGTTTGGTTTCAAAGGCTAGTTGTTGAACCAAAGTGAGGCGAGAAAGCATGATTTAGCTTAGGGTCACCACATACTTGATTTGCTCTCAAATTTGGGAGCATGAAAACAATTTTGCTTTCGTTGATTGATAGTGTTCTTTTGGAAGTTATGGTGCACTTTCCAAATTGTTACCCATCGAGATATTTCATCTTGGTTTCGAGGCTTTGGAAAGATATCTACAACCAGATCTAGTGTTTGTATTAATTGCGTGTGTTGGTTTTTTTTTTTTTTTTTGTTTGCTTTGGAGAAAACAGGGCTTGAGATGGATATCCATACCTTATCCTCTTATATGCAGTAATTCACCCGACTTGAGTCGGAGAGAGCTAGATTAATACGACAAAGGTTATAAACTTATAATTAGAATTGACATATAGATAAGAGTATTGACATCCATATATCTATATATTAAATAAATATCGCTAGCTTTTTTCACTATTAGGAGAATATCACATTATGGAGGACCTCAACTCCGAACCTCTGACTCATACTCACTTATTGAGTTGATTCATCCCATCCAACTTAACTACAAAAAAGATGATAGAAGGGAGTGAGATTCCTAAGTCCTAACTCTTACGTAGATACGTATGAGTATTGAAATACATGTCTCATACGGACTTCATTTTCATCTCTCTTTGTAGTACAAATTAAAACGAACCAAAAGCTAAAACATTACTCACCCCATGAAGAATAGACAATTGGCATCTTCACAATCATCAACAACAATAACATGATGCCCCATGGAACAAAACTTATCCAAATTAACATCACTACCCATTAACCTTACCAAATTACCCTCATCAGCCTAGCTAAACTTTGCTAATAATCATGAACCCACTCTCACTAGTTCTTCCTTTAACCCCTCCAACTTCCTTTAAAACACTCTCATTTCTTAATCCATGATTAGATAAATGGATGGTGGGGAGGAGCTTACACGCGCGCGCATGTAAGAAGCAAAAGCTAACAAAGCCGAGCTATAATCATGATTACAAACAGAAAAGGCGCCCAAAAGGAAGGGATCAGAGGGCAATATGAAAAGAAAGGATTATAATTGCAGCAGAAGTGGACTATGGACTTTTTATCCAACCCATGGAATGGAGCTCGAAGAGAATGACAAAATGCTCAAAAACCCACCGAAAGGCAAGCCCAAAAGAATACAAAAATCGATTTATCAGTAATAGGAAAGTCTCTCCACTTTTCGGGTCAATTACAAAAATAGGCCACGATATTAGGAATTACTGATAAATTGATCACTAAATTTCGACACTTCACGAATTTGTCGATCAAGTTTGTATGACTAATATAGGCGTTATTTTGTATTTCGTTAGATTATGTTGAATTTTTAGTTTAAGTTGTACAACACATTAAGTAAGATTCAAGTCACACATTTTAATGAAAAGGATAACATAAGCTTGCCAATTAGCTACTTTGGAGTCGGGATGGGGAAGAAGAGCTTATCGTGATTTTAGTCTGGGTGTGAACTTAAATGGGTAGTCCATGTTGGCTGACAAGGGTTGATATTACCCTTTCGTATTGACTTGGGTAGTAACTGACACAATCGTCATTTTCTTCGATTTTATCAAATTTTTCAGTTTCATATATATCACACAACACATCACGTAAGATTACAATCAAAATTAGAAATAACGAGGGTAACGTAAAGTCTCTAATTACCTGCGTGAGCTTGATCGGGGGAGCATAGCTTACGGGGGTGGTCTCAGGGAATGCAAGCTCGATACTAAAATCATGCATGATCGATCAGTCTAGGCTGTCTACACTGAAAATTGAGCGGTCCATGTTAACTAACTGCGGTCTCGAGGTTGTCCTTCTGGTATCAAACTCTGGCAAGACAACACAGTCGATATATGCGAACAATTCTGATGAGAAACCCAACCTCGATCGGAGCTAAATAAACCAACTATTATGTTCCGTTGAATCAGACTTCAATGACTGACTTTGCTAAACACTGAACTTCAGTGATGAGTTTGTTAATGAACCCTGAAGTTGGGTGACCTTTCTTTCTTCTATAAGTGACCCCCACCACTATTCTCCTCTTCCACTACTCTTTCACACACCCACTAAACTTTGCTTACAAAACCATCATTTTAGAAGAAGAGCACCCAAAACTTAAATAAACCCCCATTTTTTTTTCATACTCTACCTAAGTTTTCATTCTTCGTCCACCTCGATCATCATCTCGTCAAAATGGACGACGCCAGCAATTATTGGGTCGGCAGCTCGCCGTCGGAGTCCCAGAACTACTTGTTCCGCCTTCTCGCCGAGACCAACGGCGTCGGAGGAGAAGGGTTCCAACAACAGGAATACGGGTTTGGTCAGCAGAGCTTCATGTGTAGCAGCAATAACTCGTCTTCTTGTAACAACTACTTCTCGTACGATGATTACCACCACCAAATATCTGCCGCCGCCGGCGGGGGCTCGTCCGTGATCACGGCGGGGGAGGATTCGACGACGACGGCGACGCCGCAGGATCGAGCGTACGCGGCTCTGCAGAATCACAAGGAGGCGGAGAAGCGGCGGAGGGAGAGGATCAATTCCCACCTCCACAAGCTCCGTGCTCTCCTACCTTGCAATTCCAAGGTATCGTAAAACTGTATAACTCAGACACGAACTTATCTTTAACAATTCGGAGTTATTGGAACTGGATGGTTTATGACGATTATTGGTCTGAGGATGTTGGCAACGTTAAAACAATTTTGAAAGTGGTGAAGTTCAAATTTATTGTAGGATTTTTAGTCGCTCGTTATATTTAGTGAACGGATATGGTTAATCGTTAATGTTACGTTATCACTTGATTACGCGTTGAATGGGTTATAGACTGTGTTGTTATGCCGTTGAATAATGATGTGTCGATGCGGTCGCATGATTACGCGGGTTGAATAAGTTGCCGTATAATGTTTTAGTAGTAATATGTAACTAAATGGCAGGGCTATGGCCTAGTCCGATTATAAAACCTTAGCTAATTCGATGGATCGAAAATTAGAGAGAAAACGAGGATGTAAATGATTAAAAACCTATCAACTTAATAAGATCATGTCGATCAAATATCACAATACTACTTTTTTTTCCCCTCTCATTTTATGATATTTCAATACAACCTAATAAAATCAAGTTGTATTACAAAAAAATCAGGAAAATCAAATATCAAAATAATACATTTTTCTCTTATGTAAATAGAATTCAATACAAATAAAATCGAACAAAATTATATTCAATACCATCGAATTTAGCCACCATCTCAAATCAATTTCGATCTCGTGTGTGAATCAAATTGTTTGCCAACCATAAAAATGTAGAGGACTCAATTTGAACACTTGGACATTCCCTGATGTACAATTGTACATTCTGCCGGAAAGTAGAATTGTCCCCCTAACCCTTTTTCCTTTGTCTCTCTTGTCTCTTTTATCGCTTTGTTGACATACGATTTGAATTCCTGAAAAAACAGATAAAATTAATTTTTACATCACGCTGATGCCATCATGTTGTCACCCGCAGACGGACAAAGCGTCGCTGCTGGCGAAGGTAGTGGAGAGGCTGAAAGAGCTGAAGCAGCAGACCTCCGAGATCGCCGGCCTGGAAACTTTCCCGTCGGAGTCGGACGAAATCACCGTCCTTTCCGCCGCCGGCCACCACGACGGCTACGGCCGCGGCGGCGGGGGGCAGATGGTGTTCCAGGCGTCGGTGTGCTGCGAGGACAGGACGGACCTTTTACCGGAGCTGATTGAGATATTCAAGTCGCTCCACCTGAAGACGGTTCGGGCCGAGATGGTGACGCTTGGCGGGAGGACGCGCAACGTGCTGATGGTTGCGCCGGCGGACGGCGAGGGAGGCGGCGGAGGCGGATGCAGCGTGGAGTCCATTCATTTCCTGAAGAATGCGCTCAAGTCGTTGCTAGACCGGTCCAGTAACGGTGGGCCTGGCGACCGGTCCAAGAGGAGACGGGTCGCGAGGAATGAATTTTAGTCCAGCTGAAGTCATGGGCTTTATCCAAAGCTGTTCTGCCTATGAGTCGGCCCATGAAAGTTCATCTTCATGGTTGTTACAGAAGCTTTCCTTTTACTTCTCATAAGTTTGTTTTGTGTGGCTAATTAGTGGTTAATCAGGAAGTTGGGAGTAATGATAAATATATTTATATATATGCATGTGGCTGAGGAACAATTTTAGTGAAGATATATATGTTTAACAAATTAAATGAGTCCCCCGCATGAGATATTTTGTTATTTTTCAATCCATACTTTAGAAATTCGCCAACAAGTTGCTCGATTACATAGTTATAAGTAACGAGTATCTCACTCTCACAACATGACTAGTACTCGTTCTCGCCCCCCATACCATCTGATCGAAAGTTTCCACAAATGGCATGTATCTAATGTCTTCGGTCTCGAGTCAATCGTTCAAGTACTCAATCTCGTACCATAAAGTTCCATACGAATTTGATAACTATGTTACGCAGAGTGAAGAAGGAAGATTACTCAGTAAATGTAACGTTCATGTAGCAATAACTACTTGGCCAACTTCCTACACTACATAAAAAAAGGGCCAGGGCTTCAAAATGAAGAGTGGGAAACAAAACTGAAAATATTCACCATCATCACCACTCCTCTAGCTGGCCAACTTCCTACACTGCATCATCCAGCCGACTTCATCTTCAACTCTAGTTCTGTATCTCATTAATATTGATCTGCCAAAATTCATTGCCAAGTGATTCAGTACGGAGTATGATAATAAGTACTACATGGTCCATATAACGTAAATACTAATCAACAGATTACCTTGTTAATGGAGTTCTACTTACAGCTTCAGCTTAAACCCAGAAGACAAGAAACCATCCCTGCAATGCAAACCACAACAACACAAGTACCTGTAATTTAGCATCACCAGATCCAGATGGTACAAAGTATTGAAAACACAACACCTTATAGGGAAAGAGAGACCAAACCTCTTCTTCCTTTGCCTGTCAATTTTCACTTCCTCTTTGGTTGGAAACTTGCCATGAGGCGAAACCAGGCTTCCAAAGCAAACAATGGCATCTACGAACACCGCCTTCAATCCACTGATGGTGATCTCTTTAGCAGCATCACCCTTCTGAGGATTCTTCTTCAGGTCATACCAAACTAGCCTTTGGGAATCCAACAGCAGAAGCAAATCCTGACCGGTCATGGAGTACCCGAGAGATCGAACCCTAATATCGTAGCACAATCCAGGATGTGGAACGGATAGCATTTTACTCCATGACTCCTTAACACCGTACTCTTTCATGATCCAGACATCGAGCACCCTACCCCGGTAATTGGCAAAGATGCACAGACACTTCTCCAGCTCACCAATTCTCAAGAGCAACGATTTCTTCTCGTTTCGATACTCCGGCTGAGGGATTTCCTTGCATTCGTTGCGCCCTAAATCGAAACCGACAATCAAGTTGCTAACATCAGGGGTGTGAACCACCCAATGAATTGCTCCACCAACAAACACGCCTACCTTCTCCGTGAGAGCTAGGATATAAGGGAATTTCACAACTACGCTGGAACCAGACCTAACCCCATAACTAATCAGTTCAGATTGGAAACAATCAGCATTTTTTGCACTAAACAACATCATCTGATTAAGCTTGACAACCTTATAGTCGTCGGAGACGGAATCGTACCCGAATCCGCAGCCGCAGTGGTAAACGCCATCCCCGTCGCCGCATAGATGTTTCGGCATGGCTGACATGACGTGCGACTTCCGTGTGGCCGGATTCGTTATGATGGCCTTGTCGGTGTCGTAGTCGAAGCAGAGCAACCCGTCGCATGAGCCGATTAGGGTTACGCGCTCCTGTGGAATTTTGACGCCAATTTGGGGTGAAGAAGATTTGTTGCTTCGGACGTCGATACAGGTTTCTCGGCGGAGGCCTTCGATGTACGGGGCGATGTGGAGGTCGCCATTGCCGTGCCCATCGTTTTCCAGGATGAAGAGGACGGCGTTTTCGGTGGTGGCGGAGGAGTGGTCGATTTGGAGCTTGCTGAACCTCGGGCTGTCGATCAGAGCCCGCCAGGGTTTGCAGATTGCGCGGCACCGCAGAATTGCGGCCACCGGCAGCCGGAGGAGAATGTTGGTCACGAGGTCAAGCGAAAGATGATCGGACATATTCGCCTTGCTCGCTTGACTTGCTGAGAATCTGCCGGGAAGGAGGAAAATGCAAAAAAAAAAAAAACATCTAGTTTTATGACGGAGACAAGACGATAAGAAAGTTCTGGAATGGATGGGTTCGCCAGTTAGGATTTCTTACGTGGTGGTTCCAGCAAATCATATTTCGCCACGTAACAGTTTAAAGTGATGATAGAGATTAGCCTTTAAATTTTTATTTAGTTAATCAGAATAAAAAAAGTAAGGGCACAGCAATTGTCGACACCCGCCAAGTTCACCGCCGGCGTGGAGCCAGCTGCTGTTGATCACCACTGAGTTGTCGATCGGCGCAACGGCAGATTTTCACAATTCGGACAGAGTTCAACGTCGCTGGCATGTAAACTTTCGATGCCACGGGAGGTGGGGACTCCGGCGGCGGCGGCTGCAGCAAGGTCCATTAATTTTCTGAAGAATGGGCTCAAGTAGGCGCTTGACCGGCCCATTATAGGTGAGCCTGGTGATTTAGTTGGGCTAATTAGCCTAATTTCATGGTCTTTTAAGTTTTAACCAAGCCTTTCTAAAAATGCTACCGAACTTGAATTCGATAATTTATCTTTCGATCGAAACTTACTAGCATCTCGTTTTTCAATCAATGAGTCGGAGCCCAAGGTCGTAGCACCTGATTAGGGGGCTCGAGTGAGCAAGGTTCCTTAGTTATAGGCTTGTACACGTTTGGCCTTCTGGTTTGAACTTGGTCTGTAAATTTATTATATTTATCAGATTGAATTAGAGTTAGGTCATAAGAGAAGTGCTATAAATATTGAAGCTAATTCTCTCCCGAGTTCCGACCATGGACTAACTAACACACGTTGTGTTTGTTGATTAACCCGAGTTGGTGCGTGACAATCACCGTATATAGTTTAGGTCGGCCCATGAAAGTTCATTATTCAAGCCTTGAGAATTGAGACTAATCTACACTTTACGTAACTAATCTTATGGTATGTCTCAAGTAAGTCGTAACTTCTAATGAATGAACAGCAGTCCCACCAGAAAAACATTGCGTAATATACTTGTTCTGGCATCATCAAATCTGACCACTATGCTTCTACGAATGAAGAGAAACGTTAATCACTCAGTTACATTCGTATAGTAATAACTACTTGCCCTACTTAGTGCAATCTGGGAAACAAATTGAAAACGGCCAGCCACTTGCTACCCACCATCACTGCTCCATTACTCTGCATCATCCTACCCGCCAACTTCATTTTCTTCGTCTTCTACACTAACTCTATATATCATCTACTATGCACCTGTCAAAATTCATAGCCTACCATGGCTGTCAGAGGACTACAGCTTCAGCTTAAACCCAGTAGACAAGAAATCATCCCTGCCAGCCAAAACAAACACAGTAAACTCTAATTCAGCATTCTCTTATGAACAACATAGCAAACACATTCCAATAGAGAAAATACCATACCTCTTCTTCTCCTTCTTCTGCAGCCTTGGTTTCTGTTGCTGCTTGTCAACTTCCACTTCATCGGAAGGAAACTTGCCATCGGGCGAAACCAGGCTTCCAATGCAAACAATGGCTTCCATGAACTTCTTCTCCAACCCATGGATGGTGATCTCCTCAGCAGCATCCTTCTGAGGATTCTTCTTCTTCAGGTCATACCACACAAGCCTCTTGTAATCCAACTGGAGAAGAATCTCCTGACCGGTCCTGGAGAATCCGAGTGATCGAATCCCATCATCGTAGCACAACCCGGGATGTGGAACAGAGAGCATCACACTCCATGACTCCTTGACACCATACTCTTTCATCATCCAGATATCGACCCCCTTGTCCCAATAGTTCGCAAAGATGCACAGACACTTCCCCAGCTCGCCAATTCTCACGCTCAAGGATTCCCCATGTCTATACTCTGGCTGTGGGACTTCCCTACATTCGCTACGCCCTAAATCGAAACCAACAATCACATTGCGTATATCAGGATCCTTGTGAACTAGCCAATGAATCGCCCCACCCACGAACACGCCCAGTTTCTCCGCAGAAGCTAGGTAATAAGGGAATGTCATTGACACACTAGAATTGGACCTAACCCCATAACTAACCAGTTCTGAATGGAAACTAATTTCAATTTCTGCAGATTCGAGCACTTGGTTTACCTTGACGACCTTGTAGTCCCCAGACACGGAATCGTACCCGAATCCGCAGCCGTAGCGATAAATGCAGTCCCCTTTGCTTCCGAAACTCAGCAGATTCGTTATGGCAGGCGTGACATGAGACCTCCGCGTCGCTGGATTCGTAATGATGGCGTTCTCGAAGCCGAGGCCGAAGCAGAGAAGCCCGTTGCAGGAGCCGAATAGGGTTACGCACTCCCGTGGAATTTTGACGCCAACTTGGGCCGAAGAAGACGGGTTGCTACGGAAGTCGAGACAGGTTTCGCGGCGGATGCCGTCGATGTAAGGGGCGAAGTGTAGGTCGCCGTTCTCGTACCCGTCGTCTTCGAGGATGAAGAGGGCGGCGTTTTTGGTGGTGGCGGCGGAGTAGTCCATTTGAAGCTTCGCGAACCTTGGGCTGTCGATCAGAGACAGCCAGGGTTTGCAGACGCCGCGGCAGCGCAGAATCGCGGCCACCGGCAGCCGGAGGAGAATGTTGGTGACGAGATCGAAGGGAAGGTAGTCTGACATTTTCCTTTTGGTTGCTGACAATCTGCCGGGAAAGGGGAAAATGTGAAAATTTGGAGTTTCTTGACGGGGACGAGGCGTGAAGAAAACTCTGGAATGGATGGGCTGACCGTCAAGCTGACCAGCTAGGACTGCTTTGATGGTTCTCCAAACAAATCAAATCCCGCCACGTGTAAATTTAAAATAATGAGAGAGATTGCCTTATTCACGTTCTTTTTATTAATTAATCAATTATATAAACGTAGTAATGGTCTACTCCCGCCCCATTTCACCGCCGCCGTGGAGGCAGCTGGTTGTCGCAACCGCAGCTTACTTCCGGTTCAGACAGAGTTCAACTTCCCCGCGGAGCCATTATTGGTCAATCCCACGCGCCGGCCGAAGGTTAGGACGGCGGCGGCGGCGGCGGGTGCTGCATGGAGTCCATCATTCACTTCCATTTTCCTGAACAATGGGCTCAAGTCGTTGCCGAACCGGTCCAATAAATGTGGGGCTGGTAATCGGCCCATGAGAAGGCAATGATTCTAGTCCAGAAAGCCCAATTCCGCTGTCAAAGACCCGGCCCAGATGGAGCTTACAAAAAAAGGCGGAAGAATGCAAACGTTGCAGTTCCCACTAGGGCTGGGCATGCGGGCGGATCATCCGCGGGTTTGGGCCGACCCACCCGCATTTGACCCGAATTTCGTTAAGTGGGTGGGTCTATGGGTGGGTGACGGGTTGCGCTAGGAGCCATCCGCCGGGTGGTGGGTGGGTTGTGGGTGAGTGTGCGGGTGACCCGCTCAACCCAACACCAAAAAGATCAAAGTCGTTGGCGCTAGAGAGAGGAGAGTGGAGACGTTAGATATAAACTCGGACTGCTCCTGGAGTTTGAAGCTCAAAGCCAACCTTCCAAATAGAGATCCCCTCTTCTTCCCTTTACTTTTTCCTCTAATTATTGTGCCTAGATTGCCGCTCTTTCCTTTGTGGAATTATTTTCCTTAGTTCCTTGCACCTAATAATCATCTCAATTTGTAGAAAACTCTTTCATAATAGAATTTCTATCCAATTTAAGAACTAATTCGACATTTTTCGCCCTATTTCAACTTCTTGTTTCCCTCGATGATTCTCTTCACCTATTATCATTTCAAGTTGACTCCTTTATATTATATACATTGTAATGTGGGTGAACCCACAAACTCACCCGCATCATCCACCATCCGCCCGACCCAACCCGAGACTAAATGTGGGTGGGTGGTGGGTTAAAAATTATCAATCCATTTAAGCGCGGGTGAGTGCATTTTATGGTCAAAATCCACCCGACCCACCCAATGCCCACCCCTAGTTCCCACATCTCCCACTACCATCAGTCACTCTCGATCACGATTCACGAAGGGGTCATTTGGATGCAGGTTTTGGGTGTGGGATTTGGGCACAATCCTACATAGTGTAGGATTTTAATTAAATCACTCGTTTGGAAAACAATTATATGATGAGAGATTTTAAATATTAGAGATTTCAGAAACCCACAATTGTGGGATTATGAAATAGCTGATGGTGATCAGCTATTTTAAAATCCCACACAAATCCCACAAATTAAAAACCTAGGTTTTTGAACCAGTGATTTGAGCCAAAATCCCACAAATTAAAAACCTGCATCCAAATGACCCCGAAGTTCGCTCTCTCAGTCGCAACAATGTCCGATTGCCTTCCTCGCGACGTTATCACCAGGGAAGTCCTCTTCCGGCTTCCGGTGATCTCCCTCCTCCGCTGCCGCTCCGTCTGCAAGGAGTGGCGCTCGCTGATCGACAGCCCGGAATTCATAAACCGCCAAATCAACCACTCCGCCGCCACCACCCGGAACGCCGTCCTCTACCTCCTCGACGAAAGCGACGACGGCCTCTACCCGATCCTCCAATTGAGCGGCCTCCACCGTCAATCCTTCTTCCTGCTGCCTCCCCGATTCCCTTACCTCCCTGCCATATCCCCTTCCCATCCTCCGTTCAGACCTTTCGCCGAAGCCCCCACCGTCTTCGGCTCCTGCCGCGGCCTGCTCTGCCTCCGCTACATCAGCACCGACCAGATCCACATCCTCAACCCGGCGACGCGATCGGAGGTGCTCTCTCAGGCTGTTCTGCCCGACGGCTTCATGACCCGCTACGAGAAAGCCGGTTACTCGAGCTCGGAGCTCGGAGCTCGGAGCTCGGGTACGGATTCGGGTACGATTTAGGGTCCGACGACTACAAGGTCGTCAGGATCTGCCATTTGATCGGACAGGGAGGCGAGAAACGGGAATCGGAGGTGATTAGCTTTGGGATTAGGTCGAGAATCTGCCAGGTACTGAAAATCCCTTACGTGCTTGCTTCCACTTATCAGAAATTGGGGGTTTTCGTGGGCGGGGCATTGCATTGGACGGTAATGGATTCCTCGCGCTCTAAGTTTGTTGTGGTTGCGTATGATGTGGGGCTGAATCAATGCCGGGAAGTTCCACAGCCGGCGGAGTATGGGGATGGGAATGGTGGTGGCTACTTCTTGAGCCTTGGGGAATTGAGGAACTGCTTGTGCATTTTTGCTAACTACTTGGGGGAGAGTGTTCATGCGTGGATGATGAAGGAGTACGGTGTGGAGAGTTCTTGGACCAAGCTGTTCTCTGTTCCGAATTCGGGCTTGTCGTATCATTTCTCACTGGTGCCTCTAGGGCTGTCCATGAATGGTGATGAAGTTCTGCTGCATTTGGATGGGGAAAGGCTTGTTTGGCTTGAAATGGAGAAGGGAAAGGGTGCTCAAGAGATCACCATCCTTGGATGGGAAGGCGGGGACTTCGGTGCTGCGGTTTGCTTTGCAAGCTTGGTTCCCCCTGATGGGAAATTGCCTCCTAAAGAAGTGATCGTTAGCAAGAAAAAGCAAAAGGAAGTAGTGGCTGAAGAGGAGGAAGAGAACTGTTATGATCACGAGTACTATGTATGTATTTTGACATGATCAACTATGCGATACTTACTTGTTTGGGTTATTGTTTGCATCTCGCTGGTTGATTTATGAATCGTTGTTGTTTGTGGGTTTCAGGAATGCGACTGTTGTGATGGATGGGACTCGCCTGAGGGTGGCTTTGATGAAAATTTCTATGTATGTCTTGTTGACTTGAGTGTTAGATGAGAATCTTTTATCTCTTTGTTTGTGTTACTCTCTTTGCTATGTATTATACACGGCCTGCAAGCTCAGAGTGACGAAGAGTCCATCAATATCGATTATGTGTGTATTACGTGTTTGCTTGTGTGCTTTCTTATGCGTAACATGTTTTGATTCCCCTGTTTCCATGGCTGCAGATCGATTACTACTCACTGTAAGAGGACGATGAAGCTGAAGTGGTACTGAAGCGCGCACCAGCCAAGGTGTACTAAACTAAACTAAACAAAGGATCATTCCCCTTGTCCTTTCTATGTTTCCTCTACCCATTAGGATTACAATTATTGACATTGCTGCTGATTCTTTATGTAAGGTGGGAGCAGCCATGGATCGATGGAGGGGGATGCAGAATATGTTTGCTTCATGCATAATGAAATCTTCAGGTTATCAGTTTCATCTTTTGTTTTGTCCTTGAGGGACCTTTTGGCAGGAAATGGTGTTGTTTAGGACCTTTTGTTCCTCCGTGACCTACTTACTTGGTCTCCTATACAATTAGCCTCGAGACTGCTTGTAAATGGTGTTTGTTTAGGTAGATATGTGCCTTTGTTTAATTGTGTTCTCGATCCCTAATTGTGGACTAGTGAGGATGTAATTGTATTATGGATGTAAATTGATTTGTTCTTTGCCCTCTTGATTTGCTTGTCGTGCCAAATTGCATGCAAATGCATGCATGAGAGTTGAAAGTTTGGCCAAATGGTTTAGGCATGAGATTCCAAAGAGGAATAAACAAATGTGTGACTGTCGACCTCGTGGCCGACAGCATTCCAATTGGGTTGATTTGGTATAAACCTATTCTAATTGGGTATGTAATTGTTTATGGTTTGTCATCAAACAATAAAAAACAACTATTTATGCCTACTCACACATTGGGTGGATTTATGTATTAGGGCAAGAACACAAGATATTAGATTATTAGGGCAAGAAAACAAGATATTCAAGGACAATTGAAAGAGAATGTGAGGGAAGAAAAGATATAAAATATGGGTTGTCCAATCCAAACCAATACCAATTAATATGGGTTAGACTAGATATTAAACAATTGAACGTTTGGGATTATCCAAATTCAATTGTACGTATTGGGTGTTTTTTAGACCCATTGCAGTTTTTACTCGCGGATATAGGTATGCAATTTTTTTTCTTTTTGTGGGATATGGGTATGCAAATTTGATCAAGCTATAGACCAATCCATTTGGCAAACTGAAACGATTAGACATAATTTCGATTTCGATTATATAAATGTTTACATAAAATCATTGACCGGGTTCGAATCCAAACGAAGAGCTGAGCAACCAGATTCATAAACAAATATATTTTTCTGCATTTAATGTCGACAACAATAACTAACCATTCATCACAATTCACAAGCGATTAAAATAGGTAATTTAGAAACTCGGTCATAAATGAATATAAATACAAATGAAAACAAAGCATTCCACACCCAATTGAGCCCGAGATAATATCATTACATTCGAATAATTAGGTCAAAACATATCATTCACAATAAAGGTTAACCTATCGTTTCAGCAATAGCTACTTGCACCAAGTGCAATCTGTCTGATGCACAATTAGAGTTTCCACCGATCCCAAAATAGCCAAAAGCCTTCCCCAACTTCCTACCAGCCCCAAAATGTAGAGTGAGAAACAAACTGAAAACTACTCCACTGCATCACCCTATCGACTGACTTCCTCTTCTACCCTATTCTATAAATCAATTACCTTGTTATAGAGCAATAACCCAGAAACGAACCTTGTTTGACTGACTACAGCTTCAGCTTGAACCCACTAGCCAAGAAATCATCCCTGCCAACCAAAACAAAGCAGTTCTATGTAAGGAACACCATATGATCACACACAGTGGCTACTGGCTAGTACACGAACACACAAATTCCAGGAGAAAGAACAAACCTCTTCTTCCTTTGGGTCTTCTTCTTCTTCTTCTTCCTTCCGGGTCCAGGTTTCTCTGGTTGCTTGCCAACAACTTTCACTTCCTCCTTGAGCGCAACCAGGCTGCCAAAGCATACAACTGCATCCATCCACCCCTTCAACCCATGGATGGGGATCTCCTCAGCAGCAGCAACCTTCTTAGGATCCTTCATCAGGTCACACCAAACAAACCTCTTGCCATCCAACTGCAGAAGAACCTCCCCGCCAGCAGCCACGGAGAATCCCAAAGGATTGATCGTTGGTGCAACTTAACTCGGGATATGGAACAGAGAACAATATGCTCCATGACTCCTTGACACCATACTCTTTCATCGTCCAAACATCCACGAATTCATCCTTGTAGTCTGCAAACACGCACAAACACTTCCCCAGCTCGCCGAGTTTCAAGTTGAAAGAATCCTTATCTCTGTGGTCTGGCGGTGGCAGTGGCACCTCCCTGAACTCGTGGAGTGCTAAATCAAAGCCAACAATCACGATCTCACTGGTCAGATCGTCGCTGACGGTCCCTCTCCGAGCAGCTGTCCAGTGAATAGCCGCACCCACAAACACGCCTCTTTGCCGTGAACCAAACAGGATATAAGGGAATTCCTTGACAAAACAGGACTTCGAGCTAACCCCATAACCAGCCAAAAGAGACTGGAGAGAATTCACTTTGGGCTTGAACGTCTGGATGATCTGGACTACCTTATAGTCGTCGGAGACGGGATCGTACCCGAACCCATGCCCATGGTTGTAGATCATATCTGGCCTGCCGTCGCCGAAGCTGTAAATTCCCACACCGGTATTGAGCGATTTCATGAAGAGTTCATACGGCATCAAGTAAACCTTTCTAGTGGCGGGATTCCACAGGATTACCTCTTCCCAGTTGCGGGCGAAACAAAGCAGCCCGTTGCAGGAGCCCAAAACGGCAAGCCCCGAGCCTGGTACTGTGCGGCTAGTTTGCGCAGGAGGGGTGATAGCAATTCCGCGTCGGAGGCCGTTTTCGTATTGGGAGACGGCGTAGTCGCCGTCGACTTCACTGATAAAGAGGATGGCGTTTCTGCCGGTGGCGGCGGAGTGTGCGATTTGGAGCTTGACGAACCTTGGGCTGTCGATCAGTGCCTGCCACGGTTTGGAGACGGAGCGGCAGCGCAGAAGTGCGGGCACCGGGAGCCGGAGGAGAATCCTGGTGATGAGATCGGCGGGAAGGTGATCGGACATTGTCGTTTACTAGCAGCGGAGAGAGTCGGCGGCTTCGAAAGGGGGAAATGCGAAGGTTTTGGAGTGCCGACCAACGGCGAAAAGGTCTGCGTCTGATTCGGAAGGCCATTGAGGGTTTAGGATATAAGTAATCACCACCGTTAGATTGTCGGAGAACTAGCGAATATCCGACGGCTCGGATTAACTGTGTAATTTTGTTTTTATTTTGGTTTTCCTTTTACCCCCCTCAAGTACCTTGTTGCCGAATAAAATAAAATAGGAATGAATGAGATTAAATGTGCATATATCCAGGGAAATTAAATTTGTTAGACCAAATGAACCTTTTAGCTAAAAAACAAACACAACTGAAAATCGAACCCGAACCCGATAAGGACTTTCAGTTAAAGCAAAACCGAAATACGAAAACCCTAAGAATACGGTATGAGTACTATTTTTTGGAGGTTTTCAGCTGAAACCCGAAAAACCAATAAGCAAAATTGAACCCGAAACCAAAAAATCCAAAACCCGAAACAAATCTGAACCCGAAAAACCGAAAATGTATCTAATCGGGTCGGCTTCGGGTAAAAAAAAAAAAAAACGAAGGGACACCCCTAGTTTGACCGGATTGGATCCGATCGGATACCAGGAATATTAAGGTATTGAGGTACCATCGCATCCCTACCATCATCACTAATGTTTTGAGTGACCATATCTATATGTGATCACTAGTGGAAAAACAGTAAATGGCTAACTACAATTCGCCATGGCCTGACCTCATGAATATAAAATACTAATCATTCTGCTACAACCGATTCCAAAAACAAACCATTTCATCCAAATAACTGGGTCAAAATATGATGAGGCACCCATAAGGTTTAACATATACCATATTCGTTCCAAGTAATAAACTCCATGCACCAACTGCAATCTTGTCTGATGCTATTTGGTTGCCAACCTCCTAACATCATATATGCTAAAAATGGCCCAAAATGCCTCAAAATGTAGTGTGGGAGACAAACTACTCCTCATCCCCACCGGCCATACTACTCCACTGCATTATCCTATAAACTAACTTCTTCTTCTACCCTATTCCATATATCATAGCATCCAAGTAACGAAGAAATGAACCCTTTTCAACTGACTACAGCTTCAGCTTGAACCCACTAGCCAAGAATTCATCCCTGCCAATAAAAAAACAATGGAGTTCTAAGTACGGATCGCCATGTGATCATACAATCAAACAAACAAACAAACACAGTAGCTAGTGTACTTGAACACACACAAGTTCCAGGAGAAAGAACAAACCTCTTGTTCCTTTGGGTCTTCTTCTTCCTTCGGGGTCCTGGTTTCTCTTGTTGCTTGTCAACTCTCACTTCCTCTTTGGGCTGTGGAATCTTGGCACCGGGCGAAACCAGGCTTCCATAGCATACAACTGCATCCAAGGACTCCCCCTTCAACCCATTGACGGTGATCTCCTCTGCAGCAACAACCTTCATAGGATCCTTCATGTCATACCAAACAAGCCTCTTGCCATCCAATTGCAGAAGAACCTCCTGACCGGTCACCGAGAATCCCAGAGGATTGATCGTATCACTGAAACATAATCCGGGATATGGAACCGAGAACAGTATGCTCCATGATTCCTTAACACCATACTCTTTCATCATCCAAGCCTCCACATACCGATCCTTGTAATCAGCAAAGATACACAAACACTTACCCAACTCACCAAGTTTGAAGGTGAAAGATTCCCCACCATTAGTGTACTTTGGCTGTGGCAACTCCCTGGACTCATTGCGCCCTAAATCAAAGCCAACCAGCACGATATCCGGATCCGGATCGAAATCCTCACTGTTCGGATCCTCTAGTTTACCAACTATCCAATGCATAGCCCCACCCACAAACACACCTATATCCCGGGAATCAAATAGCACATAGGGGAATTCCACGTCTACCTGAGAATTCGACCTAACCCCATAGCTAACCAAGTGAGAATTGAGAGAATGAACTTCGGGCTTGAACAGCTGGACAATCTGGACCACCTTATAGTCGTCGGAGATGGGATCGTGCCCGAATCCGTACCCGTGGTTGTAAATTACGTTACGGCTGCCGTCGTAGTAGCGGTAAGTTCCCACTGTGTGTGATTTGAAGAGGAGTGTAAACGGCAACAAGCAATCGGTTCTAGTGGCGGGATTCGATACGATTACCTTTTCCCAGTCGCAGGCGAAGCAGAGCAGCCCGTTGCACGATCCCAAGAGGGCAACGACCTGGCGCGGCTCGGTGCCGCCAGTTTGCGCAGGAGGGGTGCGAGCGATTCCGCGGCGGAGGCCGTTCAAGTACTCGGCGACGACGTAGTCGCCGCGGGATTCGCTGATGTAGAGGATGGCGTTTTCGCCGGTGGCGGCCGAGTGTTCGATTTGGAGCTTGATGAACGTCGGGCTGTCGATCAGTGCCCGCCAAGATCGGGAGACGGAGCGGCAGCGCAGAAGTGCGGCCACCGGCAGACGGACGAGAATTCTGGTGACAACATCGGCGGGAAGGTGATCGGACATGGTCGTTTACTTGCTGAGAGAATCGGCTTGGAAAAGGGGAACTGCTAATTTTGGGATTACGACGGAGATCGGCGGCAAAAAGGGTCTGCACGTTCGCGTCTGATCCAGGCTATTGAGGGTTAGGATATAGATGAATCCCCACCCTTGGATCGTAGGAGATCCAACGGCTCGGTTTAACGGTAATATCTTCAGTTAATTTGAGTTCGATTTTCTTTTCGTTTTTTTACCCCTTTTCTTTTGACCGCTCAATGACACGAGATTAGGGTTTTCGTGGGTTAATTGCACGCACAAATCAAGATCTCTTGCAAAATAATGGGTAACTAAGGATGTTACTTTTTAGGGGAGGTAGTTTCATTTAAAATTGTGATTTAATTGTGGTTCAATTATTTTATATAGTCAAATATTTATTTGTTGATTTAGAATTCGATATAATATTTTTCTTGTATGAGTGATTGGATGATACAATTTTACACATATTTTTTGGTACATTTTATATCTAATCAACATTTGGATTGAATACGATCTAATCGAACACAGTGGGATTTTATTTCAATTTTACAAGTTTTGTTTATAATCAAGGGAAATGAGGAACGAATAAGATGTTTGTTTTTTTATTCAATTATGATCTATTTGTTAGTTTTTTAGAACAATTGGAGGATTATGATTCTTATGCAATCATAGTAGTAGTTATATAATAAATGAACTTGACTAATCTCATTCCCATCCCACTCTAAATGGGTCGAAAATATAATTTTCACCCGGATAATTGGGTCAAAATATGCATTCCATAATGAAAGACTCGAACAAATCATTAACTATGAAAGTTTAACATATACAACATTCCATAAGTAATAACTTTGTTGCAGTACTAAGTGCTGAATTTTGTCTAATACCATTTAGAGCTTCCACTAATCTCAAAATAGGCACATCCCTTCCCCACCTTTCTGCATCCGTGTATATATGAATGGCCCGAAAACCCTAAATGAGAGTGGGTAAGAAACAAAAACCTCTCCAGTCCATCCTCATCCACTTACACCACTGCATCTTCCTATAAACAAATCTTTATTAACCAAATCTTTATTATATGAATTTTTTATGGCCTTATTATATAATAAACAAAAAAAAAATCAAAAGTAAATGATCGGAATAGCCTTTCTCTAATATGAGCCATCAAATTTTCTCATTTCTTTTAATATAAGGGAGCGGAATCACTTATTCGACTTTCAATAGTCTTTCCGCATTACTCTCGACTCTTGACACCTTTCTGGTCGTTGAAATTCAAGAAGTTTATTCATCAGGAAAAAAAAGTCAAGAAGTTCCCCCCCCCCCTTACAAGTTGTTTCTTTCAGCAAGAAAACGAAGAATGTCCAATTACGTCCCGTGCGATGTCTCACACAAATTATCCTACAGCTTCTGATAGTCGGGCTGGCCGCACTCTTGCGCTTCTGCTGCGTCTGCAAACCTTTGCGGACTCTGATCGACAGCAAAATATTCATCAAGCTACAAATCAACTACTACGCCGCACACCAAATCGATGATCTGTGCTGTGAAATCAATCTCAACTTTGTGATTGACACAACTCAAAGCAAGAGCGCAACTATTTGGGTTCAATACTCGAGAGTCGAGACTGATGTAGAAAGACTATTCCAAGTCGAATAAGTCATTCAGCACCCTTGCATTAAAAGAAATGAGGAAATTCTATAGCTCATATTAGCGAAAGGCTATTCAGGTCATTTGCTTAGGTCATTTGCTTTTGATTTCTTTTTCTTTTTTCCTCATTTATTATATGATAAGGCCATAAAAATTCAAATAACAAAGATTTGGTTAATAAAGATTTGTTTATTATATAAACAAGGAAAAAAGAAAAATGATTAAAGATCTAAACGTCTAATGCAAAAAAATGTTTTGTTTAACAATGGAAATTCAACAAAAAAGACTATTGAGTGCTGTATGGATAAGTAATCGCCCACGCTTGGATTAAAACAAATAAAAAATTTCAATGGCCTAGATTAACGAAATGTATTCATGTAAGTTGTTTTTCATTTTGATTTTGATTTCTCATTTTCTTATAAATACTTCGTTCCCAAAAATACAACAATAATTGGTATATTGATTCTAGAATTGGGAACCAATTGGATCGGAGTCGACATAATATTTGAAAACAAATCAAGTTGAACATAATAAAATTAAGTACGATATATCATTAAGAAAAAAATGATCGAATTCTTGAATCGAATCAGACCAAAGATATTTTCAATTTGGCTCTAATCTTTTGTATCTCAACTCGATACAAAGTATATCTTATAGAAACGTAACACATCCCAATTGAAATTTGGAACACCCGACCAAGCGAAATAAGCATTTGGTCATTTGGAACTATTCCTCTAGCTCGCTAACTATTTGGTTTGTTGCTAATCTCATTCTCTACACACTGCATCGTGTTAAGGTTGAGATTATAACCACTATTACCATTTTTTTAAGTGTGGTCGGCACAATTACTAGTGTCATCTATTGATTATGAGTATCACTGAACCCTAACTCCACTAATTCTGCTAAAATAGGATTAACAACGATAATAACAAACTATTAACCTGATTCCTATTCCGAAACTAATATGGATTAATAACAAACGCGCAAGTACTAACTAGTATAAAACTACAAATACAGAAAACTCCATTTGCTTAGTGCTCCGACAGAATTATTTCCCAAACTTTTGCCGGAGGGCAGAAACCTAGATCAGAGCGCCCCAATGTCTGTCTGGCTTCCCGAGGAAATCATCACCGGCGAAATCCTCTGCTGGCTGCCGGCCCGGCCACTCCTCCGCTTCCGGTCCGTCTGCAAGCACTGGCGCTCCGTAATCGACAGCCCGGACTTCATCCAGCGCACCATCCGCAACTCCGCCGCCACAACTTGGTCCCCCGCCAGAGACATCTTCCTCCTCGCTCGACAAGTCAGCTACTCAATCCCATACTCCGCCGGCCTCCTCCGCCGTCACACCTCCCCGCAGAGCCTCCCCCAGTGGCGTTCCGACGGCGGCATCACCCTCCTCGGCTCCTGCCACGGGCTGGTCTGCCTCGGCTACACGGGCACCAACCGGGTCTACCTGCTCAACCCGGCGACCCGAAAGCACCACTCCACCCTGCAGGCTCCCCTGCCCCAAGGGTTCATGGCCCGATTCCACGAACCCGGCGGCCAGGCGACGGCGTGGTGGCAGCCATTCGCGTACGGATTCGGGTACGATCCGGGGATTAAGGATTACAAGCTCGCCAGGGTGTACATCACGGGGGACGAGTCCCACGCGAGGTGTAAATCGGTGGTGTTCTGCTTCGGCATTTCGTCGAACACCTTGCGGGCAGCAGAGATACCCTTTTGCGGGATGATTGAGCAGAGGTCGGGGGTTTCGGTAGGCGATTCCTTGCATTGGCCGTTCCGCATGAGGTACGGTGAGAATTCGATCATTGTGGCGTACCATCTCGGGGCGAATCAGTGGCGGGGAATTCCCCTGCCTCGCGAGGGTTTTGGTCACGAGGTCGCCTTCAACGTCGTGGGATTGAGGAATCGCTTGTGCGTGTGCAATCGCGCGGCGGGTCGTGATGAGCTGGGGAAGAAGGTTGTTCATGTCTGGATGATGAGGAGAGATCAGTACGGTGTGGAGGCGGCGTGGAGCAAGCTGTTCTCGATTCGGGAATCGGGGTATCTGGATTTGTCGTCGTTGCCGGTGGCTCTGGATCTGTCCGTCAATGGCGACGAAGTCCTGCTGTATTTGGATGGGGGAATGCTCGTTTGGTATGATACAAAGAAGGAGAGGCCTGGTCAGGTGGTGTATTTGGATGGCGGAAGGCTTGTTTCGGTTGACATGGAGACGAACTATGTACCTATTAAGCATTTAGTGGGGAGGATGGGCTTCGACGCCATTGCTTGCTTCGGTGGTGTTGTTCGTCCGGATGGAAACTAAACCCTAGCTTGTAGCAGCGGGAGAGGAAGACAGACAGAAAGACAGACAGGGAAGTGTCGTCTCCATTAAAGCACGCAAAAGCTCTACCTCTCGTTGCTTGCTTTCTTCTTGGCGTTAGTTTGCTTATTCTCTATGTTTATATTAATCCTTTGGTTAAATTGCAAGTTTGGTCACTCGAATTGCTATAAAATTTCACATTTGGTAACTCGAATTCGTTTATTCCATTCGTAGTCACTTAAATTAGTTGAACAGTCCAAGTTCGGTCACTCTCCGTTAACCTCCGTCAGACTCCGTTAGTGCCGTCAGTTAACTGCTGACGTGGCTAACTGAGATGCCTAATCACCCAATTTTAACCCAAAAATTGACCCGCCACGTCAGAAAAACATGCCACCTCATATAAACACAACCCAACCCACCTCATATAAACCTTACAAATGACTTATAAAATGAGTTCATATTCCAACCAGTTTGGCATCGCAAGTTATAGTTAGGATAACATCTATTTCGATATATATATATACTAGCTTATTACCCGGCCCGTTGGCCGGATTACTGTATGTTACCCACTTGTGGAATGGGAGAGAAAGCAAGTGAGAGTGAAGGGATTGAGATTCCACTTGATTAGGACCGACCCACTAATCCAATTCTTCCCGACCCGCCCCAACCTACAGGGTCAGAAAGAGTCAATAAGAAAATACGAACGGGGAGGATTAGTCATATATCTTGACTCTTCAGAAGTGGGTCAAACAGGATCAAGGTTGGGTGAGGGCAATTTTTAGCGCTAAGCAGAGTTCTGGGTTGAATACCTTTACTTAGGCCTAGAAATTGGTGCTGATGCAGACTGCAGTTTTTATTATACCATCATCAATCATCATTGAATTAGTCCTGGGCATCCCTCCCCGTTGTCGGTCTGAATTCTAATGATGGCTTCATTCCTTGCACCAGCCATATCAGCGAGTTGCCATCTCGAGCATGATTTGCCTATGTACAAATAATACAGTTAGAGTATGAAAATGAATTCAATGAAAAGGAAAAGAGAATTCTATCACATGCCAATAAATACACACATAATAGTTGAAGATAAGTGAAAGTCATTACTCGCACATCAATTCTCAAAAATTACAGACTAAACATTGGCTAGAATGGCACTGAAACTACCAAGAATCATGGACGAAACAACTTGTCAAATTAAATAATCGTTATACTGAAACTACCTTCTAACTTGAAATAAGACATGATCACAGTTCATAGCTCTCTTCTCACTATGAATTGGTTGCAGCTCGTCCTTATCACTGCCTCTCAAGCTCAATTCAAACAGAATAGAGACCGTTATGTAAGATAACCATATTCTTACTGATCATAATTCCTTTCTTCACTCCATTTTTGTCGGAGAAAAGAGTTATCCCCCTCTCCTGCATTTCCCTTTCCCCCTCTCTTCTCCCTCTTCTTCACAAACCGATCCCTAAACCAGCAACAACAACACAAAAATAGCCTTCGCCTCTCCCGTCTCCATCTATTGAACGCGTTGGTGGCAAGACAGGACTGCAGAAGCAAAATTTTCTAAAATCAAACTAAATTTTTTGAAGCAGACTCAACCACGAAAAAAGAGTAAAACAACAATGCAGTAGAACCCTAAATTTAACTACAATCAAGCACATATCAGCAAGATTTTCGATATGTCTGAGAGTTAACTACACGGAGAGAACAATTGATGCATAATTGAAATGCTCCAAGCAAGTTGAAGGCAAACCATAACTTTAGAATTTGGTCATTATAATAACCTTCAAGTATTGATGCTTCTAAGAACTATCATGTCCAACCCCCACTTATACAACTACGTAGCCATAGTAATTAGTTGTATAATGAGAAATATTACAAAGAAAACTACATAAACAACCAATGTAAGTAAATATTAAAACTAACAACTGATAAAACTTAAAATCTCTCTATTGGTATAAATGTATCTATTAGTAACTACTATGCAATCGAGTATATATGATTTTTAGGCACTGAATAAGAAAAGTATAGATGGCTCACAAATGAAGACGTAGCAACTGAAGGTAGCACACAAAAACCAAAAATAGAAAAAGAGATAAGAAAAAAGGCGAGAAAAAGTCAAACAAAGAAAAAGCCCACATAGGAATACCTCGCTAGCTTTAGGGACTCTCTGCCACAACAAACAACCTTCTTAAAAATCTAACACCCTGAGACATCAAACAAACCTCCCACGACACTAATGTATGGCATTCCTATTGTCCAATAGGTTTGCCCAATTTAGACTTCTAAATAAATGGACTTTTCACCATTAAACCAAAACTCACAATCATTAACAGTTAATGCAAAGACATACATTTCTGAGGCCAATCACAGCATTTAAGCATAATTTTTAGTTGAAAGGAACAACTAAGTATTTAGCTAAATGATATAGTAGAATGGACACAATCTGCTACCTACTAATGATATAAACGTGTACCGGTACCATCGTTGTATCCTGACTTGCCATTTGCAACGGGCACTTTGAAAGACAGCTGCATTTTAGAGAATAAACACCCATAAGGGCGTTACGAAACCAAGCTTAATCCGAAATCTTCATATTCCACTTCGAAGACTCCATTTTCAAAAATAAGAGAGTTTAACATGTCAAATCACTCATTTGAAAAATCTCAAACAACTATTAATCAATGCAATATAAAGGCACGTTCCAAATTATGTACTTGTAGGACTAATCCCAAATAATTATCAATTAATGCCCCAACTACCTAATGTGCAGAATAGCCCTGGAGCTGTGCTGTTGTTTGCGTTGGTCTACCTTCAAACATAACATAGTTGCATCACGAACCAAAGCAATTAAGCAAAAATCTTCATATTCCAAGTAGAATGACTCAATTCAATTTGGCCAACGCTTTATACATATTGTTTACCCCTGGACCTGTTGCACTTGCGCCTTCAGATCTTCGTGAACACAATACAATTGCGGAGAGGAGGCTGTCAACGGAATAAAAATTGTTAATTAAGTGAATCACAATACAACTAAACAAACGCGCTCTTCTTGATTAGCTATCAAAATAGTGGGGGTCGCTACAATCCATCGGTTGCTCCCTCTGCGCCTAAGTTGTAGATATTAGGTTTCAGTGAGAACTTTGAGTACATGAGGAGATATTTTGTAGTGGAGGAGATGAACCGGCGAGTAGAATAGGAAGATTTGGAGAGGCTGCGATGGGCAAAGCAGTTAAAATCGAGATTTTACCTAAAATCAAAAACTGGGGTAAAATCAAAATCGTATAATCGAATTGTAAAATCGTAGGATTTTAAGTACCATATAGAACATAGCATATAAGAATATTAATAAGGTAAATTCTTAATATCACAAAGACACATAGCATTTAAAATGATAGTTCAGAAGATTTTTTTTCCATAAGATAATTCTCAAGATTAATGTTCCAAAATCACTATTTTAATTGTTATTTAATGTGTAACTCAAAATAATTCATGATGAAGGGATATAGTTCATGGGTTTGGCTCTTATTTTCATGTTATGTCTAGGTTGTTTAACTCAAAGTAATATTTCGACATCGTCTACTAAGTATGATTTAAAACTAAAAAATAATTGAACTCCAATAAAATAAGTAATGTTAGTGGCTTGGTACAAATATATTCATTAATAAATTAATTAGTTAATAATGATGTTAGTTCTTACATACTTCCAATATTAGGACAAGTGTTTTACCAATAAGTTAAATGGGGTGAAGGGAAAGAGATTAACCGAACCCTAATTTGGTTATTTTTATTATTTTTGAATATTTTTCTAATAGAAAAATATCTGAGAAGATTCCATTGCCCTTTCCGCTGAAACAGTTATACTTATTTTAAATTGGCTCAAACCACCTATTTTGTTCTCTTACGATCAAAATCCCGATTTCGGTACTATTTTACGATTTTAACGATTTTAGTCCCAATTTTAAACGATTTTAAGGTCCACCGATTTTATAGTAAAATCAAGATCGGAATCTCTAAGTAAAATCCTAAAATCCTACGATTTTACGATCAAAATCCCGAATTTGACTGCATTGGCGATGGGTTCACGATTAGTGAGCCAAATAACAGTTTGGGCCCGTTTAAATGAAAACATATTTTTACTTTCGTGCTCAACAGACCGACCGCACTGGCATCTTCTAAATTTACCCCTAAAAAATGGCTCTGTACGCATCAAGTTTGAAATGGAATCCCTCTTTTCTCATTTCACATTTCACATTTATATGATGTGTAGATTGTGATGAGTGTAGATGTAGACCTGTCATTGTCCTACAAATTCATTAACACGCCAAAAAGTGGTGAAATGAGCCACCCTATTAAACACAATCTTGTATAATGATCATTGGATCCAATCATGCCAGATTATGAAGAAGTTTAAAATGTAGCGGTTATCCCGACTAAAACATTAAAAGAACCAGTCTCATATAGTTTGCACAAAGATATAATTTCTCCATAGTAATTCTGAAAAATAATATTAATTTAAGAAGTCGATATTGCTTCTACATGTTTAATATTGCAATTCGATATGCAATATTCGAACCAGTGATATTTGGGCTGCAATTTTAGGATTATTGTATATTTATAAAATAGATAGAAATTTAAATTAAGTATTAAACTACAACTAAAATAATCAAAGTATTAAAACACCAAATAAGTACTTACGGGAGATTCAGTGGCCAACTAATCGTTAAAAAAGTCATATGATTTTCATAATTTAGGTTCGTGTATGTTTGAATTTAAATAGATACAACAAATATACTTAGTGTGATTGGTTATGATCCTTGCTTGCTTTTAAAGAGACCAAGGTTCAAATCCCAGTGCATGCCTTTTTTATGAATAAATAAATAAGAAAATAAGCAATTGTGAAGACCAAAATATCCTTCCTATAATCACTCTCGTTGCAGGAAATTTGAAATGGAGCAACAGTTTTCATCATTCGGCTTTTATTTATTATCTAGATATATTTTATAAGTTTGTGGTATCTATCGAAATGATAGTAAACTATGGATTGGCAGATGATGCATTTAGACCCTGGGAGTTTTCTATGTTACCTTTATGGATCCGGATGTTGCACGTTGGCTCTTGTATGACTTGGTTGACGATTTTGAGGTTAATTAATTGAGGCTGTGGTGCTTGCACCTTTTTCACCCAAAAAAAAGTATAATAAATGCTCGGGGGAATTGGAAGTGTAGATACGTAATTGTTTTAAGTAAGTTAAGCTTAGGATATTACATCTTAGAAAATTAGTGTCGATAATTAATTCATTAGGAGGATATAGAAACAAACTTTAATGTTAATGAATTTAATGCCTAGTTAATTAATATTATCCTACTAATAGTATGTAGTACCTAAACAGCTAAACTCAATGAGTACTATATCAGATCAAACGATAATATCACCCTTATAAAAAGAAACAAATCATATTATAACACATCATATTAGCGAACCACCCGGTAAATACAGTGATACCACAATCGACTTGACAAGATTTTGTTCAAATTGACATACAAGATAATATCGATGCGGGGGGCATTTTAAATGAGTCAATAGAGTTAAAAGGAGCCAATGGAGAATATCTCATCCATGCAACTCCCTATGTTATTTTAAATGATTCAACCAAATTGACAAGATATTTATGATAATTTTGATTGAAAAAGATGGATCAGAATGTAGAGTCCAGCTCATCATATGAAAATATTAACCTAAAAATATAGTATTGGAAAATAACTTCACAAGTCAGTAAGTCACAAACAATATTGGTATTGGTGAAGTTCAGAAAGTCACGAGGCCATTAGGGATTATATTCCAGGTGGCATTTTTTTTCCTTCTGTGCTGAATGTATTCCATGTGTGACCCATGCAAATATGGAAAATAATAAATAATAAACATAAAATCAATAGCTGGAGCCCATAAATATGATCAAAACTCATGCAAGAAAGAGTAACATTAACATCCCTGGCCTGCTCATCAATTTCTTTCAAATGGAGCTCTTCCACCAAATAATCCATCCCATCTTCCTGCTCCTCTTAATCCTCACCATAATTTTCTCGCGGGTACGAGATAGAAAAACCGGTCACCGGCGCCGCACCCTGCCGCCATCCGCCGGCCGGAAGCTCCCCGTGATAGGTCACCTCCACCACTTCCTAACCACCCGCCAGCTCCCCCACCGGCTGCTCCGCGACCTGGCCAGAAAACACGGCGACGTCATCAGCCTCGACCTCGGGGAGATACGCCACGTGGTGATCTCGTCGGCGGAAGCCGCCAGGGAAGTGATGCGGACCCACGACATCAAGTTCGCCCAGCGGCCAAGGCACCCTCAGCAGGCCAAAGTCATGTACGGCGGCGTCGACCTCATCTACGCGCCTTACGGCGAGTACTGGCGCCAGCTCCGCCGCATCGCCACGCTGGAGCTCCTCACCGCCAGGCGCGTGGACTCCTTCCGCCGCGTGAGGGAGGCCGAGGTGATCGTTGTTGTCTAGTATTACGTTAATGCGTGCTTGTTGCCATGCATGATTGATATGTGTAATACTGACCCTAAAACCCACTAATCCAGATTGGCCCTCAAGGTCGGATTAGGTTAATTTTTGTATTGGGTCATATTAGATTCGGATCATCTTTTAATCCTATAAGATTAGGGTAGGATCGTGTCAATTTGGGGTCGGGTCAATTTATGGACCTAGTTGCAAACAAATAAAGTCCAGGTACTAAAGTGTAAGAAAAATAAATCTGAGCATCAAAATGTTTTTTTTTCTAAATATCAGTTTGTTGCTTGATTTGGCCGAATCCAAGTAGGTCAGACAGGATCAAGGAGGAATGAGGATAGGACGAGCCAATTTTATAGTTTAACCATGTAGGGACGGATCAGGCAAGATTATTTGCACAACATGAGGGACATGTCTGATCTAGTTTCTAGCTCTAATATATTAACCACTTCCTTACACATTTTTTTCGCACAGGTGTCGGGACTCGTCAGGCAGATTGGGGACCTGGCCACGACCCCTGTGGCCAGACCAATCGACCTGACGAGGATGTTGTTCGACTTGACGTACAGGATAATCTCGAAGGCAACGTTCGGGGACGTGTCGAGGGAGCAGGAGGAGTTCATAAAGGCGGCGGAGGAGGTGGTGGAGTACGCGGGAGGGTTCAAGATCGCCTTCTTGTTCCCTTCGAGTGGGTTGGTGCAGAGTCTGTTTGGGACGGAGGAGTTGCTGGAGAGGTTCCATAAGGGTTTGGACATGTTGGCCGAGAGCCTAATCGGGCAGCACAGAGCCAGAAGAAGAATCAAGCCCGCAAGAGATCAGAAATGTCGCAAGGAAGATCATGAGGATCTTCTAGATGTCCTTCTGAATCTTCAGGAAGATGAGGCCACTCTTGGTTTTCACTTGTCAACAGATGCCATTAAGGCCTTCATTGTGGTATACATAATGTTAATTTTGGAAATTGTATGTCCATGCCCTAGCTAGCTGGGGGGATCGATTATGATTCGGTTGATTTGTGGTCTGCCTGCAGGACATTTTCATGGCTGGAAGCGAGACTCCGTCCGCGCTGATAGAATGGACGATGTCGGAGATGATGAGGAATCCGGAGGTGATGCGCAAGGCGCAGTCGGAGGTCAGGGGATTGTTCGGCGAGAGAGGAAAGGTCGAGGAGGCCGACATTTCCAGGCTGACCTACATGAAACTGGTGATCAAGGAGACTCTGAGGCTGCACACCCCTGCACCCTTGGCTCTCCCGAGGGAGTGCAGAGAGGAGTGTCAAGTCGGTGGGTACGATGTCGACTTGAAGACGAGGGTGCTCGTGAACGTATGGGCCATCGCGAGGGATCCTCGTTACTGGGGAGACGATGCCGAGAAGTTTCTGCCGGACAGGTTTCTGGATAGCAAAGTGAATTTCGGGGGAACGCATTTCGAGTTCCTCCCGTTTGGAGCTGGAAGAAGGATGTGTCCCGGAATTAATTTCGGACTCGCTGCCGTGGAGCTTCCTCTCGCGAATCTGCTGTTTCATTTTGACTGGAAACTTCCCCACGGAGTGGAGCCGGCAAGCTTTGACATGGATGAGCAGTTTGGGGTCACCCTAAGGAGGAAAAACCATTTGGAGCTGACTCCTGTTGTCCGCTATAACCCTTTACCTGTCGTTTAATTACTACCTACCTACTGTGTTGCTCTCCTTTCGTGCATAGTGACCGAATTGGGACTTGAGAATTAAGATCGAATTCAGTGTGTACCCTTTTTTCCATCTAAGTGAGACTTGCGATGCTGCAGAAGCAGCAAGGGTTAAGTTAAAAGCCCGCTACTAAATGAACCAAGCGGACCCGAAAAGGAATTAAAAGCCCGCTACTAAATGAACCAGGCGTAGTCAGGAAGTGCATTTGGAAGGCAGTGGCATCAGCGAGGGACATGCTCCCCCGAGAATGCTGGCGGGTGCTGGTGACTTCGACGAGGAACATACTCGCTCAGGAATGGTGGTGGATGGTGATGACACGGACGAGGAACGTATCCCTCCATCGATCGATGCAAGAAGGGAGGTCTTCGACGCCATTGCTTGCTTCGGTAGTTTTGTTCGTTCTGATGGAAGCTAACTCGCGGGTAGCAGCAGAAGAAGATAGAGATGGGATGATGATTTTCAGTGTTTGTTGTTGATACCCTTTTGATAATATGTTGTAATGTGGGTATCTTTTGAAGTAACTGTCTCTGCTTTCCTTCTTTCCTTAGTTGGTTTGAGACTGCTAGGGGAATCTGTAGCAATATGCTTGAATGGTTTTAACTTTGAAGAAACTGAAGTAGCTAATCTAACTGTGTGCTTTGTTGTTTACCTACTTTTGATATGTAAATGTGGGTATCTGTTGAAGCTACTGTCTCTGCTTTCTTTCTTTCCTTATGTTAGTTTGCTTAGTTGGTTTAATGAACTTGTTAGTTTGAGACTATTAGGGGGATTGATATGCACTTGTTAAATCCCACTTCGTATTACCAGTGCTTGTTTGGAGAAAATGAAGCAAGCTTGTTGAGATATGACACAACTCAACTAGCTAAAGCCTATCTATACAGGTTTAATGAACTAAATGTGCTGTACATACATTTTGGTTTCGAATTCGCTTGAAACGTGCCTTCTGTCTTGCTACAGCGACTAGCCTTCAGGCCACCATTGCTTATGCTGATGGATTGGCACTTGGCAGGTAGGAGATGCAACCAGTAGAGCAGAACCAGCTCCATCATCTTCTTTCATAGAACGAACTCGCTGCTAACAACACTTTTCCAAGAGAATGGCTGCGAAGTCGATTAATGCCAATGCATTTACATTCCTGCACACAAAGAAAACTCCAATCGAAGAAGAACCCAATTCACCAATTTCCGAAAAGGATGTTAGAAATCACTCTAGGGAGTCAAAAACCATGTTCAAACTGGAAGGAGAAAGGTATACTTCAGAGTTCAGACAAAACTGACACTTCCACCATCAATCGAGACAAATTCAAAATCAATAAAAGAAAACCCAACAAGAGAAGCAGAATCTTTTATCTGGAGCCTTCAGAGAAGCAACAACTGACTCTAGCAGAAGCTCCGTCATCACAAGGCTGCGAAGGGAGGGGAGATTTGCAGGCGGCGGACTGACCGGCGGAGAGAGGTCTCAAGAATGGTGCAAAGAGTACGGCAGACAGGGCGAGCAACAGAGCTACAAAGAAACGATTTTCTGGATTCAGATTGAAAACTATTGCGTAGAAAATGGGGATATCACGCTCCCCTCAGATATCTTTGCTTTCTCCACATGATTAGAACTCGTTCTTTTTTTTGCCGCTGCTTCAAACCGCCGCCAAACCGTATTCCTTCACGCTCCATCTCTCGATTCTTCTCTCTGATCTTCGCCGGATCCCTCCTTGGCAACGCCGCCGCTCTGCTCCTCGCCCTTCTCCTTTCGCTTCGACCGTTTTGACTCATAGCCTGGGGTATTGTATTTATTGACTGGGAAACGGGCAAACGGCCCAATGTTAGATGGGCCGCATGGGCCGCGAAAGGCAAAATAAAAGCCTGATGATGTTAAATGAGCGATTTGGGCCCCCAAAAGCAACTACTGAGAACAAAGACTTATGGGACCAGCTATTAGAAACAAATTGTACATTTAACTCATTTTTACATAAGAAATAAAAAGTGGGGAACTGGGTTTGACTGCGGACATCACGAAGAAGCATTTCTAGAACAGAGCTCAATTAAATTATTATTCTGTAATTATCTAATTATAAAAAAAATTAATTCGTTAAGTAGGATATCTCTATATGTTCTCCGGTGAAGATAATAGAATTGCATATACCTACCGTGGTCGATTAATGGGCAAATTTAAAATTGTGGAAAGAAGTCATCTACAATATTAAATTAATGGGAATATTCCATTAAGATTATATTATTCTTCACTTTAAAAATTGAAGTTACCTTTGCTCATTGAAGTCCTTATTTTAATATATGTACACAATAAAAAAAAGGAAGATCGATATAAACTCCATAAAACAGATTTTCTAATTAAAAAATTGCATACCCAATTAATATACATCTCTATATATATATATGGTTCATAATAGAATCTCCATTACTGTATGATATGCACCTGGCATGTGTTATAAGCCCTACATTTACATCATTAATTAACTATTAATTTTAATCAAAAGAAATGTAAGTAAATTACATTGAAACAATCAAAAAGTTGTCAAACCCATTTATGCTATTATGCCGATTTCACAAGTGATATGCTCCCCGATAAGTGGTATATAACCGATTTATGCAGGTTCGTCGATTAAAGCACCAAAAATTGACATTTTTGAAGTGGATAATAACTTCCGCTAGAGATTCAGGGGAAGTTTTTGGATCAAACCAATTGGATTCCAACCAAGGAGGAGAAATTTTTCCTCACAGAACTTATGTAATTCGACTTTGTCATACCTGTGGCTGTGGTGGTGAACTAACGGGACTCGCCGGAGAGCAATGCCGGAGAGGCAGAGCAGCGCCCATATTCCACCAATGGGGAAGTACGGTAGGGAAGACGGAAAGGGAAGCGGTTGATCCTTTCATATCATCCTTCACGTCGTACATCACTAATTGAGACATAGAAAGGGGAAAAAAAAAAGAATGATAAAAGCGATATTCATATACCCTGTTCGCCGGAGATGCTAAAACAGAGCACACCTCTCCGACCTCAATTACAGCCACTCTGTGGATGAATTCAGTAGGGAAATCGAAGAACTGAGATGTGGGTTTTGGATTTCAGAGTGTGGGGAAGACGATGAGATCGAAAAGAGACGGTCTTGAGGTTGGGAATAAGAAGGGGGGCGAGAAGGAGAGAGGCCTCTGTTTCAGAGCACTAGCTGGCCATTAGAGGTATTTTTTGCAGCCTCTGTCGAAGTCCATTAACAATACCAAAACCCACTATAGAAAAAGTTGAATATCACGAATAAAGCTGCACCAACCAGGAGAGCAGAGGCCAAAACTACAACACAAGAAGACAAGAAACAGAGCACAAGGATGGAAGAAACGAGGGAGGGAGGAAAGGGGGGAAAAAGGAGACGGGCGGTGAAAGGAACAGGAGCGAGAGACCCAGAAACACAATGAAGCAACCACCGCCCACTGCCGAGTCCAGAATCATAGCCCCCGAACCAAGAACAACCCTATAAACAAAGAATTAAAAAAGAAGGCAGAGAGATGAACGAGGGAAATACATCATCTCATCAAATAAAAAACTAATTCAAATATTTTGCACAATATCCCCCAGCTTGCATTCTCACTCACGATCGATCGCCCAATAGATCTTGAAGAGAGCCCTATATAATCCCCACCCTCTTCATCTCCACCACATAGTCTCCAACACTACAACTCTCTCTCTCTCTCTCACACACACAACTTCTTCTTCTTCTTCTTCTTATATAATCATCTACCAATGAGCTTGAGTTGCTTCATCTCTGTTTTCTATGCAAAGTTACTCCTCTCTTTGTGTGGTTTTCGAATTGGTGAGGAGGGGAGTTCTCCTCCCCCATCTCTGAACGGGATGTCGAGGAGTGGCCACACCTGCTGGTTCATGAATACCCATGGCATTGCGCGCGTTTCGTACTATTATATGCCTGCTCGTCGCATGATAATAATAGCAGCGCAAAGACTGAGGGTTTGCATGCGCCAGGAGATGTTGTTTCACTTCCATCCTTTTGGCTTGGGGTGAAGGGAGCTCCCCTCTCCCTTCTTCCATACTACCCTACCCTCTCTTCTTTCTCTTGCATTCCCCTGTCCCGCATGTGTCAATTCAACTCGACGACAATTTCTCAAACTCCAATTCAAAAGTTTTATATTTTCTCTACGGTCATTTTTTTTATCAACTTTTATGCTGAGGTGCACCATTTACCCAAAAAGGAATGTTTTGTTCTAATAATGTGCTAACAATTTTTCTAACTCGAATTGATAACCTCTCTCGCACACTTAGAAACTTCGTCATAAGAATGTTTCGCCATATACTTGTACACATACTCTTCCGTTTACATTTATAATATTCGTAATTTCGTCCAGGTATGCATGTAGACCAAAAGACTCATTATAGCATTGGGCAGCGACTTCTCGAGATCAAATTAATGTAAGAAGTAGGCGTGTTCAATGCACTTTTGTGGAGCATGAAAATGGCGTGGTGAAGTTCATTTTGCTTTTGCTTTGGAAATGCAGGAATTAACTTCCCATTCATTCTCCCCAAGAAGTGAAGAAACCCCACAGCCTGCCTGATTTGAGCGATTGTCAAAAGGAGGAATAAGAAAGAAATGCAGAATTTAGGGGTTGATCGGGCAATGTAATGTTGTTCTCTCTACCAAGTTAACCAATGTGAGGAAAGAAGAGCAAGGAAAATACTCCAATAGAGAGCAACAAGAACAAATCTTATACCAGCATTGGATTCTGTGTTCTTACTCATGTTTCTATATGTATAATAAAATAATAAAATAATAATAATAATAATAATAGGCTTTTTTCCCGTTATATTATCTGTTTCTTTGTTTTTGCAAAAATATGTGATCTTTGTTTGACGAGTTCAATGGTAGAAGGAGAAGGAGGTCTTCTATCCTTCGCCTTGGTTTTGTGTTCGCCTCAAGTATTCTGACAAAATTTGATCTTGGCGTCGACATTTAACAATTAGAAAACTAAAAAAAGGGGAATTTTATTCTATTTGTTTTGGTTTTTCGATGAATATCAAATCATATTAAGCTCGACCCTGGAAATGGTATGGAAATAAACAAGTCCCGGCTTCCACTCCCATCAAAACATCCGGCCGGCCGAATCACCGGAAACCCACAAATTACACGTTATTAAACAACAAGAACAACACCACATTATGAACTCTTCTAATAGGATGGTTGGGCTTCTGGTTGACCAGAGGGGGGGAGAAGAATGAGAGAACGGAGCACGGAGAGATCGCCGGCGGGCAGTGGTTTTTTCCCCCGATTCTCCTGTAAAGCTTGATTTACAAGAATGAGAGAACAGAGCCTCGAAGCTCGTCGTCGCAGTCTCTTTGCTGCCGCCGGCGACCACAACCAGATCATTTTGTTAAATCGAATAACACTTTAGCCCCTATACTATTGAAATTTGACAACCCAGTCCTTTTGGGGAAAATATTAGAGCTACTGAGCCCCTGTAGTATAACTTTTAACTTTGCTACGGCACCAACTGTCCTATTTGGCCTCCTGAAGTTCTGGGCTCTGGGTCTCACGGCCCTTTCATCACCGTGGGCTCGATTTTTAAGTCTGAAGGAAGTTTCTTACGGCCCAATACTTATTTTAAAGATAGGATTATGAATTATTTTTTTTTTGGTGGAAATAGGATTATGACTTTTATTTCATTTATTTACTCTGTACCAAAAAAAAAAAAATATATTTAAAAATATTTGTTGTGACTAAAAATTTCATTAAGATATATTAAATACTCATTATCCTACTCATCAACCATAAGAGTTCAAATTTTATTAGTATCAATATTCACATAAAAATTGCGTAACAAATCAAAATTATATTTATACTTGACCGAATTTTGAGTTTATATGGATATCCATAAATACTTTATTTCAATTTAATATTTTCATCCAATTTCACAGTGTTGATAATTAAACATATATTTAAATTACATAAGTAAAAAAGTACAACAGCAAATCACTTTTTTTGGGTGCTAAAACGGAGTGCAAACTTGAAAAATTAGTTAGTCATCTAGATATAATTATAAACCTGGAATATACATATGCTGGGGGGAAAAAAAAACCATACAAATATACATGCATTTATATATAATCAAGTGGTCTCGATGAATAATAAGAAACTATACAAATCCATTACTCGGCACCATATACGAGCTCCAATTTACCCATACCAATTGGAAGTCTTTATGCTCAAAATTTATCCTTAATTAGGTCAGATTTAAAGACAGGTCACATGTGTGTGGATAATTTTGTCATTTCCGCTTGAGAATTACATAGAATTGGCGACAGACCAACACGACTTTGGATTATAAAGGACACTCATATTTTCTTTTCCTTTTTGCAGAGAAATCATGTGCCATGCGCTCTCACATACGCACACATATAGAACAATACCAAGCTATAAGCAATCGCGATTTGCAGCACCGCGATTAGCAATATGGCCCAAATCTCACGTTGAATGTCTCCTAATAAAAGTGTTTTCAAACTATTGCATATGGAATGTCGCTTCCTAGACATCACAAATACACCTATATATAATAGCTCCCCCTATACAAAATCCTATATACTCCAATCACACTCTTAATCGTAAGAAGAAGAAAAAAAACATGGCTCCATTACTCCTAATCATGTCCGTCCTTCATCTAATTACCACCCTCCGATCAGCATCCGCCGAAATCGGCCTCTGCTACGGCACCCTCGGCGACAACCTCCCGCCGGCGGCGGAGGTAATCTCACTCTTCAACCGGAACAACATCACCCGGATGCGGATCTACGACCCGAACCCGGCCACCCTCCAAGCGCTACGTGGCACCAACATCCAGCTCATCCTCGACGTCCCCAACGAGAGCCTCCAAGCCCTCGGCTCGAGCCGGGAAGCCGCCACGTCATGGGTCCGGGCCCACGTGGCGCCCCACGCTGGCACCGTCAAGTTCCGTTACATCGCCGTCGGGAACGAGGTCAAACCCACCGACCCTTCGTTCCAGTACGTCGTCCCGGCGATCCAGAACGTCCACTCCGCAATTGCTGACATCAGCGGACTCACCAGAACAAAAGTCACCACCTCCGTCAGTTACATCCTCAGCGAGTCGTTCCCGCCGTCAGCCGGTTCGTTCGACCAGCAGTACGACGGCGTTTTACGCCCGCTGCTGGAGTTCCTGGAGAGTAACGGCGCGCCGTTACTGGTCAACGTCTACCCGTTCTTCGCTTACCAGGGGGACCCACAGAAAGTGGGGCGTGACTACGCGCTGTTTTCCGCGAGTGGGAATGTGGTGTGGGACCAGGGGAATGGGTATAGCAACCTTTTGGATGCCAGCGTGGACGCGGTTTATTCGGCTTTGGAGAAATACGACGCCGGTTCGGTCAAGGTGGTGGTTTCGGAGACCGGGTGGCCGACGGCCGGAGGAGAGGCGGAAGTCACGACGGTGCAGAATGCGAGGCTGTACAATAATAATTTGGTGAAGCATATTGTGAAAGGAAAAGGGACGCCGAAAAGGCCCGGCGAGGAGATGGAGGCGTACATATTTGCCATGTTCAACGAGAATCAGAAGCAGCCGGCTGGGATTGAGAATAATTGGGGGATGTTTTACCCGGATAAAACCCCCGTTTACCCTATGCAATTCCATTAATTTGGGATTAAGGAAAGTAATTAATTAAGTGAATAATTACAGTGGGAACTGTGGTCATCAAAACACATTTCTAGTACAACGATTACCATGTAATCACCCGCCAAAGACGGAATCAACCAACCCTATGAGCTTTGATTAATTCCATAATTAGTTAACTAAATCTATTGTCCAACAAAAAGTGTTGCAAGTACCTAAGCCCGTTTTCGACACTAACGTACCTCCAATCGACGGTGCTGAGCAGCCCGAAGCTCAGCTTCTCAACCGTCGGTACTTTGCTCCTGTTATTATCTCCTCTCCAACAATCCGCAAACTCGATCTTCAAATCCGCGGCCAGCCCGCTCGTCCCACCGCGGAGTGGACAGCAACCCGGCGGGGGAAGCTCCTGCGAGAACAAACCTCGTACTTCCCCCGCCGCCGCCTCCTCTGGCCTCACCTTCACAACCCCGTCCATCAACGTGAACGCCGTCGTCGGACCGCTCCTCAGCACCACGTGCCACATCACCCTCACCTCCTCCGCCGCCTCAAGGAGGACTACTCCGCTCACAGCTCCCACGTCGAATCGAAATACACCCCCGGGGTCCATTGCTGCCACGTCATCCACGACCCCCGCCGTGCTGAGCAGGACGACGTCGTTTTCTCGGTGCTTGTGGTGGCGATGGTTGCCGCGGAGGTCGATTGAGAAGACGAGGTCGTCGAGGGAGATGGAAGGTTTGGGCACGGGCTTGAGGCGGCGGGTGGAGGTGGCCAGGGCGTAGAGGCGGCGGTAAGGGAGGGAAGGGTGGACGAATTTGAGGGCGGTGGCGAGGGAAGGGAAGCGGGCGGTTGCGATGGGCCGCCAGAGGTGGTCGGAGGACGTGGCGGCCCGCCATGTCCTCGAGACGCACGAGGCGGTGGCTAGGGTTTTGGGGTCCAGGTGGTGGGAGACTAGATCTAGAACTTCCCACGGTGGCGGTGGTGGTGGTGAATGTGAAGTAGTGGAAATGGAAAGGCTTCTTGATAACGGTGACGTGGCGGTTGTGTAAGCTGCCGGCGGCGGCAGCGGTGGTGGTGGTGGTTTATCTCGCCTTGCGTTTGCCATTTTTCGTCGTTGAGATTTTCAGGTTCGTACGCTAGCTAGCTGCTTGCATCTTATCCATGGATATATCTTCTTTAGCCATAACCTGGGAAATCATCAAACCGACCGGCCACGTGTCCGACAGTAAATTTGGTTGCATGGCTTCGCACGCCACGTTGAGTGCCACGTAGTGTCCCGCATGAAGGACACGTGTTTATCGCTGATGGAATCCATGTGAGCTCTTCCTGGGCCCATTAACCCACTTTTACGGCCCTGCTTAGCTTGTAAATCCAAATACCCTGAACGGGCCCAAGAGAAGGGGAAGCCCAGATCAACGAGATGAGAGTCTCCAGCTGACTGTGTCACTCAAACGGTGCGTTTTATATGAGCGTTGCCAAATAGAGCGGCGCGCTTCCCCTTCAGAATGTTCAATCTATCTTTGCAGCAGTTATCTCTTCCGGCGGAAGTTCGCCCCAAGCTGCTCTCTGTAATTCGTCTTGTCTTCTTTTGCTGGCTGCTGCGGCGACGGTAGAATTCCGGCGAGTTCTCTTTTCCCAACCTCCGTTCCTGATAAAAATGTACGTTTTGATATCTGCGTCTGCCACCAAGCTCAGCTCCAAATTTGTCTACTGGAATCCTTTCTTTCAAGACATTTCCTCATCCAGAATCGGGCTTTCCACAGGTATATATAACCCTTCCAATCCTTTTCTCCTTTCCCAATTCATCCCTCGAATGATAAGAGCGTAGAACTATACCTAGTTGGTTAAAGCCCGTGTGGTTTATTGGTTGGTTGGTTCAGGGTTGGGAGTGGAGAGAAAGAAACATGATAAGAAGAGGTTAATTTCACTAGTGGCGAAATCCCAAGCGAGTGTGGAGACGAAGCAAGGGCCTCCTGGTAGAATAGGACCTAGAAAGGGAGGTAGGGATTTTATACTGAGTGAAGGGAGGGACGAGGATGAGAAGCATGGCCCTATTTGCCCTGGCTGTGGAGTGTTTATGCAGGATCGTGATCAAAACCTTCCTGGGTTTTTTAAACCCAAGACAGTCACTGTTGTTGAATTAGATGAAGATGAGGAAGATGGGGAGATGGGTATTGGAGATTATGCAGAAAGTTCTGATTTTGAAGAAGATGAAGGAGGAGAGGGTGAAGAGTTGGTTGGCGGGATCGGGTTGGATTTGGACTATGATGAACTTGATGCAATGTTGAATGACGATGAGGATGATATGGATTTGGATGGTTTCGTTCCGGCTGGTGTAGGGTACGGGAACATTACAGAAGAGGTGGTAGAGAAAGAAATGAGAAGAAAGGAGATGAAGAAGGTTTCCAAAGCAGAGAGGAAAAGGAAAGCTAGAGAAGCTCACAGGGACAAAGACGAGGTCACCGTATGTGCTAGGTGCCATTCTCTCAGGAATTATGGTCAAGTGAAGAACCAGACAGCAGAAAATCTGATACCTGATTTCGACTTCGATAGGTTGATTTCGACTAGGTTGATAAAGCCGACAGGGAATTCTAATGCAAGTGTCGTGATTATGGTCGTTGATTGTGTCGACTTTGATGGCTCATTCCCTAAACGCGCAGCCAAATCGTTGTTTGAGGCACTAGAAGGAGCCAAAGCTGACCCTAGAGCGAGCAAAAAGCTGCCCAAGCTTGTTCTGGTGGCTACGAAGGTTGATCTCCTTCCAACACAAATATCACCTACTAGATTGGACAAATGGGTGAGGCATCGTGCTAGGGCAGCAGGAGCACCTAAGCTGAGTGGGGTCTTTTTGGTGAGCTCGCGTAAGGATCTTGGGGTGAAGAACTTGTTATCATTTGTGAAGGAATTGGGTGGTCCTCGTGGCAATGTGTGGGTTATTGGTGCTCAAAATGCTGGTAAGTCTACACTGATCAATGCGCTTGCAAAGAAAGGAGGTGCTAAAGTTAGCAAGCTTACAGAGGCTCCTGTTCCTGGTACGACTCTTGGGATTTTGAGGATAGGGGGGATTTTGTCAGCCAAAGCTAAGTTGTATGATACTCCGGGTCTTCTACATCCGAACCTAATGTCAATGAGATTGGACAGAGATGAACAGAAGATGATTGAGATACGTAAGGAGTTGCAGCCTCGAACTTATAGAGTAAAAGTAAGTTACTCTAGATCATTTCATCGCCTATGATTCCCAAACGTCAAGATGTGTGAACCATGTTGTACTTGTTGCCAATCAGTTTAGCTGAACTGGTTACAGTTTTCGTGTTTTCTTTAATCATTTGGATTCCTGTTCTTTCTGAAGGCATCGACATTCATCAATATCACTTTGTGTTTGAAGTTTTCATTTTATATGTAACCTCTAGCAATGAAATATGTGTTCTTGATAATAATGACTACTAAACTTCACAGGCTGAGAATGCCATTCATATGGGAGGTCTGGTGAGACTGGACCTCAACCAAGCTTCTGTAGATACAATCTATATCACAGTTTGGGCATCACCAAACATTTCTCTTCACATGGGAAAGTTGGAAACTGCAGATGAGTTCTACAGTAACCATGTTGGTGTACGGTTGCAGGTATGTCCATAAATCCCTGCAGGTGGTCTGGTTAATAGTTATGCATGCACCCTTATCCATTTGCTTATGATGTTCATGGATATTATTTGACTATATATGCTGCTCGAAGGATGTAACTGATGCCGACTTTTGGTTTGCAGCCGCCAGTGGGCAAAGAACGAGCAAGTGAGCTGGGGGAATGGGAGACAAGGGAAATCAAGGTGAGCGGCAGCAGCTGGGACACAAACAGCATCGACATTTCGATTGCTGGGTTAGGTTGGTTTTCAGTGGGTCTTAAAGGCGAAGCGACACTGACTCTACGAACGTACGACGAGGTCGAGATCACTCTGAGAGAGCCATTGGTTCTCGACCGAGCGCCTTTCCTGGAGAGGCCAGGGTTTTTGCTACCAAAGGCAATATCAGATGCCGTTGGTAACCAGACGAGGGTTGAAGCAAAGAAGAGGAAACAACTCGAAGAACAAGAAGAAGATCAGAGCTTAGAACTTGCCTCCGAGATGGCTTCTTAGACGGCCCAGTTCAAGGTGCTGATTTTCTTTATATTGACAAGTTCGAACTTGCTGCAATTGCCAAATTGTCAAAGAGGAGTCTACTTGTCCGAAATGTCCTTAGACAGCCAAGATTCCTCGGCGAGGCCCTTTCACAGAGACAATTGCATTTGTCGAGAAAGGGACACATGAGAAAGATTTAGGAAGACAAGGCTGTTGGGAGATGAAAACCAGTCTGAGGCAGTGAATTCCCAATCAGGTTGCTGCTGTCAAATGGCTTCTATAAGTTGATCCAACTATTGTTAAGGAAACTCTACAATGCATAGCCTATACAGCAGATGTATCATGTATGATGTACCTATCATAATTTTGATTTTTGAGACATCATCAAGTGGTGATCAAAGTGATGTTATGATTAAATTAAGCTTCTAAATTAAGCCTAAGCTGTCAATGAACTTCCAAAATGTATTAGAACATGGTTATCCCCATTCCTTGATTTGCTTTGGAGAGTATTTCGTGCAGATTTTGTACTCATTCTTGTGTATATTTGAACATGCGTGTTACGTATGCACATAACACAAGTTGTCATTTCAATACACGTGGTCATTCAATCAAATCGACGTCATATCTCGAACATCCATTCCCTTCGGTATATCATATCCAATCCAATACATCATGTTAACATCCGGATCATCCTATCCTACTACATATACCAATTATTGGAAACTATCAAAATGGATCTTATATACTAATGGTTTTTTTTTCTGGGAAACAACTACCAAATAGAATCAATCTAATACTATTCAAATCTCCCATCTTGAAAAGAAAAGGGGAAGGAGCTACCATCATTCCAAGTCGTGCAACATGGACAGTGGCCACTGGCCAGCACTTTCCTCTCTGTTTCTGTGTGCGAAAGTCATCGATGAGTTGGGCCGTCCCGTTTTGGTTTCTTGTATTTTAATTCCCCCTAGGACACTCCGACCGGCAGCCGATGGGCCCCGCCGATCAACTCTCTTTTGTCTCTGGCCAGGTTCAGTTTATTCCTTCTTTCCCACAGCTGACAGAAAAAGAAACTGTGAGCTGCTGTTGCCTGCCCCATGTGCCGGTCGCTAGCCGTTGGTGGCTAGGAATGGCAATGGGGCAGGTCCGGGGCGGGTTTCTTGGTACCCAGACCCGCCCCATGGCAGGGCGGGTCCAGGTCGGGTAATTGATCACGGGTCACGGGTCGGGGCAGGTCGACCCAATGGGTATGCAATTTATATGAAAAACATTAGAAATATTCGTTATTTTTATTATAAAACTAAGAAAACAAACAATATTATGACAATTGTAGTTAAATTATTGGAGAAATTGAGGTTTTCACTAATTTGCAACTTTATTATAGCTAAAATATGATGCAATAAAAGGAAAATTCAAAGTAATTTGACTAAAATTTCATGTAATTTAGATAAGAACGGGTCAAGAATGGGGCGGGTCAGGGCAGGTCGGGTCGATAAGACTACCCATGCCCGCCCCGCCCCGCCTACGGGGCGGGTCGGACCCGCCCCAAAACAGGTCAAACAGGTCGGGTAAAACGGGTCAGGTCGAAATTGCCATCCCTATTGGTGGCGGCAGAAAAAGACATGCGAGAGAGTGCCAAAGTAACTAATGTAAAGCAAAAGTCGCGAACCCATCAATTGATTGATTGAATGGAACAACAATGAATGATATTGCACCATATCCGGAACCAAATGCCGTCTTCAGAAGGGAAAGGAGGTGGGTGAGTTGAATCCGCACTGCTCTACTTACGAAGATTGGGGAGTGAAAAAGATGAGTTAGGGAGAGCGTCAGCATGGACTTCATCGACGAACCTCTCCAAGTAGCCATATCATGGTTCCATCACTGTGTGAACCCTCTGCAATGCGACACTCTACTTTGCAATCAGGGCATTGATCAAGCTGAGAAAAGGGGATTCCAGCAGAAGAAATTCTAAGCTGCTTTCCTGTTAAGGGTGGAAATGAAGTAATAAACTTTCAGTTTCTCATTGCTAAAGGAATTTACATTTTTTCCTTCCTATTTTACACCTTTTTTTGGTTTGTTTGGGTTTTCCTTTTGATCAAAGGAAAACAAAGACAACAACAGAAAGGGACAGAAGAGTACTGATACAACAAAGAGACTTGCTGCTGCAATGCCTCTTTACTCTATACACGATACACCAAATTTTAAAAAGCTACACCAAACTAAATCTTCCTCGTTCTTCTACTGACTGACATTGCTGCTTAAACTGGTGGTTTTGGGGAGACAAACAAAGACTTCACTTCATCATCACCTTCTAATAGCCGAATTTCGGGCTCCCCACTGTGGCAGTGATGCCTGCCCTGAACCCTGCTTCCATCCCTCCGGCTCCACCTCCAATTCCATACCCTATTCGCCAGACACACAGAAAGTTAGAACAGCAGTGGCGAAAGTATAAACAAATGCTGCAAGCAAACATCAATTCAGTTTTGGACGCTTGTACTGCATACCATTTCCATAGGAGGGTAGAGCTCGAGGCGACATCTTCTCGGCCTCATAAGACTCCACGAACTCGTCGAACTGGGCTTCGAAGGAAGCGAAATCATCCCCCACAACATCGAGATCAAACGTATCGGGCAACAAGCCGGCCAAATCACTATCCTCCTCAGCAACATTGTTGTAGTAGCCTTCCTGTTCCTGATGCTGGCTTAGCCAGTAGTCCTTGAACCATGTTGTGGTATTCACCAGCTGCCACCATTCCGGGGAAAAGTCCTCCACTTGCCTGTAAGCAGCTGGGATGAACATAGGGGCATCTGGGTTTAGTGTCGACCTTCCTCCTGATACCACTGCCGCCATTTTTGTTTCTTTCTCCTCAAGCTTCACTATCCTGAAAACCAAAAAGTTCAAAGTTTGAATCTTTAACTGGAACAGAACTTCCAAACCCAATGATCAGATTCAGAAGACGTTACAAATCACTGGAGATCTCTCAATTTTCATACCCAGTTCATCCATTTCCCGACCATTTCCATCTCTCAGAGCAGGTCAAAAGGCAAAAAAAGCTCAACCCTTTTCCCACTAACTTCTAACCCACCTACTTTGAATCCCCTGGTACAAATCCCAGCTCAAAATTCAAAGAAATTTCGTGCACCAGACTACGATGCCAGCTGAAAATCGCAATCATCCAAAGGAATAACTTCGAACTCAAAAAGGTCACAATCGAACACCAGAAATTATCATCTCCAGAAGATCGGAGATCCTCACAATCGATCAACCCGTTTGCTCACCGAGAAAATCACAAACCCGGAATTCCGGAAGAATGGATCACTCTCCCCCTTTTTCCTACTCTGTTCTCACAGCAACCAAACAGACGAACAAATTCACGACAGGACGACATAAAGGAGAGAAACAAGGATCTGGTACCTGGAAAGCGGAAGCGATGATCAAAACCCGACCGGCGACGAAGAGACGACTGACCGAAGAATAACGCGGAGGCGACGATGGAGAGTTCTTCGTCAAAGAAAGGGTCCGCTAGCAGTATTTATAGCGCGGGCGGAATCCGAACCAGAAGGTTTGGTTCGGAGAGGTCCGAGCCAGGAGGCTCGGTTTGCGATGCCGAACCTCCGGTTGTCCGGTTGTTTTCAAATAGATGCTGACTGTTCAATCACAGGCTGCCGAACCAATCCAGCGTGGCAAATTTTTAGCAAAACCTTGTTTTTGTCGTCATCTGGCATGTAGTACACGGAGTTCTTTCTGCTGACTTTTGACTTTTCTTTGCTGGTTGCTTACGTGTCACCTCTAATGGGGTTAATTTAATTACTTAATTGAAAGTGAATTGCAGCGTGTTATGCACTAAAATTGTCCCATTAGGATGCTCTTAATCGGCCATGTTTAAGGATTAGGGCTTTGCCAAGAAAGGGAATTTGAGGATTGTGAGTTGTTCCGTACAACAACTAAAATCTACATTAGTGAACTAGACACTTATTAGTGGTGTTTTTTTGTTGCATATGATGGCTCTTGAGGGAGAGCATCTTAGCTAGATTGTGTCAAGATAGTGGATTTTCTTTCCCATTTTCAGTCATATTAGGACAAAATTACTTGTAAAATTTCATTTGTGTTCTTCTTTATGAAGGGAAACAACAAGGATAGAAGGTGGATAGTACTTCTGATTATGTCATTGATGAGTTCGGAGTGAAAGAATTGTGGTGTGCCCATAATATATTAGCATGAAAAATTGTCTCGGTATTTGATCTTGTTGATCATGGATTTTTTTTAGCGTACAAGTATTGTAGAGTCGAAGGATCCACACATGAGTTGACGGAGTGAGTTTACCTCCAAAATTTATGTTATATGTTTTAGGAGTAAGACCCACAAGTGTTAGGATACGAGTAAGATGAGTGCCTACTACTAATCATTGTCCCCGTTGTATTCTTCAATATGTCATTTGAGGATTCATTGTGTTTTTCTTGACCAATTAAAAAAAAAATCGACACACATAATTCACCTCGATGATTGATGAATGACATGTATTCAGATTAGATAATCAATCACTCGATGACTGCAAGAAAGTGGGTCACTTTCAATTCTACATTGGCAGGCATACTTAGCTATCATTGATCATATAACCATATATAAACATATCCAAAGGGTGAAAATGGCTAGACAAACTCTACAGGCAATTTGGAGCCAAGTCAATGACAACCTTAGGGTAGAAAATTGCTTTTATTATTATATAGTAAAATTACACCCATGGGGAATTCTTCTCACTTGCTGCCATCACTTTCATGCTGAGACCCTCCAAATTGCCTACCCAAAAATTAACAAATCATGCAATCAAGCAAAGACCACCACACAAAAATATCATAACATAATACCAGATCTCATCACCAATCCACCTAAAAAATGGTGGGCTTCTCTTAATTAATTAGGATAAATGGGGGGAAATATCACAATCAAAAGTTTGGGTAATCCTGAAAACCTCCCTCACTAACTCATGGTGGGCCCAGTTTTGTCCATTTGGGCCTTCGAAGAAAGAATATCCAGTGGGCACGGGGGCCCAGCCATGTGATTGCCATTATTGAACGAATTCCCGGGTGGGCCCGGTCGATGATTGAAGAAATGAAGGGTCGGGATGGAGCGTCGTGGCCCGTTGGATGTGCAACACGACGTCGTGGACCTTGGAGGTGGGGCCACGTCGGATTAGGTAAGGTACTATTTTATCCTCTTCGCGGCGGGTGGTCTCCCCGGCGAAGGCCATGAAATGAAAGCGGCCGCCTCCACCACCGCGTTTGGGACACATGGCATGTTGGGTAGGCGGAGGAGTTTGATTATAATAAATATATATATAAATTCAATGCTAACAACAAATTATTTGAAGGGAAACGACGAGGAAATCGGGGGGTATTTATATTTTCTTGAGGGACACCTAACGTGGTCTCCTTCGTGGCGGCCACTACCCTACAAAGTCCAATGCTAGTTTCTCGTTTTCCATGTGTCAGAATAAAAGCTGACAATCGATAATTCAAATCAACACGAACGAACACAAATTTAACGTGGTTCACTAACACAATGTGTGCTAGCTAATCCACGGACAGAGGAGAACAAATTTCACTGATTTGAGGAGAGTACATATTACAAACCAAATTCCGGAACAGACAAACCTTACAAATTAACCTGACTGACCTTACTACAGACTAGGATGATGAAGAGTATTTATAGAACTCTTCTTCTAATCCAAAACAGAAAACCAAACACATTTTCCAAACCTACAAGGAAAAGGCCAAAACAAAGCCCAAAACACAAAACAAACCCAAATCAAATTCAAGTCATATTCTAACAATATGTGTGCCAATTTTTTAGCAATAAAGGGTAATAACGACAGTTGTCAAGTTTATACCATTGTGTCGGTTACTGTGTCAGTTTAGTAAGTAATATAATTCAATGGGGATAAATCAGTTATAACATTTTATAGTTAACATCGGTTATATAAGATTCAATCGATCGACATTCCGCCGACATAATGTGTAACTTTAGTTTTTGAGATTCTATTTGACATATTGTAACAAACATTCTCGAGATAGCACTCAAAATAGAGCTTTTGGGGCCCGGCCCTTGAAGCGCACCAAGTATTGGGCTTCTAGTCCAAGGATTGATTGATTGTTATACTAGAAACGAACGTAACGGGGTCACATTTATTGGGCTAGCCCAAGATAGTCTTGGAGGGAGATTAGTTGTGATGGGCTGTGGGCTAGCCGCGACTCCGAAGGCGCGAACAGTGAGTCAGCAGCTCAGCAAACGGTTGCCGACGGCGGCAACAATGCGGCGATGGCTTCACTTTCGCTCCCCCGAACTGTCAACCGCTTCTTCACAAACGCTTCTCCGGTCAATGCCTGGAATTCGCGAATACGGAATTCGGTTGGTCTGAACAACCCCCACGATGCGCTCGCCCTCTTCCGCCAGATGAAACGAGACGGCGCTGAGCCAAACAACTTGACCTTTCCTTTTATCGCCAAGGCATGTGCCAAGCTTGCTAATCTGGGTTGGTCCCAGATTTTCCATACTCACTTCCTGAAATCGCAGTTCTACTCCGATGTGTTCGTACAGACGTCTTTGCTGGACTCGTATTTGAAATGCGGTCGACTAGACATGGCGCACAACGTGTTTGTGAGAATGCCCGAGAGAGACGCCACGTCGTGGAACGCGATGCTAGTGGGGTTTTCTCAACTGGGTACCCACGATAGAGTGTTTGCCATTTTCAGGGAGATGAGGTTTGCCGGGATGTCCCCCGATTCTGTTACGGTGATGGGAGTCAGTCGAGCCGTGTCTAGTGTGGAGAATTTGGATTTGGCCAGAGGGTTGCATGCCTTTGGTATTCGAATAGGGGTCGATTATGATGTCTCCGTGGCTAATACTTGGGTATCTTTGTACGCTAAATGTGGCGACTTGAGGTTGGCTGAATTGGTTTTTGGCGGGATTGAAGCTGGGTTGAAGAGTCTTGTTTCATGGAACTCTTTGATTGGTGGGTATGCTTACTCTGAGAAATATGTTGATGCCTGGAATGCTTACCAAGGGTTGCTGTTGGTAGGATTCAGGCCAGATATAAGTACACTCGTAAGCTTGCTCTCTTCTTGCGCTCGGCCTGAGGCATTATGTCAAGGTAGACTGATTCATTCTCATGGAGTCAGAATTGGTTGTGATACTGATGTTTCCGTTTGCAACACACTTATATCTATGTATTCCAAATGTGGTGACATTGACTCGGCAAGGTTCTTGTTTGACGCCATGAGTAACAGAAGCTCTGTTTCCTGGACTGCTATGATCGGTGGATATGCCGAGAAAGGAGATCTGGATGAAGTATTGACATTGTTTAAAGCCATGGAAAGAACCAGCGAAAGCCCCGATTTAGTCACCGTGCTTTCTGTGATTTCAGGCTGTGGTAATGCTGGGATTCTCGAAACTGGAAGATGGATTCATAATTATGCAGAGTCGATTGGGTTAAAGAATCGTGTCCCAGTTTGCAATGCTTTGATAGATATGTATGCAAAATGTGGAAGCATAAGTGACGCCCGGGCTCTATTCTGCACCATGCCTGATAAAACTGTGGTATCTTGGACAGTAATGATTTCAGGTTGTGCATTGAATGGACTGTTCACAGAAGCTTTGGATCTTTTCTATCAGATGGGAGAATCTGGTCTAAAGCCAAACAGTATCACATTCCTTGCTGTGCTCCAAGCTTGCTCTCATGGTGGCTTCCTGGAAAAAGGATGGGAGCTCTTCAATCTCATGACTAGAAAATACAAAATCAATCCAGGGGTGGATCATTGTTCTTGCATGGTTGATCTACTCGGACGTGCAGGAAAGCTAAATGAAGCATTAGATTTCATCTTAAACATGCCAGTGAATCCGGACGGGGCCATTTGGAGTGCATTACTGTGTTACTGCAGGATTCATAACAATGTCGAGATTGCTGAATATGCAGCCACCCGTCTCTTCGAGTTGGAGCCTTCTGTGGCCGCAGCTCCATACGTGGAGATGGCCAACATATATGCATCTGCTGGAAGGTGGGACCAAGTTGCAGGGGTGAGAAGCCTGATGAAACAGAACAGGTTGAAGAAGTCTCCAGGGAAAAGTTGTGTTGAAGTGAATGGGAAGCTCTGTGAGTTCACTGTTGAAGACAGAGGACATGATGGAGGTGAGTTGATATATGGTGTTTTGGAACATGTTTTCTTGCAGTTGAAGGAACAAGTGGCTAATGAAGATTCACTTGGGATTATGACTTGTGATTTGCAACTTATGTAGTCTCCATCACTAACTCATTATATGAGAACCATAGGAAAACTAATTTCATCTTTTGTAGTATTTTTCCTTTTTGGATTGATAACAGTGAAAAGAAAGAGTAAAAAATATAACTTATCAGTTGTGACTTGTGACCTACTGACTACTGGTACAGATAAACTCATCTTCCATGTAACTGTTGATTTGGGCGTGCATTTATTTAAAATCCCTAAAAATTAAGGAAAAGAGAGTTTTTCATCAAACAATAAACACCCAATAAGTACATTCTTTTTTATGGCAATGCCATAGCATTTTTCTCTATAGAATATAAGTCTTTGATGAGAGGTTTAATTAAGTTACTAATCAAATACTTAGTAATAGTGATTCCTATGGGAAAGACAAGCTAAATAAGCTGGAGTGCAGAGCATCCACTAAATCCGATGCAAAAGAGGATTCATTATTTGTATAACTTGACCACCCTTTCATTTGCTCCTTGAGTTGGTCTTGCATTAGTCTTAAATCCCTGAAAGAGATGACAATTAAGAAAATGGAGGGAAAATAAGCGAAAGGGTTAATAACCAGGTTAGTAATTCAGAGTGTTGTTTGGAGCTTGTAATTTTATACAAAACACCAAGTATTTTAGAAAGATGGGTTACCTTATAAATCGCATTACGCAATGCTTTGACTTGTGCTCTTGAAACAGTCCTCACTTTTTTCACAATCGTCCAAACAACTCCTTCGGTGCATGGGGGAGTTGTCAGTGACCCGATGTATCGATAGTACTTTCTCCTCCCGAATTTGATGTCTCCTGGATTCACGATCCCCACCTCTATATCCTTTCCGCCCTTTCTTGTCTTCTTTATGTCACGCAACAGCTGTCATTACACAAAATCAAGACGTTTTTCAGCAACAAATTGATATGACAATGATCTTACAATCGTTAAAATCAAATCGTAAACTTTTATCACAAAGTAATATGGTAGTTTTTTACTACCTTGGAAAGGAATGGATCAGGCTTCCCATACTTGTAAACAATTCCAATCACAGCTGTTCCTCCATTGGAGCTTGAGTGAACCACATGTAGCTCTAATTCATACCTTCAAATCAAGCCTCTTAATTAGCTAGTTCAGTCATCTAATTTAGTTGTTTTATTATGAGTAAATAAATTTATTATCATTCCAGATAATATTGTCCTTTGGGTTATATATATCTTGGGAAAATTAGGCAAGAACCAAAACCTTGAGCCATTAAATGTGTGCTCAGAAGGTGTATGCCAATGGAATTGGACCAACTTGTAGTAAGTCTCATTTACCCTAATCTGCCCTGCATCAGCTTTCCATTTGACCTACAACCCAAAAACCAATAACACAAAAGACAACAAAAAAGTTGAGAAGAAACAAAGGAAGATCTGATGAGACAAAAGAGTACAATAACTAATGCGTCTAAACTAGATGCGTTTGCGTCGTTAAAATCGGATCTTGAATTCTCATGTGTCGAAAATCTTTTGATCAAGCCTTTCGAGGGTAAAATTGTTAATAATCTTTTTTTTACCAACCATGATGTCATGTCCACTGTTCTTGACAGTAGCAGGAGCTGGTTTATAGTCTCTCTGTAACTTCCCCAATTCAGGGGAGACTTCAACTCCATGGCTTAGAACATCAATGGGAGACTGCAACTTCCCATTCCCACAAGCTCTCCATTTTGGGCTCAATGATCCCCATTCCTTTGGCCCTCTCTCCCCCTTTCCTTCCTTGTAAGTGAATGAAATGTTCCTCCCACCTGCACATTTGCAGCATCATTCATGAGAAACAGACTGATAACAACATAACATATACCAATTATGTCAAGAACAGAGCTCACCAACTCTAGAGCTCAGTGAGGCAGAGGAGCAGAGGATGAACATGCAAGTGCTGAGCCAGAGAACCATCAACAATGCCTGCTTCGTCTGCCTTCCAGCCATGGTTAACAATGGTAATCCTTCAAATGCTCTCTTGATTGAATGATGAGTTCTTACTGTGTGGAGCTGCAATGGAGGGGGGATTTATGGAAGCTGGGAACTCGATTCCAAAGTGGCAATGGGGGAGACAGGCCATTAAGGTACTTGCCACTTATGGGTCTTGGTCTTTGGAGTTCAGTCTCTGATGGGTTGGATTCATAAACAGCATACACAATTCGTTTATGTGTCTGCAAGTAGAAAGTAGTGTCAAAAGACGGTATTTTTCTTAGCCTAGAGCTTTGTGATCCAAGGAAAGTTCCAATCTTGCATTCAACTTGCCCAAACCCAACACAGACTGTGTTCCGATCTTGCATTGCCAGTTTTAATGTCTTCTTACAGAGACTGAATTGAATGTGGGTTCCTAGCAATGTGACTAAAACTGATGGCTTTTTTGTTAGCTTTTACTCATTATTACTCAACTCACTCTCTTCACTCCACTAAAACTGAAACTCCCAATTAATTGTATTGATGTCTTCTTTATGTGTCTGTGTTACGTTCTACTACTGATAAATGGTCTAGGCTGAGTAAGATAACGATGGTAGAGTTATCGCTATCAATTGATTACACTTGAACGAGTTATTATCGGGATTTTCGATCCTAACCTATTAGATCACCATGAATTGTTGGGAATTTATTTATATATAAAAAAACATAACATGAATTTCATGAGCGGGTTAGTCAAACAGATTTTGATGAATGATATGAAACATTACTCATAATCGATAAAGCAATGACACATTAAATTCTTTTGGATCAGATGTCATCTGAGCAAATTGAATTTCGATGATAGAGTACAACACAAAATTGATTATCACTTAAAGTGTGTCACTTGTTGGTGAATTGTTTGGTTGATTTTGAGCATGTGTTTACACACACTTACACCATTGCTTTTACCCATCTAATTCGCCACCAAGTATCCAGCGCCGGCGCCGGCGCCGGCCTGATCTCCTTCCGATTCTCTCCTTGCTAGATCGTTTCCCCTCTCCTTTCCTTTTTTTGGGGTTCACCAAATTTGACCTTCTAGCTTCTACACTGTGATAATGGACGGTCGTATTGGTGGAGTTTGTCGTTTTGCTAAATCCAATGGCCTCAAACTGTCCAGCAAACTCATCCGCATTACCATCTCTCTCTCCCTCAAAAAAATTCCCCCATTCCTCTCTTCTGTCACTCTGCACAAAAATCCTGCCGGTCCCATAACCCAGGATCGAGGAGGAACTAACGAAAAAAAGTTCTGACCTCTTCAACACATGGCCACGTTACTCCGATGGCGGCCGATAACCACTCCCACTACACATTCCTTCCACCACCAACCATCGCTTTCCAGCTCTACTCTCCGTACCGGAGCTTCCCCACTTCATCATCACTCCCGTCGCCGGAGCCTCACCATCGCCGCGGCGGCGGCCGCGACAGAGACGATCCCGATGGAGCAGCAACAACAGCAGCAGCTTAAAAAGGGGATCGCCGAGCTCTACGACGAGTCTTCCGGGCTGTGGGAGGACATTTGGGGAGAACATATGCACCACGGGTTCTACGAACCCGACTCCCGGGTTTCCGGGTCGGAGCCCGACCACCGTGCCGCCCAGATTCGGATGATCGACGAATCCCTCCGCTTCGCCGCCGTCCCAGGTTCTCTCTCGCTCTCTAGCTTTACGGTTCATCCTGATTGGTTGATAGTTTAGCTGATTTCAGAAGGTGGGTAATTTTCTGATTGGTTGAATTTGGGGCAGAGGAGGCAGAGGAGAGGCCAAAGAAAGTTGTGGATGTAGGGTGTGGGATTGGAGGAAGTTCCAGGTACTTGGCTAGGAAATATGGAGCCAAGTGTCAGGGGATCACTCTCAGTCCTGTTCAGGCACAGAGAGCCAATGCTCTAGCAGCTGCTCAAGGTTTAGCTGACCAGGTCATCTTCTTCTTCTACCTCCAAAATCCAATCCTATGGTACTTACTGCTTTTGATTAATGTTGTTGTGGAAGATGGTGAGAGTTTGATGGTTGTTTTGTGGGGGGGAATTGAATGAAGCAGACATTCTTCCAAGTTGGGGATGCTTTGGATCAGCCATTCCCAGATGGGGAATTTGATCTGGTTTGGTCCATGGAGAGTGGAGAGCATATGCCTGATAAAGCCAAGGTCTTTCTTCCTTTTTGACACTTCATTATACATTCTTAGGGTTAACCAGTTCATAATCTTCTGCATTTTTTTTACAGTAATCAAATTATTACTTCGAACTATACGGCATACTATCATTGTATCTCAGTGGGGGATATCTCAGCATTTATATGGGAACTGGCTTTTGTTGTTGCAGTTTGTGGGTGAGTTGGCTAGAGTTGCAGCACCAGGGGCCACCATAATAATCGTGACATGGTGCCACAGAGATCTTGGGCCTACTGAGGAATCCTTGACCAAGTGGGAGAAAGATCACCTTGATAAAATCTGCAAGGCTTACTATCTTCCTGAATGGTGCTCCACTTCTGATTATGTCAAACTGCTCCAATCCCTCAATCTCCAGGTATATATATATACATATGGTTTTACCAGTGAACCCTCCAACTGAGCCGCCTTTTTCCCGCTGTTGAACCACCTTGCCTTGATTACTTGCAGGATATAAGAACAGCAGATTGGTCTGAGAATGTTGCCCCATTCTGGCCAGCAGTTATCCGGTCCGCCCTCACATGGAAAGGCTTCACTTCCCTCCTCCGAACCGGTACCCTTCGCCATTGATTTGATCCAACCTCAAGTACAGATAAGTCTAGCTGAAGAAGTCTGTTTTTTTTTTCCTGGTAACCCATTTGAGCTTTACCTTGGATTTGATTCTGGTGGAACAGGTATGAAAACCATCAGAGGAGCATTGGTGATGCCATTGATGATAGAAGGATTCAAAAAGGATCTTATCAAGTTCTCCGTTATAACGTGCAGAAAGCCCTGAATTCATACTCTTGCCACGTTATATTTTTTGCTGCTTGGGAAAGATTGGTGCAGCAGGTATACAGCAACAGGGAACACTTCCATAAACAAATAGGGAATTTTGTACTTTGTAGTACTGAAACAGGAAAGCAGTTAGTGCATTGGGAATCAAACCGATTGATGGAACTATACTTCAGGGCTGCAATGATCAAAACAAACATTTCTCAGCTTTTCTATGCTATCCAGAGAATGGCTGCAAAATTTCTTCTGCTACTTGATGATGATATCTCAACTTTTTTTATCTAATTATAAATCCTTGATCTGTGCCATGCATCAGTTAGTTTCGTGCTAAGAAGTTGGCTTCTTTCCAATCATGCTCAGCACTCAGATCATCATTTCCAAATTCACAGTATAGTAAAGCTTTCTTGGCCCTTCACGAAGATCTTATCCTTATCTTGTGCCAAAACAGAAGCTATGCCATTGCCAGCAACATCACAATCACATGCAACCTTACTGCCAACACACACCAGCACGCAACTAGATCAAACCCTCTCTCCTGCCTTTCATTTTGGCGTGATGGATTTGAGTTTCCCTGCTGAAAGCAACCAGCTGAGAGGAATGAATAAAGAACAGTGAAACCCTGAAGAACAAAACAAGAACAGCACAGCCCCAAAAAAACAAAAGAACAAGGGATCACGAGGGGGGAAGAAAAAGAAACAACAGAGAAAAGCTTAACTAACATAACCAACTTACACATTACATTCCTAACTTTGTCCTTTTCCCCGCTGTATTCTCTTCTGCCAAAAAAAAAACATCACCTCATTGAACAACTCCAACCACAGCCTTCCCATCCTCCTCATGACCTTGGAAAGGGTACTTCCAATTTCCAAAACCAAACATACTACCAATCAAATTGTGGCAAGAAAACAAAGTATAGTCACGGGATAACTCTGCCTAAATGAGACATGTTACCCCCATTTTTTTTTATGCACGCAAATAAGTAACAAAAATTCGCAATAGTAAAATGTAGCATGGTACATTGCCTTATTCCTGATTCAGATCTCACTACCATCATTTCGTAAGAAGTATCGACTGCTAAATATCGTCGTAATTGAACCGACGATCAAGATAGCGAAGATTGCCTTATTGATTCTGCATCATAATAAGTTTGATTGTGAGTCATGTGATGCGGTAGGAAGCCAACAAAAGAAGCTGAAGCTGAAGGAGAAAGCAGTGTCTCGTAGTTGCATGTGATGCAGTTTGCCTCATTTGGCAGTACTTACCCGGACTTAATGTTATAAGGACAGCTTCTCACCGCATGCAAAGCAGGAAAAACAGCAGGCTAAAAGCTTAGCTCCAAACATAGAAGTAGAAGGAGAGTGATAGTCTTCTTTCCTTTCTTCTTCTGTATAGTTCCATATTTCGTCATCAAACTCGCTACAGCACTGCAGAGTAGTGGGAGGAGATGGGAAAGGGAATGTGGTTTGCTGCAATTGGTTTCCTTCTTCTCAACTTCCTGATCGTCCACAACCATGTAAATTACTTCTTCCCTTTCCTCCATTGTCTCATCTTCCCTTTCTTGTGAGCTATTGCCTGATTGTTCATGCTATAAGCCATAGCTGGTGAGAAAGCTAAGAGGTAATTAGATGGTTTAGATTGTTTAGTTATATGCTTTAATTACCACAATCAACAGCAAGTCGTTGTAGTATAGTGGTAAGTATTCCCGCCTGTCACGCGGGTGACCCGGGTTCGATCCCCGGCAACGGCGAATTTTTTTTTTACTTGTTTTTGGTTCAATTTTTAATCAAATGGGTCGATTTTCTAAAAAATCTGCAGGCGACTATCACCGGCGAGGCGCCGGCGCCAACGCCCCAACCCAACGACGGCCTGTCCTATGTGAGATTCCTTTATTAACACACCCATTTTCCCTCTTCCAATTTGTAACATTAGCTGCATGAATTTGACTATGGTAGTACTATTGTTCGTTGTCGTTTCTGTCGTCGAAATGTGCAGGCTGGGACAACTGAGGGCAGCCTTCACCCGCAAGGTACGTAGGATTCTTCCAATAACTCGAGTAATTGGGATTCCAGCGATGTTGTTCGTACCGTCGATTGATCGCTATGTCCACCGCGCTTCTGCAGAATGTGGAGGGCGGTGCGACTCGAGGTGCTCGAGGACGCAGTACAAGAAGCCGTGCTTGTTCTTCTGCCGGAAGTGCTGCGCCAAGTGCCTCTGCGTCCCTTCTGGGTTTTACGGCAACAAGCAATCCTGCCCTTGCTACAACAACTGGAAAACCAAACGAGGAGGCCCAAAATGCCCTTGAATTTCCCCCCATACTCTTGATCAAAGAACAAAGGCAAATGGGAACATCTAATTCAATTTTTCTTGTAATGGTGAAGACTGAAAGGTAGTGTGTGTGTGTGTATTTGGAAAGGAGGTTTTTTCCAATTGCATTATTGTTTTGTGTGATGATTGGGATTGTAAATGGAACAAAGCAAGAAATTTGGGTTTGAAGAAATTGGTCATATGGGCTTTCAGCCAATACAATTGGGCTTTCAGTTGGGGGGTAGATAGTAGGAGCTTAGTGACGGAGGTATGGGCTTGAGCCCAACAGCTTCCATGTCTTGCCTCTCGGTAGCGAATGAGTCGCGGATCGAATAGCTGCCCACATGAAGCGTGAGTCGGGTCATGTAATATCTCGTTGATACGGTTTGATGATCATGCAATGTCTTGTTGAGGATAGGGCAAAAAAGCAGTATGAAAGTAGTACTCATCTCACACTATTGTAGATGGAGTAAGAAACGCTCCTATGCTAGTCGGATCGAATAATGCCCGATAAGAGGTTCAAATTTTCATTCTTCCCTCTCAATAAGTGAGCTATTATTGTTGGGAACAAAGCTGGAAGAATGGAGAATCCTACTCCTCTGCGGATTCGGATTCAAGAGGGCGCCAAGAAGTTTAGTTTGAAATGGAGTCTGTCAAAACTGTGTCGTTTGAATAAATTGAGTCTTAGTCCTGTAAGTTGTTAGGTTAGTCAAATCAGTTAGGCTGTTGAGAAAAGTCTGCTTAGTAGTTGCAGATTTGCAGGAGATGAACGTTGGTAGGATCGTGGAGGCTGAGTTGTGGCCAAAACGTTAGTATTTATATTCTCTTTTGTCATTCTAATAAGATTGTCAGATTGCAATCCATTATTGAGCTTTCATATTGGTATCAGAGCTCTCTAGCAAGCTGTAACCAAAAGGTGTTCTTGAGTGATTGAGTAAGAGAGGAGTTCTGCAGTATTTTGCAGACAAGGGTTTTGGGAAACACGAGTGTTTAAGTGAGGCAAACACAGGGTGAGAGAAAATGAGTGAAGGCAGTAGTTTTGCTCAGGTGTGTATCCCCAAGTTTGATGGAGATTTCGATCACTGGAGCTTGCTGATGGAAAATCTCCTTCGATCTAAAGAGTACTGGGGAGTGGTGAGTGATGGCTTTAAGGAACCTGGAGAAGGAGAGGAGTTGACAGAGGCACAGTCCAAGAGATTGGAAGAGCTCAAGCTCAAAGATCTCAAGGCTAAAAATTATCTGTTCAGCTCGATTGACAAGGTGATTTTGAAGACCATCACCAAGAAAAGAACTGCCAAAGAACTATGGGATTCGATGAGAGTCAAGTATCAAGGAAGTGCAAGGGTACAGAAGGCACAGCTGCAGGCTTTGAGAAGGAGTTTTGAACTTCTTGAGATGAAGGAAGGTGAGACCATTACTGACTATTTCAGTAGGGTGATGGTGATTGCTAATTCTATGCGCAATTGTGGTGAAGAGTTGACTGATGTGCATATTGTTGAGAAAATTCTTAGAACTTTGACTGAGAAGTTCAACTTTGTGGTCTGTTCAATTGAGGAGTCCAAGGATATAGAGCTTTTAACTGTTGATGCTTTGCAAAGCTCTTTAATTGTGCATGAGCAGAAATTTCAGAGAAGAACTTCCACAGAAGAAGATCAGGCTTTGAAAACCTTCCATGAGTATGGTGGAAGGGGTGGTCGTGGCTATGGAGGGAGGAGCTATCCTGGCAGGGGTAGAGGAAGAGCAGGAAGGTGGAACAGGGAATCTGTTGAGTGCTTTAGGTGTCACAAACTTGGTCATTTCAAGTTTGAGTGTCCAGAATGGGGAAATCAGCAAGCACACTATGCTAATTATCCAGACAGAACTCAAGGAGACATGAAGGATGATGTCCTGCTGATGGCCTATGTTGCAGAAGGATCAAGCACCAGGAAAGAACAGCAAAACAGTAAAGGGTGGTGGTTCTTGGACTCAGGTTGCAGTAACCACATGAGTGGTGACAGGAGCTGGTTTACTACCCTGGATACAAGCTTTCAGTGCTCAGTAAGGCTTGGTAATGACTCTCGATTAAGTGTTGGTGGGAAAGGAACTATTAAGCTACTTGTTAATCAGACATCATTCATAGTGCAAGAAGTTTTTTATGTTCCTGGACTAACCACCAATCTGCTGAGTGTGGGACAGTTGCAAGAAAGGGGGATTTCTTTTCTTATAAAGGAAGGGTCTTGCAAACTTTTCCATGAGGAAAAAGGTCTATTACTGCAAACTCAGATGAAAACAAACAGGATGTTTGTGTTGCAAGCTGAGGTAAAGGAGGAAGAAGGGCATCAGTGTTATCAAGCAGATAGTTCAAAAGATGCTTCTCTTGAACTATGGCACAGAAGGTTTGGCCATGTTCACACTCAAGGGATTCTGAATTTGCAGAAGAACAAACTGGTACAAGACTTACCTCAGCTAAAAGGAGAAGTTGGCATCTGTCAGACCTGCATGATAGGGAAACAGCACAGGCTACCTTTTCCAAAGAAAAGTCTCTGGAGAGCTGCTGAGAAACTCCAACTCATTCATGCTGATTTATGTGGTCCAATTACTCCTACATCCAATGGAGGAAAGAGGTATATTTTAACCCTAACTGATGACTTCAGCAGAAAATTATGGGTTTATTTTATGCCTGCCAAGTCTGATACACTGGAGATGTTCAAGAAATTCAAAAATCATGTTGAAAATGAGACTGATCTAAGTATCAAGTGTCTTAGAACAGACAGGGGTGGTGAGTTCATGTTGCAGGAGTTCAAGGGAGTATGTGATGATGCAGGTATTAAGAGACAACTCACAGCTGCTCTTACCCCACAACAAAATGGGGTGGCTGAGAGGAAAAACAGGACCATTCTAAATATGGTTAGGTGTTTGCTGGAAGATTGTAAGGTTCCTGCTTGTTTCTGGCCAGAAGCAGTGGCCTGGAGTTGTCATATTTTGAACAGAAGTCCCACTGCAGCCAACCAAGGGAAAACTTCACAGCAGATCTGGACAGGCCAACCACCTTCAGTCTCACACTTCAGAGTGTTTGGTTGTGTGGCCTATGTTCACATTCCAGATCAACAGAGGAAGAAACTCGATGCTAAGAGTACCAGGTGTCAGTTTCTAGGCTTATCTGTTGAATCCAAAGCCTATAAATTGTACAACCCAGTCACAAGGAAGATAGTGGTCAGCAGGGATGTAGTTTTCGATGAGCACAAAGGTTGGCACTGGAACCCTGAAATACAGCCTGTGCTCACCAAAATTTATTGGGAAGGCAGTGAGGAAGAGTGGTATGATTCAGAAGAGGAAGGGGAGGAAGAGCCAGTCACAGCCACTGATCACACAGGATCCTCTTCTGATCATATCACTAACACCACAACACCAGCAACAGGAGAAGAGGAGGAAGAGGAGGAGGAAGAAGAAGAGGAAGATCATGGCTCCCCTATTGATGTTTTGGGACTACCTAGCACAGAATTGGGACCAAGAGTAAGAAAGCCACCAGCACACTTGTCCATTTATGACTGCAGGTTTATGGACACAGACTGGAGAGCAATGGTGGCAATCTCTGAGGATCCTTTAACCTATGAAGAGGCATCAAAAGATCCCAAGTGGAATGCTGCCATGAATGAAGAAATGGCATCTATTGAGAAGAACCAGACCTGGACGTTGACTGAGGCTCCAGCTGGTGTCATTCCAATTAAACTCAAGTGGATCTACAAAACAAAGCACAAGGAAGACAACACCATTGACAAGTTCAAAGCCAGGATTGTGGCAAAAGGATTCACTCAGAGGCAAGGAATTGATTATGATGAGGTATTTGCTCCTGTTGCTCGTTGGGATACTATAAGAACTTTACTGGCTTTTGCTGCATTCCATGGTTTTGAGGTGTTTCAGCTAGACATAAAGAGTGCTTTCTTGTATGGTGAATTGACTGAGGACATTTATGTAGAGCAACCACAAGGGTTTGTGGTTGCTGGGGAGGAATCAAAAGTATACAAGTTAAAGAAAGCACTCTATGGCCTGAAACAGGCACCTAGAACATGGTACAGCAGGATTGAGGCTCATTTCCTCAAATCTGGTTTTGAGAGGAGCACATATGAACATACATTGTTCATAAAAAGAACTGAAGGCTGCATTCTGATTGCTAGCCTGTATGTGGACGATTTGATGTATACTAGCAATAGTGCTGAAATGATTGCAGATTTCAAGAGAAGTATGCAGGCTGAGTTTGAGATGACAGATTTGGGGAGGATGAGGTATTTCCTTGGTGTTGAAGTTATTCAGAACAAGGCTGGTATTTTCCTGTGCCAGCAGAAGTACATTGGAGACCTGCTGCAGAAATTCAATCTTGCTGAATGTAACTTCACAAAGAATCCAATAACACCAGGAGTAAAGATGACAAGGGAAGGAGATGGTGTGTTGGTCAATCCTACAGATTACAAGAGGCTCATTGGTAGTCTACTTTATGTTACAGCAAGCAGACCAGATCTTATGTTTACTGTCTGTCTTCTCAGTAGATATATGGAAGCACCAACCAGAATGCACATGCTGGCAGCCAAAAGGGTGCTTAGGTATCTAAAGGGCACAGCAAGCTATGGGATCTGGTACAAAAGAAAGAGTGAAAACAGCTGTCTAATGGGATACACTGACAGTGATTATGCAGGTGATTTGGACGACAGAAAGAGCACTAGTGGATACGCTTTCTTCCTTGCAGGAGGGGCTGTTTCCTGGGCTTCAAAGAAACAACCAGTTGTGACCCTGTCAACCACAGAGGCAGAATTTGTGGCTGCTTCTTACTCAGCTGCTCAATGTGTTTGGTTAAGAAGAATTTTGGAGCAGATTGGTTGGGAAGATAGTGTTAAAAGGGCAACAAGGATTCTCTGTGATAACAGCTCAACGATCAAGCTGTCAAAGAATCCAGTGCTGTATGGGAGAAGCAAACATATTGACGTCCGATTTCATTTTCTAAGGAATCTGGCAAAGGATGGTGTTGTGGAGTTGGAGTATTGCAGCACCCATAAGTAGGTTGCTGATGTGTTAACTAAAGCTCTAAAACTGGAAACATTTCAGTTGATGAGGAGCAGACTTGGAATGGTTGAACTACAGGAGTTTGAAGCTGCAGGTTGAAGATTGTTGCTCTTGAACTGAAGTCAGCAGAGTGGCTTCAGTTCAGGGGAGGATATTGTTGGGAACAAAGCTGGAAGAATGGAGAATCCTACTCCTCTGCGGATTCGGATTCAAGAGGGCGCCAAGAAGTTTAGTTTGAAATGGAGTCTGTCAAAACTGTGTCGTTTGAATAAATTGAGTCTTAGTCCTGTAAGTTGTTAGGTTAGTCAAATCAGTTAGGCTGTTGAGAAAAGTCTGCTTAGTAGTTGCAGATTTGTAGGAGATGAACGTTGGTAGGATCGTGGAGGCTGAGTTGTGGCCAAAACGTTAGTATTTATATTCTCTTTTGTCATTCTAATAAGATTGTCAGATTGCAATCCATTATTGAGCTTTCAATTATCGATACTAGAAATGACTTTTTTATTACTCAAAACTAGGGAATAAAATGTGATAATTAGGGATACGAACTAATATAAGTGATCTCGATTATAAGTTGGAATGAAAAAGTCAACTGTAACTGCAATGTACTTTTCTAGAATATCAACGACAGCAGGCTTGATTGATTGAGTATATAAGATGGGAATGGGAATAAAAAAGGCCTGCATAATAATTTAATTGACAGATAAGTAGTCCTGGTTATAAGATGTGAAGTAGAAAGGTCAACTACTCAACTGTATGGTTTTACTTCATCATTAGCATTATAAGGCGGTTGCACATGTATGTCTTTTGTCACCTCAATTATTTTCTAAACCATTAGTTTGGACCACTAATTCGTATTAAATAGGATCATAATTGATAAGACCCAAAATAATTGTCTCTCTATTAATCATACAAGGAAAGTAAATGTACAGAAAACCCAAGTCAAGGACCTTAAACTATAGGTGTGGATATTCTCTCATTTTGAAGCATGCTTTGCATTATTGAGTTATCATTTTTGGTACGACGAGAATGGGACAAACATAAAAAGTTTATTCCTCTCATTCCTATTAGTGATATAAGATTTAGGGTAAATACAATTTAATATCCAAACCTTTCATTTTAAACAATATAATAGCCAAACCTTTTAGAAAACAATCTAATATCTTAATCATCAACTTTTCGTCCGTTTGACCGTTGGTTGACACTTCAAAAAAGCTTTGTTTAGGGGAAATTGTCACAATACAACTTTGTTTTCTTGTTTTGACATTGCAGATGACTGAATATTTAGATATTCTATACCATCAGGGTGGAGTCATGGACTTCTCGGGTTTGGAACCACGATACGTTGGTGGTTTTTAAGAGAAGATATCGATGGATATTGATAAAGCGTCGTACTTCGAACTTTTTTGAAGTGTCGACTAACAGTCAAACGAACGGAAAGTTGACGATTTGGATATTAGATTGTTTTCGAAAAGGTTTGGCTATTATATTGTTTAAAATGAAAGATTTGGATATTAAATTGTATTTACCTTAATATTTATAATTAACCTTTCTTCGAATATTTCAGAATCACATGCAGTATTCTTCCAACGATCAGAAATGAAAGCATATGCGGAGATGGAAGGAAATTGGCGGGAGATGAGGGTAGTTAGTTAGGTTTTCCTTCTTTCGTGTTTGGCGTTTTCTGTTGGGTTGGTTGGGTAGGCAGTTTGGTAGCTGCCTCTGGTGCAAAAGCATATTCGTTTTCTGGGCACGTGACGGAAGCGCCAAACCCGCCCTTCCCAATATATTTATTTTAATATTTGCAGAAAACACAAATTAATTCCCAGCCGTCCATAGTTGAATATTGAAATCCATGAGCTAACAGTACGTTCGGGCTTTAGGCCCTCTCTGATGGTGATGGCCCGGTTGGGCGGGCCCAAGTGTTCCTCCTTCATAAATGGACACGTGGCGCAACATCAACCATCCAGAATCCACCTCGCCGGAGCGCTCTCCTCTGGCCCCGCCGCACCGGCCATTCCCATTTTCCACTAGTGAATTATCAAGTACCTACTAATGGTAATTCCAATTTAAGAATAATACAATCAACTTGGGATTAAAAATACTCATCGTAGTTGAACGCAAAAAAAATGGGAGGTCAAGGATTTTGACTGTAAACAGTGTGATTATTTAAAAAGGATTAGCAACCTGCAACCACAAACACGTTCCAAGCGTTGAACTTTTATTCATGGAAAAAGCGATTGTAGGGGTTTTCTCTTAAATATACAAAGAAAAATCCGATCGGATCGACGGTCATCATCTCAGTGAGCTTGCGGTGGCTCTAAAGATGTGCGTATCGAAACTAGGATTAATGGTTCCAACATCCGATATAATCACACTTAATTACAGATTTTCGTCTGTTTTAAATGATTTAGAACAACCATCAATCCTGTTACAGCTTTATCTCAGATATGATTTCACCACTCCGTGAATACCGACAATTAAGCCGGACGAAACAGGGGAATCAGGAATCTGCTATTCGCAAACGAAACCTCTAGATTACCCAAACGTTACATAGTTATAGCTTGATGTCTTCAGATATGGTTTCACCAATCCGACACTCTAGATTACCCAAACGTCACATATACATAGTAGTACTAGTAATTTCCAGTACTGACATAAAGAAAACAGGGGCGGAGAAAAACAGACGAAGAAGAGCAGAGGGCCAAAAAAAAAAAAAAAAAAAAAAATTACAGTAAATATTAGTTAATTAGGCAGCGGATCCGATGGGGCCAGATCACGATTACTGCGATTTGATGATGGTGGTGGTGGTGTTTATTCAGATCATCTACCCGTCCAGGTGATTGTACTTCTTCTTCTTGTACTCTACAGCGGTGGTGGACTTGTTGCCGTTGGTGTGGACGATGAGGCTGGCTGGGTGGTCGGCGACGGCTGCTCCGTCGGTTCGCGTTAATGGAAGGGACGACGTCTGGCCGGCGTCAGTGGCTCCGGCGACGGATTTGGGGCGAGGGTAGAAGAAATCTGTGGGGAAGAAGTTGTACTGGAGGCCGGCCATTGCGATCGATGGAGATTTTCCGATATAGAAAAGGAGCGGGTGATCTCCAATAGATTAGGGGAGAGGCGGAAGATGAGGGCTTTAGGTATCTTATGGAGTGTTTGGCAGTTGCTGGGGTAATTTTGATCGTTTGGGTTCTCCTTGGCTTTTGTATTTATAGAGGAAGGAGAGGGAAGGGTTTGATTAAAATACATGGCCGCTACACTTGTTTAGAGGTCTTGACTCTTGAACTTTGAGGTTGTTACCTGATTAGTCATCCAACTTTTGAGTGTTTACGAATTCATCATTACGATTTACAAGTTTGGAATCATGACCAATAGTCTAACACAATAGTTACTTTGTTCATATTGTTCACTCATTCGGTTCACAGATTGTCTGAATCAGTGTACCCTGCTCACCCAAGATTAACAACATGAATGTGATACACATCCTTATAGGCAAGAAGAAGAAGAAGATGGCACATCTTACTTTATAACCCGATTCAAACTTAACCTATTACTTGGTCCAATTTCAGTAAAAAAAAAAAAAAATACACTACCACATCCCAATTGTCATCCTCATTGGGATCGAGGCCTCCCTAGAATTTATCTTCATTTGGGGTATGGATGAAATATGAATACCAACCCCCTGATCTTATTATATCTTTTGAGTCATCAGAGATCGACGATCTAAACTGAAGTGTTCAGATGATCCATCTATTTGACCCGTATATAGGCTAGTTGCAACATCTTAAAGCATTAAAAACGAATTCCTAGTTGTATATCATGTGTTTGTGGGTGAACTTCACCATTTCCTTACTCGATTGAAGCATTCATATTCAAAGAAAAGATTCGATAGACAATTGATAGCGAGAAAATATTTGAAGTTTCTAGACATATAATACCCTGAAACTCATACCTTCGGTCCGACTCAACAGCTTGGCTAAACTACTAAAGCATCAACATATCCGTGTCATTTCCGGTTTTCACCATTACTTCGAGTAAATTGACATGTTTTTTTTTTTTTTTGACAAAAGATAATCAGATATATTGATTCAAAAGATAGTTACACCCTGGAAAGCAGCCAGGTCTGCAAATCAAACACACGACTCGCAGTCGGGGACAATGAAAGGGCTTTCCTAGCCACCACATGGGCTACCCTATTGTTACTCCGACCTACAAACCGAACTCTAAATCCTGGATGAGAGGAAAAACAAGATACGACTTCTTCAAGCACAGCTCCCATCCGGCTATCTTCCTTCTCCGCCCGAGTGATCTTATCAATGACGACCTTGGCGTCCCCCTCAAAGCAGACATCCATGAAACCAAGATCGAGACACCACCAGAGGGCCTCGCGCAGCGCCAGTATTTCCACCACCAGAGGGTCATCAATGCAGGGGAAATGGACCCCGCGAGCCAATAAAACATTCCTCTCGGGGGTCATCAGAACCGCCCCCCCGGCAGAATGAGACCCACGCCTTGTCGCTCCATCCCACATACAGACCACCGACCCATGACTATTATTGTCCACAATGACGGGAGGCAACCTTGGACCATGAGCATGCAGAGCTCGCTCCCCCTGCACATTTACCCACTCATCCAACTGCTGGTTGTACTGTCGCATCAAGGCCTGAATCCCGAACTGCTTGCCTTCAAAGACAACCCAGTTCCGGGAGCGCCAGATCCTCCAGAGAACAGCAACCACCGCCATAACCAGCTTCGGCTCATTAATGAGAGCTAATAAGCGTTTAAGGAACAGCGGGAAGGTCTGGCGAGGCAACCCTTGGCCCAAGTATTCCAGCCCCGCATAATCCCAGAGCGCACGAGCCACAGGACAGTCCAGAAACAAATGCTCCATGGTTTCCGCCGCATCCCAACATACAGGACATCGAGGGTGAACCAACACATCCCTTTCCCTAAGAGCCTCTGTTGTGGGTAGAATACGACCGAAAATTTGCCAAACAAACACCTTTAACTTAGGCGGAATGTTAGCATCCCATAAACGAATCCAGCTGGGCCTATCCATCCAACTAACCGTGGCTCTCCATCTGGGCTGGCGCTGATCCAATCTGACTGCCAGGTGATAGGCCGATTTAACAGTAAAAGCTCCATCCGGTGTATCATGCCAGATCAGACGATCATTGACATTCTGCCGCGGAAGCGGAATAGATTTTATGGCTCGACACGTGAGAGGATCAAACCAATGTTCCAGCTTCTCATCACACCACCGACCTTCACATATTACGTCCTTCACCAATAATTCCCCTTCAGCTGGAAGCACCATGGGATTGTATCTCGGGGGAGAAGGGTGGGATTGGGGTATCCAATTAGAGGAAAGAAGAGACACGCTCCGCCCATTCCCAATCTGCCACCGGAGCCCTTGTTCCAGCAGTTCTCTGCCAAACAGAATACTCTGCCAACCCCAAGAAGGTCTCGAACGAGCTTTAGCAGTAAGGAAAGTACCATTCGGGAAATACTTGCCCTTATAGACCTGTGCTAGCAGGGAATCGGGATCAGTAATGATCTGCCACCCAACCTTAGCCAACAAGGCCTGGTTGAATAGTTCAAACCGACGGAAGCCCATACCCCCCTCATGTTTGCTCTTGCACATATTTCTCCAAGACATCCATCTAATTCTCTCATGACCTTCTGCAGCATTCCACCAGAACCGAGCCACATGTTTATCTAGGAGCCGACACAAGGATAGGGGAAGCTTGAAGCAGGACATAACGTGTAACGGCAAAGCTAAGGCTACAGACTTAATCAAGACCTCCTTTGCTGCCCACGACAACGTCCTTTGCTTCCAACCCTTGAGACGGTCCAGCAATTTTCCCTCCAAATATCTAAACGTAGCCATTTTGGAACGGGTTATCAGAGTAGGTAAACCGAGGTATTTATCATGCACGCCGACCGCCCCAACCCCCAGAATCTGGGCCAAGAACTCCTGATCAGGCACCGCAATGTTTTTACTAAAGCACACTGCCGATTTGTCTAGGTTAACCCTCTGGCCACTGAGCTCCTCATATTATTCATTCAAAACTGCAATCAGGTTTTCACACTCCCGGAGGGATCCCCTGAGGAATAAGTACGAGTCATCGGCAAAGAAAAGGTGCGAAATACGCGGAGCTCGAGGCGCCACCTTCACCCCTTGCAGCTTACGTTCAGTAATTGCCTTATTAAGAAGAGCCGCAAATCCCTCCGTACAGATCACAAAGAGATGAGGGGACAGAGGGTCCCCCTGACGCAGGCCCCTAGAAGGAGTGAAGAAGCCCTTCGGAGTACCATTCATCATGACCGAAAAAGAAGTGGATTTAAGACACTCAAGAATCCATCCTCGCCAGGTAGCACTAAAGCCCATTTTTTCCAAAACCGCAAGGAGAAATGGCCATTCGACTCTATCATAGGCCTTTTCCATGTCAACCTTTAGAGCCATGTACCCTTTCTTGCCTGTCGTTTTGATTTTCAGGTAGTGCATTAATTCATGCCCCAGGAGAACGTTTTCGACAATTTGGCGCTCCTTAATAAAAGCGTTCTGTCCACGTGAAATGATTTGCGGAAGAATACCCGCCAATCGCTCAGCCATAATCTTTGTAATGATCTTGTAGACAAATTGGCAAAGACTAATTGGGCGAAGTTGTTTCATATTTTCCACATTATCCACTTTGGGAATCAAGGTTAACCAGGTGTGATTGAAACTGCGCAACATCCTGCTCGTCCTGAAGAACGAGCACACCGCATCAATTACCGACTCGCCCACAATATCCCAGAAAGCTTTAAAAAATTTCCCAGTGAACCCATCGGAACCAGGAGCTTGTTTTGATCCCATGGCAAACACTGTTTTCCGAACCTCCCCAGGTAAAACCTCAGCCGTTAGGCCGGCATTCATCTCTGGAGTAACGCTCTGAGCAATGGGTAGAGCATCTACTCTTTCCATCATGTTTTCAACCTGGTTATCCGTCGTGAACAGTGTTTTGTAAAAGCTACACGCCAAGTCAGCCTTCTCTGCCTCCCCCGTGATCCAATCACCACTATCAGTCCGGAGCCTCTCAACGAAATTTCGTTTACGGCGAGTTCTCGTAACAGTGTGAAAGTACGAAGTGTTCTTGTCCCCTTTTTTTAACCAATGAACACGAGATTTTTGTTGCCAATAAATCTCCTCCGCCTCCCACTGCCGAGTCAGCTCTAATTCCAGAGAGCGGATCTCATCCCAATCAATTGGATGAATAAGTTTAATTCGCTCAATCTCCGCCTGGAGGGTCCGAATATTACGCAGAGAATTCGTCGTCCCCGCCCTACTCCAATCATAAAGAAGATGTCGGAGTTTTTTAAGGCGTTCCCAAAGCTGAAACATTGGGGTCCCCTGGATCTCTTCCTGCCATACATAATTCACCATAGCCCGAACCTCAGGATTATCTGCCCATCTCGCATCAAATGGAGAGTTCAGCGGTGAACTTACCAATGATTTCCAGAGTTCAGTGGTCATTTTGCAACCAAACCCATGAGGAAAGAGGCGTGTGGGATTTTGGAGAGAAACACGAAATATGATCAATTAAAAAACAGTTTGGTCACTGTGGGACTCTTATATTGAATAATGGACTGCGAATGCGCATGCTAGCAGTGACTTAGCTTCCACACAAATAATGAAATAAATTGCTTGGGAGTTTGGACTGAAAAATAATATATGAACATAATAAGGGTAGTTGAAAGCTCTTCAATTCATTGGAGAGATATTTTTTTGTTTTCTAATATGTGGTTCTTAATCTCTTGCGCCCTTTTTGTTTATTAAAGTCCCTCTAGTCTCTTCCTTCGCTAGCCCCGAAAGAAAATGGTGGGGGTATTAATAATTTAAACTAACATGAATGATAACGTGGGACTGCATGCTCCATGCTACAGCAAAAGTCAGCAACCACCAATCAGCTTGTTTAAAAGATGGCGTAATAGAACAGCCGTCCACAAATCCAAAGAAGCAGCCTTAATAATCTGATGATAACGGAGCCCCGTAATTAGTGATCATCAGTAGGGTGAGTCAAAGTTGAGGGGCCGGCCAATGCTGTGGTCAAAGCTCTCCTGGGTGTAAATAATCAAAGCTGTAACACTAATAAAATGGCGCATGTGTGGACTGATCAAATGGTAACAATGAATGGTCAAGCTGGGACTCATTAAGCTAGACTAATTAATGGTCTGTCATTTGGAACAGTCTTGAAGTCTGTTCAGGAATCAGAACACTCGATGAGTACAATGGAGGTGGGGGTGTGTGTGAATTTGTTGTTTATGGATTGGGGTTTTTAATACGAAGAGAGGCGGGTCTCTCACCATCGAGTTTTCGTGCATATCGATATTGAGGGTTTGAATCTTAAGACAGTACTGTATCCATTTCGTATAAGAGAAAGTAGTGCAGGTTTAGACATGTCATGTATGTATGGATGAAGGACACAAGCACAATAGGTTTAGACCACTTCAGATTGAACAATCTTATTGTTGTTAATACATATTCGAGTTGAAGGATGGACCACTAAATATAACCATTATTATGGATTGAAAATTTAATGATTATAGCAGTTGTTTTTTTAAAAGTTAGTGATGAATTTGTTAATTAGCAAGATTTTAGCCTTTTTTTACCCCTTAGTTTCTAAGATATATATGTCAATTCACTGTACAAAACAACAATTAATTATGGAAAGGAACATTTAACGTTTAACTCCTCTTCTAATTGGGGATGATTTTGTTCCAAATGCATTTATCATCCAGCGCATACAAAATAAAAAATGCATTTCTCCTCTGGATCTAGTCTCTTTTTGGGTGGGTTTGTGAGAACCTCCTAAATTCCTAACTAACAGACTCAAAAGCCCCTTATTTAAGTTGGTTCGGGCCTTTAATTAACAGTCCGCGAGAACCTCCTAATTAATGGGCTCAAAGCCCATCACCTAAGCTGGTTCGGATATAATTTGCAAGTCTTAATTTGGAGGCGGGCACAACACGACATGAGAAGAAGTAACGGACTGGACCAGACAAAAGATGAGAAAAATGAATTTGATGTAGATTCGTGCTACGCAGGTACAACTTACAAGCACAACTTAACGTCTAGATAAAAGTTTGAGAAACTCTGAAAAGACATCCTTTTTTTCCCAAGGAATATGGCTAGAAAGGAGGCAGAGTAACCTTTGGTGAAACCTAGATTTTAGACAGGTTACGAAGTCCTCAACTGAATTGTAGTACTCTCAACAAATAGAGTTTTCGGATAGGGATCTTGCCAATATTTTGTAGGATCTACTTCCGCATTATTAAATAAACAAATTACATACATCATGAATACGTACAAAAAACATCAGCAATTAGCCAAAAGAACACGTGGAAGGTAAGGTAACAGTTTAGTTGCGGAACGGCGGCGAAGGGTTAGTTTCGGTTAATTCGTAGCACGGTGCGGCTGGTTGCGATCCGTTTTGAGGACGTAAGGTGCTCGCCGCAACGACGTCGTCGTCTTGAAGGAGATATCGAGTTTGGGAACAACATTCTTCTTCTTTGCCTTTCCGTACTTCTCCTCACGATCAACTGCGAACTGGGAAGCTGCAGGCGGCTGTTTCTCGATCGCCGTCGGCAGCTTGGCTCCCACGAAAGCGTCTTTTGTTGGCGGCGGCGGTAGTGGGCGCGGGTAGTAGAAATCCGTGGGAAAGAAGCAATACTGCTGGCCGGCCATTATTCGAATGGATTTGTCTAACGTCTGTTTGCTGAGTAGCTTTGATTTCTTTGAGGGATTGGTGAATGGAAGGAAGCCCTGTTTGGTTATGCTGAATTTATAGGGAAATTAATAATGAGGAGGAAAGTTAATTATTACTTATTAGGCTTGGGCTTCAAGCCGGCTTTCTTGCGGCTTCCGGCATGCAGAAAAGTCAACATTTGGTTTCCTCGTTGTGTTTGGATTATATGTACGTATGTGTCCGTCTCCACCTCGGACTTGTGACGGTTCTAGATGCAGAAGCTTCTCCGGTTGAGTTTCACAATAGAATATACTAGAAACTACCTGAATGATAAGGACGCGACTATCGAATCTGGAAGGACTTGTTTAATAAGAGAGAGGTATCGGTGAATGTTGAGCGATCTTGATATGATGTAGAAGTTAGGTTAACGATTGAAACTTATTTTTAATATCGGGTTGGAAGGCAATTTTTGGCACCTTTTCATCTTTTATCTCGCCTCTTTTCTTACATTTTTGTCATCTTCTGAAATCAATAATTAACTTCTCATTGCAATTTTTTCAATATCTTTTTATATTTTTGTCACCGCCCGAAACCAATAATTAACTTCTCATTGCAATTTTCAAAATGATAAATAATTAAACACATAATGAATTTTTACATTCATCCATATTATTATTACCTTGTCGTTACATTAGGAGAGAATCGACTAATCCGCCCCGTCTTACCTTGAAGCTAGGCGAAGCTAATTAGGCCCATGGCTTAGCCCAATATAGCTTGCTTCAACTGAGGCCCAATGGAAGTAAGCCCATTCCTTCTAGCCCATTTAAACAGAGTTTCACTCTTTCCCAAATTGCATCGTCTTCTCCAGCAAAAACCCTTCAATGCAAAACCCTAACACTTATAAATTCAGCATTTCAATTCAACCGCAAAAAACCTCCGCCACCATTTCCAGCCAACCACTCCTAAACCCTACAATCCCTAGAAAGAGCCACAGAGCTCGCCCGAGAAACCCACAACAACAATGTCGGAAGTCGAAGTCTCCCGCTCGGAGAAGAAAAAACACAAGAAGAAGACAGCCCCGGAGACCGAGGCTGACCCCATGATGACCCCATCCAAAGACGGCTCCTCCGCCGCCGCCGCCGGAGACTTCCTGATCAAGCCCCAGAGCTTCACACCGGCGATCGACACTTCCCAGTGGCCCATCCTGCTCAAGAACTACGACCGCCTGAATGTCCGCACCGGTCACTACACTCCACTCCCCTCCGGCTACTCTCCGCTCAAGCGTCCGCTCGCCGAGTACATCCGCTACGGTGTCATGAATCTCGACAAGCCGGCCAATCCTTCCTCCCACGAGGTGGTCGCCTGGATCAAACGGATTCTCCGCTCGGAGAAGACCGGCCACAGCGGGACACTCGACCCGAAAGTCACAGGTAACCTGATTGTTTGCATTGATAGAGCTACCCGTCTGGTTAAGTCGCAGCAAGGAGCTGGGAAAGAGTACGTCTGTGTCGCCAGGCTACACGACAAGGTCCCCGATGTAGCTAAAGTCGCCAGAGCTCTTGAAACCCTGACCGGAGCTGTCTTCCAGAGGCCTCCCCTGATCTCTGCGGTCAAGAGGCAGCTCAGGATTAGAACTGTGTATGAAAGCAAGCTGCTTGAGTATGATGTTGATAGGCATTTGGTTGTGTTCTGGATTTCATGCGAGGCTGGTACTTATGTCAGGACCATGTGTGTCCATTTGGGGCTGGTTCTTGGTGTTGGAGGTCATATGCAGGAGCTTAGGAGGGTTAGGTCTGGGATTCTGGGTGAGAAGGATAACATGGTGACGATGCATGATGTGATGGACGCTCAATGGGCTTATGATAACTATAGGGATGAGTCTTATTTGAGGAGGGTGATTATGCCGCTCGAGGTGCTGTTGACTAGCTACAAGAGGCTGGTGGTTAAAGATTCTGCTGTGAATGCAATTTGCTATGGTGCAAAGCTGATGATTCCTGGGCTGTTGAGGTTTGAGAATGATGTGGAAGTTGGGGAGGAAGTTGTGTTGATGACAACCAAGGGCGAGGCGATTGCGCTGGGGATTGCCGAGATGACCACTGCTGTGATGGCTACCTGTGATCATGGTGTTGTGGCGAAGATAAAGAGGGTGGTTATGGATAGGGATACTTATCCCAGGAAATGGGGTCTTGGTCCGAGGGCTTCGATGAAGAAGAAGCTGATTTCTGAAGGGAAGTTGGATAAGCATGGGAAGCCAAATGAGAAGACACCCAATGAATGGGCGAGGAACTTGGTTCTGCCTACTGGCGGAGACTCGATGATTGCTAGCCTTGCTGCTGCTGATGGACCAGAGACAAAGGCTGCTGCCCCTACTCCTGATGTGGCAACCGAGAAGAAGAAGAGCAAGCGGAAACATGATGACGATACCCCTGATGATGCTGAGGCCACAGCAAAGAAGGTTAAGGTTGATCATGTTGAGGTAGAAGAAACTCCCAAGGTGAAGGAGGACGGTGGGGATGATAAGTCGGAGAAAAAGAAGAAGAAGAAAAAGAAAAGCAAAGAAGGTGGTGAAGAGGAAGCTGCAGTAGTGGAAAAGGAGTCGGAGAAGAAGAAGAAGAAAAAGGAGAAGGATGATGAAGAGGCTGGTTCACCGGATAAGAAGTCGGAGAAGAAGAAAAAGAAGAAAGAGAAGGAGGCTGGTGAGAAGGGTGAAGAAGCAAATGTTAATGGAAAAGAAGATGGCGAGGCTGATAAAAGTGAGAAAAAGAAGAAAAAGAAGAAGAAGGACAAAGATGGAGATGAAGAATAGATGGTGATAAAGGCTGGAGATACGCATTTTTGTTTGCTAGATGAAACCCCACAAATGCGTGTGCGTATGCTATCTCTATTGGGAGAGTTAGTTGCTCCTTGTTTGTTTTTCTCTCTCTGTAATATGTTATGCAGTTTCATTGGAACTAGTTCTTAGAGAAGTTTTTCTGTTAAGTATTAAGTGGAGAACCAATATAGTCCTGAGCTGTATTATTATCCTCTTTTAGTATGCCAGTTCTCTGCATGAAATTTTGTTGCCAAACTCTTATCATTATTATCAAGCTTCATATTATGTGCAGTAATAATATTACAAACAGAGTGTACAGATCAACTTGCAGACATCCAAAACCAACACAACAATGACAAAAAGAATAATCCACTTCACTACAGTGTATATTTATGAAACCTTGACACCTACAAAGAATTATAAGCAGGAATTGGAAGGCAATGTTTCAGTTGCCAATGGGAGTGACAGTCTCAAAAGCCTCAACCAGCAGCTCGACTTTCCTTCTCCTCATCGGTGTCAGCTGAGCTACGACCTGTCGAAGAGCATAATCAAGCATCCATTCATCCCCACTTTTCCTACCTCCTACTTCCTGGTTCCTCAGCCGGACCTTCTCTGCCTCTTTTTCATGCTCCATAGCCAGAAACTGTGGCTCCCTTGGCATAATGACCTTTCTCGCCGAGGAAGTCAAGCAGCTGTCATTCACTTTCTCCAATGACTTGATGAATCTCTTAAGCAATATCACCTTCTTCAGATTGCTCCAGCTCTTCCTCAGTGGTGGCTTTGCTTGTTCCTTCTCTTTTCCATCTTCTTCGCAACTTGGTTTCACCTCTGTTTTTGAACTATTGAGTTCTTCAAGTCTATCTTTGTTGCAGCCAGTTGAAGCTTCTTCTACATGCGGGTTGATCGAGGCAGGTACATCGTCTTGAGTCTCCGGAAGAGGGATTTCGTCGATAGCCTCTTCCACAAGCCTTATGGCTTCGAGCTGAGAGCGAGACTCTTCCTTCCCACTGGGTGTGCCTTCTTCTGCCTCTTCACCATTTTCTTGAAGTGGTTCTGTCGTTCCTGAAACCATGTGGTTGTATATCAGATACCAAAGCTTCATATGTTGCTGCTTTCCCACAGGGCTTTCAGCTGCAGTGGCTGTTCGAGTGTCCCCATTTTCGTGTGTGATTTCTTCAGATGTACCATTATCGAAACTGTCGTCTAGAATCAGTTCCTCCTGATGGGTTTTTGTAATTTGGTATCCTGGTTCATCTGGGTTTTCGCCGATTGGACCAATGTGTCCATCGGACTCTCGTTCGACCCTGATCAAATCACCAGTATCATCATGCCCAGCTGAAATCAAATCTGCATCACCAGTTTCTGAAGCTAGTTCGTCAACTGCTGGTTCAGGACAAGGCACATGGACGTGCTGTTTTACTGTGCAGGCTCCAGCATCTTGATCATGATTCTCTTTGGAACCAGTAGATACCTTCCGTAGTAGGATGCCAAATCTTGCTTTCTCTTCCTCCTGCTCATGAGACTTCTGAGTTGAGATGTCGCGACTTATTTGAACTGGAGTCTTCGGAGTACTCGAAGCTGCATGACTGCCAGTTTCTCCTTGAGGTGCTACTGTTTCAAATGCTTGTACAATAAGAGCCACTTTCCTTTTCTGCGCTGGAGCCATTGTTGAAATGACCTTCTGAATAGCATAATCAAGCATCCATTCCTCCGAATTCTTCTTCTGTCCAATCGATTGAGGACGTAGATTAACCATTTCTGCTGCTTCCTCATCTTGCTCTATAGACTGACCTCGAGGCTTGTGTGTGTAGTTATAGTTTTTGACCTTCTCCATTGCCTTGACAAATCTTTTCATTAACATAATCTTTTTCAGATTGCTCCAACCATTGAGCCTTTTCTGACCAGATTTGTTTCCTACCTTTGCTTCTGCTTTATCTCCTTGAGAATCATTAGAAATTTCAGCTTCCAGCTTCCTTTGCTCTTGCTGTACCTGTTCCATTGAAGCACTGGTGTTGTTCTTGTTGTCTCCAAGCTCATCAGAAGCTGTGTCTACAGAACTCACCGATTGGTTATCGGATAAAGGGTCCGGAATCTCCAGCAGGATGTTGTCAAATGCTTCCTGAACCAACTTGATTGCATCATCCTGGTGGGAATCAACTTCTATATCAGCTCTTTGATCCATTCCAGAAGACTTCTCAACATGTTGCTCCCCAAGTTTCTCAGGCTGCTGAGATTCATCACCATCCGTCACAGCAGTGCCCGATACCATATGCTGATAGATCAAGCCCCATAACCCCATGTAATTATTCTTCTCCATCGATTTTTCAGAAGAAAGATGGGCACCATCAGGCTTATGATCTGCAAAATGACGGCCTTCCATTTCTGCATTCTGTTCTTTATCAGAAGGAGAAGTGACCAAGTCTTTAATCTCTCTTGATCCGGCCTGTGGCTGATTGTGACCTTCACAGATATTGGAGATATCGGTCTCTAATGGCCCACTTTTTACTTTATCACAAGAATCTTGTCTGCTGCCATTTGCTGCCTGCCCAAGTTCACAACTTTGAGAAATGACATCACCCTTTTTGGTTTGATCCCCTTGATTTTTCTTGTTGGAACGTTTTGGCCTCTTGCTATAAGAAGACTGCGGGCTAGCTTTCTCAGATGAATTATTAGTCTTCTTCTTGGGTTGCAACATTCTCCTTCTCATTGATACAAATCGTTTCAGTGAAGGTGCTTGATCATTACTGGAATGGTGATGGCCGTGCAATGAACAGTAGCTATATGGACAAACTTTCATTCCAGCAGCAGCAGAAGAACTTCCATTGGAGGAGTGGCTTCCATCAGCCTTAGAATCCTTGAGAGCTGATGAACAAGTGGCTTTCACCACACTTGATTTAGACTGCCTCCTTATTCTCAGACTTGCCACCTTTACTAAAGTCCTCACAGATTTAGTCCCATTAGTCCTTCCTCCCTGAAAAACAAAAACCATGAGTCATCCCTCTCAAAATGCACCAGATCACAAAGTTCGAAACTTTGCTAAAAAGGGTAAAAGTACAAGGGGGAAAAAGCTGTATTTTTGGCTTGCCTCAGAATCGGAAGAACACCAATCAGCATCATCAGATACTGAATTAACTCGCCTGCTCCTTCTGAAAGATTTCCTCATCCTGAATTTCGAGCTAGACAGCCTTGCCAAACCCTTTGCAGGCTTTGTGAAACTGCCTCTCCTGGTAAGACTTCCACCTCCTGATCTCTGCATCCCCATTAAAAAGAAAGGAACTTTCAGATGCGGGATTCAAATACCAGAAGTGGGATCTCAGAAATCAGGGGAATTTCCTCTCTTTACCTGGGAATTACTGCTGCTGCTCTTCTTTGCTACATAGGAAGTGGTGGTCTTCATGTAATTTGGCGATGAAGTTGCTGCCGCATCATCAGAAACAGTGGACTGTTGTTTCTGCTTTGCTCTTCTGGAATCGATCGATTCAAATTCCATTCTGCTGCTGGGAGTTCTTGATGAAGAACAAGAAGATGATTGCCCTGAGGATTCAGAATCTGTGGCATTCCCAGGCTCGAGCTTCTCTGGATCCATTTTTGTTTTCTTGAATCACGAGAACTGGGGATTTGGGGAAGGCAAGGAGTTTTGATTATGGGTCGAGTTGAGATTGGAATGGCCAAGCACAAAGGGAGATTCCAGAAGCTGTGGATTTGGACTTAACAATAACACAGCTAATAATCTTTATTGGCTTACCTCCCTCTCTCTTTTCTTTATTCTGTCTGTGGAAGTTTGAATTTTCTAACTAGTTTGTTGTTGTGATGTCAATACCAAAAGTAAGAGATGCCATCTTTGAGCCACTGGAATTATCACACTCAGTCAATGTGAATCGAAGAGCATGTCGTGTTTGAAAATCTGGTGAACTGAAGCCCGACCAGACCAGAGATGGGTTTTTTTTTCTTCTGTTGACTTGGCCCTTCATCAAATTGACTTTTCATTGATGGAAATTGTGGGCCAACTCATAATCTGCTAGCAATTTGTTGTCATGAATGGTGGAGGAAAGTTACTTACTGTATAGTAAAATCAAATTATCACAGTAAAACTTGCCATTCAAAGTACATGAACATAAAATTTGTGATACTAATCACGATTCACAGACTCTATCATTAGATTATACCGGATTAGTTATGAATACATCATTTAACCGATGCAACATGTCGTTCCATCGTGTAATCTCTTAAGCGTATTGATGAGAGGGAAATGGGCCATAGAAAAAGAGTTAAATGTGAGTTAAGTATGTGTATTAGGTGTGATAACTGAGTTTGATGGTTAATAAAATATTGAGTTTGGTGGATCCAGAAGAACATGTAAGCATGGCAGTTTGACACCGTCTCACATGCTTAATTAAGCATTGTCCAATGTGTAACCTCCTTTAATTATCTGTTTTAATAGTGAACAATGATGATGATGATATTACCAAAATTTTAAAATTGTTGTGTGTATGAGATGAGACGTTACAAAAAAAAATACTAAATTTTAAAAGTGATGAATTTGTGATAGTTTTGAGTTTCAAAAATTTGGGATGTTCGATTTTATGAGTTGATTGTTGGTTTGTAAGTTGTAAAATTTACTTTAGTAATGTTAATCTATGCTTTTTTCCCCCTTGCTTTATCTTAGTTGATGATAAATTTGAATCAATAAAATTAATAAAGATATAACATAGTTACAAAATTCCTACCATATAGATTTGTCAAATCAGTCAGAGTCTTTCATTTTTAATCTCATGAATTATGAATCAACTTAGATGACATTTTTTCCGGTCAGATTTACCTTCATTTCGATTCTCAAATCTATCAATCAACCCCTAATTGAATTATTATAATTATTGTTATCTTTTTCTTTTTCCAAGGTTTCCCATCTCATAAAATCATAATTGACATGGTTGGGTCAGGAAAATTATTGAGAGGAGCTAAAGAGAAACCGCGTGGGGTTAGGACTTAGGAGAACCAATGGGGTCCTCCTCCAGTACCGTCAGGTAGATAGCAAATTAGGGCCCAACTGTAGGTGGGCTTAAACTATTGTGGTCCAACAGCCAATCCACGCCCAAAAACAAAAAGCCCACAAAAGGAGGTTCATTTTTATAGTCCCGAGTCCCGACCAGTGGAGGATTACAAATTTACAACACGGAATGAGCAGCTGTGAAAGGGTATCAGTTCTGGATGAATGGAGGCCTGGTACGTTTTTGGGCCAGGTTAAATTTGGGCAGGGCGGCCCAATCGTGATTTGGATTTTGAACCATTTTTCATGTGACCAGTTTTGTTTGGTTAGCAAATAGCAATGGCTTAGTATTTGTAACTAGTTCACTAACTAAAAATAAGCTTCTTACAAAAAAAAAAAAAAAAAAAAATTAAATCTACATGAAAAGAAAATTGGTAATATTTAAAATTTGTGTTCATCAATTAACTAATATTTTTGGTAACTTGAATATAATTAAATGATCACCCACTAAGAAAGAATGTTTAACAACCAAATTGACATCTACATAACTAAGAATATTGGTAGCAAATCAATAAAATATTTTTTGTCACCAAATTTATAGATTATCAATATTTTTTTTTTGTCCATTTAGTTATACTTAAATTAGTGGGTGAGGCCAATTTCTGAAAAACCTTCTTAGCCATCAATTTTCTCAGTAAAAAGAAATATTATGCATGTCTTTCTTCCAATTCCTCCACCAATTTCTAATACAATACTAGGACTTTTAATTCGAGACTTTGTTCCCGTATCTTCAAAGCCGAGTGCGCATCGCTACCATCACACTCAAAATAAAAATTACTTACTATTCATGCACTTCTTCCAATCCCTCCACCAAAGAATGGATGGCTTTGATTAGTATTTTATAGAATGGATTTTATCATTGATGATGGTTGTTAAAGGTGTAAAAAGAAATTATTATTGGCTGAATATTACAAATAGGGTTTTTACTTTTTTGCCTTATAAAGAGTTTGTATTGTTGGCCCGTAATGGGAGTCCCTTTCCACCCACTATGGGTGCAGAGTGGACGCACGAGGCCCTATTTGGAAGATATTGTCGATAAGAAATCAAGATGGCAACTCCTAATTAATCATATCATGAAATTAATGAACCTCGTACTGATAGGCTTAAACAACTTTATCTCTATTAACAATCAATATATCACCCTCAGGTAATGATGGCCTAATATTTCATTTTGAAAAAATTTAAAAAATTAATATGGACTAGGATTATTAGGTGCTAACACATAATTTGTTAGCATGACACTAATACTAACTCAGCCAATTGAAGCTTCCTTTTTGCTTTGAGTACGAAACATCCTTATGCTGAATTGAAAACATCCAATACTAAAACATAAGACATAGTAGATGATGCAGGTATGAATTTTCTTACGTAAAGAAAAAGGGTGCAAATCGAAGAACACAGTTTGAAAGAATCGAAGAACATAACATGATCTTGGTGAACCGGCCGGTATGCATATGATTATATTCGGGGAGTCTAAAATCATACCTGCCCTATCCACATCAAACTATTTTTGAGTTTTACCGATATCCAACCCCATAACCAATAAATACGAGAATTATCCGCTTTAACAGAATCAGAACGATCAAATACCGACGCGATTGCAAATTTGATTGCCATCTTTTTTTTTGATAATGGTGATTGAATTAAACTAGAAAGAAAAGGAAGCAGTACAGAAAAAACTAGGCACAGGTTCACAAAAGGGTGAACCACAGGACCCAGCAGAAAAAGAATAAAACAACAGCCACAAGAACAAAACACAAGGGGCAAGGGACAAAGACCCCCAAGGAAACTAGCTAATTGGACCGAGCCAACCCTGCTAGATACCGAACCAAAGCAGAAACACAGAGAAACAGAAAGACAGAGGCCACAAACCAACAGTCCTCCAACGGAACCCAGGGCAAACCCCAAGAGAGGCGACGAAACCAAACAAGAGAACAACGAGCGCCCATCAGGAGGGGGGGGAAAACCGCCGACCGAGGCTCTGCAGATGCTCCTCAGCCCACCGCAAACCTTGAGATTTGTCCACCTTTCCAAACGCGATTGCCCAATCCAAAGCATCCCTCAGAACCTTCCGAGTGACAATCCTAGCGTGCAAGCGAGCATCTCTGAAAACTCTTCTATTTCTCTCCAACCAGATCTGCCAGCACAAAGAGTGAAGAAGGCCGAAGCAGACCCAACTGTTAACACTGGAAGCCGGGCAAGTAGGCCAATCACGGATCATGGGAACAATGTCGCTACTTGGGTCTGTAGAGAGACCACAGACCCTTCTGGAAGCACTCCACACGTCCCTAGCAAACTCGCAGTAGGAGAAGATGTGATCGATGGTCTCCTCCTCTCTGCCGCAGAGCTCGCACCTGTTGGCAAGCTGCCAACCCCTGGCCTTCAAGTTGTCAACGGTGAGAATTCTCTTGTGCACCACAAGCCAAATAAAACAGCAGATTTTGGATGGCACAACCTGCCGCCAAACAGACTCATCCGGGAAATCCGAAGTACCACTGAACTTGCCATCCACCAAGTACCTGTACATAGAACGAACAGAAAAGGATCCATCCACCAACTTCCTCACAAATCCACGAAGTCTATCATTGATTGGAAGAATTCCACTTTTTTTTTTCTCTAGTGCCACAGTCTATACATATCTTATCACTTCATTGAAGAAGAATAAAAAAATCTAATTAACCAATTAATTAGCGTATACTGTAATCTCAAATGATGTGACCACGTGAGTCATGTGTCATTTTGGTTTATCATTATCGTGCCGGCCATCTGGGCAGTGCATCATGGCCGCCAGTCTCTGTTCCTAAAGTTGGCGCTACTAATTAATTACAGTCCACAAACAAATTTAACAATTAATTACCTCAAGAAAGGCTCGACAATGGACACGATAACAACACGTAATTACCCGCCCAGTACCGCAAACGGGAATTAAGAGGAACAAAAAACATGCATCTACAGTACTTATCAAATGATCGATCACAATAAATTAAATTGTTTTAACCTCTCACCACCGAAGGCACGAACGTGTTTTTTTTTTCCCTTCTTTTTTTTCTTTCCGTGTCCATCTATTTAAAGGGCGGACGGAGAAGTTAGGTTTCAACTCACCAACACTACCAGTTTTTACTTTGAATTAGTACTGAAAACAAAAGGCTTAATTAGTCACTCACCTGCACGTACGTTTGAGATATGTCGGCCGCCTCCTCCAACACCATCGGCAGTTCGACGGCGGCGGCTCAAGAGCGGCGGACAGCAGACTTCCACCCAACTGTGTGGGGCGACTTCTTCATCACTCGTGTCTTCACTGACCAACAGGTAATTAACTCGTTACTGCACGCAGTAGTGATTGGCCCTAAAACAGAAATGGAACTTTTTGTGACGAACCGATATGGTTGTTAAATATCGATTTTGGTCACCAAGATCTATTTTAATGACCAAATGTTATTGGTAACAGTTTTGGTCATATTCGCCCGGTTAGGGAAACTACTTTCTGACAAATTTTTTTTTTTTTTTAATTTGATCACAATACATGATGATTTTATGACGAAAAGTAGAAATAACCATAAATAAAGTTTTTCCGGTGGCCAAATTATCTGGTCACAAATTATCTGTCCGCGGCGTCACAACCTGACGTACTATACATGCATGCAGATTGTGAACGGGTGGAACGTGGGGATTGACGCGCTGAAGGAGAGCGTGAAGGCGATGCTGCTTTCAGCTCCCTCGACGACGTCGGAAAAGCTGAAACTGATCGACGTGGTGGAGAGGCTTGGCATCGGTTACCTTTTCGAAGAAGAGATCGAAGAGCAACTCCGGGAGATCTATCAGCAGGGGAATCACCCCGACAACGATGAGGGTCTCTTCACCGTTGCTCTCCGGTTTCGACTCCTCCGGCAACATGGTTACAGCGTGCCTAATGGTAAGCATGCATGCAAACGTTAACATAATACATTAATAATAATCAAATAAAAATGACATGAAATGCTTTGCCTTGCAGACATATTCAAGAAGTTCCAGAACGAAGAAGAAGAAGAAGGAACCTTCAAGGAGGAGTTGGGGAGCGACGTGGAAGGTATGATGAGTCTGTACGAAGCTGCACATCTCTGCATGCATGGAGAGACGATACTCGACCACGCCATCGAGTTCGCGACTGCTCAACTGACTAACTACTCCCAGGAACTGCAAGGGCTGATTGCTGGAACTGATGCTCAACAACGCAAGTTATTGGTATTAAAACGAGTTGCTCATATCTTGAAGAGGCCGCTGCGTAAAGGCGTTGAGAAGCATGAACAACTCTTCTTCATCTCTGTATACGAGCAAATGGAGGGTCACGATCACAGTCTCCTGAAGCTGGCCAAGTTGAGCTGGAATTTCCTGCAACATTTGTACCAACAAGAGCTTAGGAGCATTACACGGTATATATGTGGCGCAATCCGCAAATCTCATAAGTTTTCAACTTCGAACCAATTAATTATCATGTTTAGAAGTAATAATTAATAACGGTTAATCAGGTGGTGGATCGATCTTGACTTTGCGACCAAGCTGTCCTTCGCACGAGACAGATTGATCGAGATTTACTTTTGGGCGGTGGGAGCCATGTGGGAGCCCAAGTTTTCGACGTCGCGTTACATTCTGACCAAACTTACGATGCTTGTGTCCGTGAATGATGACATATACGATGTTCATGGAACCATCGACGAACTCGAGCTGCTCACCGCTACTGTTGAGAGGTAATAATTCACTAATTTGATTTGATGGAAACTTCCATCTAAAAAAGAGGCCGGGTCTTCCATTAATAACAGTACTTATTTTTTTTTTATCAGGAGTAATCATTATTAGTTAGGTTTTAGGATTATTATAAGATTTTTTCCTATCCTTTTCCTATAAGTATGTCATTTAGGTTTCCATTCCGAATTAATCAAAGAATCTTATAATTAAAAAAAAAATCTCTCTCAAAACTAATCCTCTACAAATTTGTTTTAGCAGTGATATTAATTTTTGGGTCCGCCACTGGAACCCTGGGATCCAATTTTGATTTTAATTGTAATTTTAATATGTATGTAGTGGGTACATTAATTAATTAATAATGAAATTTAACAGATGGGACACCAGCATGAAGGATCTCCCAGAGTACATGAAACTGTTTTATGGAGCAATTATTGATGCGTTGGACGAAGTAGACGCCATTACTACCAGAGAAGGACGGCCCTACTGCTTGGAGTATGGGAAACAGGCGGTAGGTAATCCATGATTATTAATGACGTTCATTAATTAACTACAGCCCCTATTTAGTCAATAATTAATGATTTTGATTTCATCACATCCCTAATTGCAGGAGAAGAATCAAATGAGGGCATACCTGGCAGAAGCAAGATGGTTCGCCAAAGGAGAGGTGCCGACGATAGAGGAATACCGGCGAGTCGGTGTCTACTCTTGCACTTACCCATTGCTGGCCTATTTAGCCCTCGCCGGTATGGGCGACAAGGCGCCAAAGGAAGCGTTCGATTGGTTGCTGGCGGATCCCAAGATCCTCGTTGCCGTCTCAGATCACTGTCGTCTCATGGATGACATCGTGTCTCACGAGGTATTCATTGGTTTCTCAATATACACACATCGGTCACCACTAGCTAGCTAGCTAGTAATTAAGTACGGTTTTTTTTTTTAATATGGAGGAAATGTTTGTACGCGTGTAGTTCGAGCAGAAAAGAGGACACGTTTGTTCGGCAGTCGAGTGCTACATGCGGCAACACGACGTGTCGAGAGTGGAAGCGGTGAGCGTGCTGAACCAGATGATGGAGGACGACTGGAGAGTCATAAACGAAGAGTGCTTGCTGGTCAACCGCCCCGGTTTCATCTCTAAGGAAGTGATTTCGATGTTTGTTGGGCTTGCGAGGGTGATGGAGGTTCTCTACAAGGATTTCGATAGCTATACTTTCTCCAACACCACCACCATGGATATGATGACTGCTCTGCTCGTCACTCCTATGGAGGTTGGCTCTGCCGAAGAAGATTGACGATGGGAACTTGTTGCTTTTTTTATTAGTGTCTTGGCTTGGCTTGACTTTTGTTTTTGTTTGTTATCCTTTGTTATTATTGTGCCCTATTATTGTCATATGAAATATGTGTGTCATCAAGGATAAGGCTGCTTGCCATCTAGCTAGCTAGTTGTTGCTGTCACCTGAAGCACAACTCTTGAGGTCCGTTTGTTGTGATCTTAATCTATTCCCTTGTGTGTGATATTTTGATAAGTTCGATCGATCTGTGCATCCTTCGTAAATTCATGCTTACTCCTTATACTTTTACAATGGTTCGATCGTCGAGTCCGATCCTTCAAAAATTGATTTTTAACTTAGCTTGGCCCGTCGTTAGAAAAATAATAAAATGAAGAAAAAAGACCAATCGCAAAGAAAATAATTGGAGGGTACGAAACTGGTGTAGAAACTGATGTAATGAAAAAAAAAAGGGGAAAACACTAATTAATAATAACTTGGCCAATCGCCAATCAAATCATTGGAACTTGGAAGGCCAAGAAACAAGGGAGGAAAAAAAATGGAATTGGAAAAAAAAAGTTGGAGAAAAAGGGTTCAAAAGATTTACAGGGCACCCAACTAATATCCAAATCATCGAAGGAGGATGAAACTGGTGCCGAAAAATGTAATGAACTTTTCTAGAGAAAATACGATGAAATGAAAAAACTTGGTCAATCACCAAACAAATCATCGTAATTGGAGAACACACCAACGAAATGAAAAAAAAAACTTGGATAATAAAGTAGCTTCTGGAGGCTCATCCCCCAATTATTTAATTGTCTCGAGCACAATCTAATCTCTACTTGTTTTTGAATATTGACATATTTATAAATAAGAATGAAGTTAAATTATTTCTAATCTTGAATTGTTCCTCAATAGTAATTTTTTATTATCATTTTTTTCAATTTGCTCGCAATTTTCTCCACTAGCTAGTTTTATTTGTCCTATTTTGTCTTGTATCCTCTTTTCTACTCTATTTCTTCTTTATTATCAAGCACCGCGCGACTTCCGCCCTCAGGATTTGGATTGTGACTTGTGAGAGCGAGAGTATTTTGAGAACCATGGAGAGAGGAAAGCGAATGCATAATAACAAGAAAACATCGAAGATTACATAGAGAATTGGTCAAAGGAGTACGTGCATGCTCCATGCATACATGGCTTATACCGTTTTAGGGGTAGTAGGGAATCGGAATCAGATGCAAATCATGTTCCTTTCTAAGTGCAAGACCGAATTTTTCAGACATGTCGACGTCTCGAGGCTCGATTCCATCCGGCAGCTGCCAGTCGAAATGATAAAGCAGGTTTGCAAGCAGAAGTTCGATAACAGTCGAGCCGAAAGTCATGCCCGGACACATTCTCCTGCCAGCTCCGAACGGAAGGAATTCGAAGCACGTCCCCCGATGATCGATTTCCGGGAGATCGACAAACCTTTCCGGGGAGAACTTTTCGGGGTCGGTCCAGTAACGAGAATCCTGCCCGATGGCCAGCGAGTTGACCATAACCCTCGTCTTTTCTGGTATCTGGTACCCACCAACCACAACCGCCTCCCGACACTCTCTGGGGACCAACAGAGGAGTGATGGGACGTAACCTGAAAGTTTCTTTGACGACCGCCTTCAGATAGTTTAGCTCTTCGATACCCGCTTCGTCGATGGGCATCCCTTTCGCATCGAAAGTTTGTCTCACTTCTCCTTGTGCTTTCTCCATGACGCGTGGATGCCTCATGAGTTCTGACATCACCCATGCTACCGTTCCAGTGGATGTGTCACTGCCACTAAGGATTACATCCTGCGAAAATCAAGTGTACATCCAATCCAAGTATATGTAAGTATCATTCTCTCTTATGCATAGTGTGTAATATTTTTTTTTTAATGTTACTTATGTTACCAAGATGATAGCTTTGATCTCAACAATGGTGATGGAGAATCCAAGCTCTTGATTCTTCTCCTCCTCCTCCATCAAATTCAAGAGCACGTCAAGAAGATCATCTGACCTTGCTTTCCTTGTCGCCATATGCTCACCGACAATGCTTTCGAGCATTGCATCCATCTCCTTGTGAAGCTTGGTTGCCGCTCTCTCGGTTCCGGAGAGGAGACGTATCAACTTGCTGGACGGGAAGAAATTCCCCAGGCCAAATCCGCCATACGCCTTCACCATCTCTTCTTTCAGCGGCAAGAAGGCTTCCTGTTGCTTCGGCGTCATCTTGCCGAACGCCACCCTGCAGATCAGGGTGTTCCCCAGCGCGTCCAGCATCCGGCACAAGTTCACCACCACACCCTGATAACTCGAGTTAGTGGTACCACGGTTGTGATATCAGAGTTGATTTGACGACCAAATAGCTGTGTATTGGACTAATAGGATAATTTAATCTAACTGTCATGACCTATACGGGTATTGGCGAACTCAAGTGGATTCATATGCACTTTAATGATTTTGGGTTCGGGTTCAGTCCTAATTTGTTCAATTTCTTTGGGTTAGACCCAAATGAGTGTAATTGGGTCTAGATGATGGCATACACAAAAAAAAAAACAAAAAAAATAATAATATCAACCGTTTTGTCAACTATTTTCAACACAATTATACACCTTTCTATTTGTTTCGTAATGAAAAAAAATTCAACAATTGCATTATAATTGAGTACTCATTTTCTTCTGAATTTCCAATCCTATAGATCCATTTTAGAACTAAACTAAATTTTTTGGATAAGCTGGGTTAGGACAATACCAAAATATCGAGTCACATGTATTTTTTTTTTGTCATCCCTAATTGTGTGTTCGAATTTCCACAACCCTCAACATTAAAAATTGATTAAAGCACAATATATGGTGGACTTGTGCAAACTTCAAACTGGTGAGCTAGCTTTTCAAAAGGGTATTAGTGAATAATATATGATCCACAATTATCGCTGGTATACGATCCATAATTAATACCTTGGAATTCCGTAGGGCTGTCACGAGGTCGGCGATCTCGGCCTCCATGACCGGACGCAGCGACTTGACGCGCCTCCGGCCGAGAAGCTCCTCGCTGGTGACTTTCCTGATGTGCCTGAAGTAGTCGCCGTAGGGCGCGAACGCCATGTCCCTGGCGTCGTAGGACAGGATCCTGGCGACGGGGTAGAGCGGCCGGTTGGCGAAGTTGAGGTCGTGAGTCTTGAGGATCTCTTTGGCCAGCTCAGGGGAGGAAACGACGACGTTTGACGTCTCCCCGAGCTGGAGGTGCATCAGTGGGCCGTGTTTCCGGGCCAGGTCCATGAGCCGGCGGTGCGGCGGCTGGGCCCCCAAAAGCTGGTGCAGGTTCCCGATGATGGGCAGCTTCCATGGGCCTGGAGGTAGCTGTTGGGTGGAGGAATTTGAGGTCTTCCTTTTGATCAGAATTTTGGTGCCGGCGGCGGCGGCGAGGAAGAAGAAGATAATGAGAAGGTGGAGTGGTGGTGTGGTGGAGGAAGGGAGCTGATGATCGGCGGCTAAGTAGTCGTTGTCCATTGGAATAATCAAGAAGAAGGAGGCGTTTTACGTTCTGTTTGAAGAGATCTTTTGAGGCGTGCAAGGATTTATAGAGATAATGATAGTAGTGGGGGAATACAAAGAATTTGAGTTATTTAGTTTGTAAAGAGAGTATAAGAATTCATGTTAGAATATATACAATTTTTTATTTATTTTATAAATGTTATGATAAATTGTAGGAGAATATGTTGATTCAGAAATTATCCATATAAAACGTAACTTATTTATGTTAATACTAATTACATGAGGTTCAAAATACTATAGGTTTTTATTTTATTTTTTATCATCAAATGGGGTGAGTAATTGACCCACCACTCGATTCATCCTAGTCGTCGCAGCCGACTGATCCAAGGGATGAGATAGCATGCCTACCCATAAAAGGGTTGGAAAAATGACAACCCCTATTAATTATAGGTTTTTAAGGTAATTAATTTGTGTTGTATTTAATAATCTGTATGAATTAAAAACACATATTAATTACTTTCCTTTTTTCAGTGCACTGGTAGTTGTATCAGTGCACTGGTAGTTGTGTACAGGTGCAATGGTAGATGTATCACTGCAATGGTAGTTCCAAAAAAGGAACGTAATTAATATGAGTTCAGTATACAAGTGCAATGGTAGTTGTATCAGTACAATGGTAGTTAAAAAAAAAGAATGTAATTAAGATGAGTTTTTAATTTCCAAATAAGAGTAGCTAGTCCTAGTAATCGAGAAATCCTTGTTTTGGATTTCTCTAATTTCTTTATTTTCTTGAGTGAACACGGATTTAACCTTTCATATCAATTAAAACCCACTCATCAAAATAGTCCAAAACCAATCCACCCAATTCAGATGCACCCCTCCTACTGTTTGTCTCTTGTGGTAGCTCCGTATCCAATTATTTTAATTTTTCTTGGAACTGTTAGAAATTTGAATTTTGTTCTTCTTCCTATATTGGGATGGTTTGGGTGATGATCATGTGTTTTACTCTCTTGTTCTGCCCTTTCGTTGTCGATCCGTTAATTGAGGCAAATTATATACATGTCTTAGCAGTGCTAGTTGAGGCAAAAATATGGATGGATCATTGTGAAAATTGACTGATTCTTTTGTTTTTTCCTAGAAAATATTTGATTGATTTGTTTATGGATACAAAGATTTGATTGATTTGTTTATGGATACGATCTTTTCCAATATAGATAGTTTAATTATCAGGATATTATATTTTTTTGATAGGATTTGGATATACAGGTTGATTTCTTTAAGAGATTCGGGATGGAGGAGAGGGAGATCGATCGGAAGTAGTATCCTGTCCCACCTCACACGATTATAAATCGAGTATATTACTCGCTCCAACACGAATCAGATCGAATAATGCCCTACAATGCGAGTTAAAATTGCCATCAATATTCTTATGGGGATGGTTTAGGTGATGATAATGCGTTTTACTCCTTTGTTCTGCAAATTATATACATATATGTCGCTGTAAATAGATCCGACAGATTCTCGTGAAAAAAAAAAAAGATCCGACAGATCCACCATATAGGTAGATTTAGAGAAATGTGGCGACATTGTCATGAATTACTGTTGTTAAAATGGACTGATCATTGTGAAATTGATTGGTTCTTTTGTTTTTTTGGTAGCAAAGATTTGATTGATTTTCAAATAGATATGATTTTCTCAATCTAGACAGTATACATTTATCAGAATATATCCTTTTTTTTTGTTACGGAAGTCACCATAGGCCATTTGATTGCGTGTTATGAAAGTGATCATTTGGCTGGTTGTGTACATGCAATTGCGAGAGACGCTCTAAAGTATTGGAGTTTTAAGTGATAAATTGAACTTGTATCATAATGTTGAGAGTAAAAATTTCGTTCATATCATAGAAGCATTTGTACTTTTATGTATGGTACATATTCAGTTTATACCATAATTACAAATTGAATTTGTACCATAGCGTTAAATGTATAAGTACAATTTGCATGATAATTTTTTAAACCAAAATACCGATACTATAAAGCATTATGAAATTCCTCATGATGGTAGAATTTACAATTACATGTAACCTAATAAATATCCATATATTTGAGTACAATGAACATATGATTTCAGTCATTTGGAGGAATAAGAAGTATTTTAGAACTCGATCGCTTCTATAGAAAGTAGATCCCAAGCGTGTTTTTCGTCAATTTTCACACAAGTGGGAGGACAAGTACACAAAATTGTGAGTTTACAAACACATCTCATCTCTTTATTTGCGTGGTCAGAATTTTATCTAAGACATATTTAAGGTGAAAAAAACACAACAAAAGTTTATGTATGTTTTTTCATATTCTGAAAATTTTCTAAAATTACATTGTGAAATATGAAATCTCATTAATTGCGACCTGTAGCTTATTTCTATAGCCTGTGTCTCGAGACTTGTCAAGAAAGTACTGTATTTGGTTTCTCTAAATTATACGATCTTCGGTTGGTGCCGGCATTCATTACCATAAATAAGGACCATAATTAACTTATAAAAGAAAGGAATCATGTAAAGGAAGAAAAAAACTATATAAACATTCATCACCAGAATTATTACAATAATCAAAGAAAAGGAAATATTGTCACAAGAGGGAATAGACAACAAACAAATCTCAACAGTGCTAGGGTTGGCAACAACTATAGCTAGCTAGCAACCTTATTCTTGGACATGTATGACAATAGGACACAAGAAAAAGGATAATACATTGATCACAAGCAAAGAAATCAAATTAAACACAAACACGATACATCGATATCGGAGTGAGGTACATAGTTCAGTTGGGGACGACGTCCATAGGAGTGACGAGCAGAGCTGTGATCATGTCCATGGTGGAGGTGTTGGAGAAGGTATAGCTATCGAAATCCTTGTAGAGAACTTCCATCACCTTCGCGAGCCCAACAAACATCGAGATAACTTCCCTGCAGACGAACGCGGGGCGGTTGATCACGAGGCACTCCTCGTTTATGACCTTCCAGTCGTCCTCCACCATTCGATTCAACGCGTTAACCGCCTCGTCTCTCGACACATCGTGCTGATTCATGTAGCATTCAACCGATGATGCGACGTGCCCTCTTTTCTGCTCGAACTGCAAACATCGACACGATGTTAAGTACTGGCCAGCTAGCTGGCTGGTGACAATGAAATTGTATATTAAAAACGAATCAGGACGTATACCTCGTGAGATACGATGTCATCCATGAGACGACAGTGATCCGCGACGGCCCCCATGATTTTGGGGAACGCCAGCAACCAATCGAACGCCTCCTTTGGTGCCTTGTCACCCAAACCGCAGAGTGCCGAGTAGGCTAACAAAGGGTAACCACAAGAGTATACTCCGACGCGCCTGTATTCCTCTATTGTTGGCACTTCCCCTTTCGCAAACCATCTTGCTTCTGTTATGTATGCTCTCATTTGATTCTTCTCCTGCAACAAATATAATTATTAAATACATTAAAACAAAAACAAAAAACTGACGTGTCATTAATTAATAACACCATTAATTTACAATCTGGAGGTTTACCGTCTGCTTCCCGTATTCCAAACAGTAGGGCCGGCCTTCTCCGGTAGTAATGGCGTCTACTTCGTCCAACGCATCAATTAGTGCAGCAAAAAATATTTTCATGTAATTCGGGAAATCCTTCATGCTGGTGTCCCATCTGTTAATAAATCAATTAATTCAATACACCTAGTTAGGTACGTACTTACAGGGTCTGTCATTAATTAATTTGATGATTGAATCTAAAATTATTTGGGCTTAATTACTTCTCGACGGCAGTGGTGAAAATCTCGAGCTCGTCGATCGTGCCATGGACGTCATAGATGTCATCAACCACGGACACGAGCATGGTGAGTTTCGACAGAATGTATCGAGCCATCGAGAATTTGGGCTCCCACATGGCTCCCACGGCCCAGAAGTAAATCTCGATCAGTCTGTCACGTGCGAAAGACAGTTTCGTCGCGAAGTCCAGATCGATCCACCACCTAAATTCGTAATATCATTAATCATCATCATCATAACTACAATCCAATCATCAAATTATAGTTTTGAAAAACTAATGAGTGTGGTGATTAATGATGAGATCAGACTATGGGGCATATAATTTACATACCGGGTAATGCTCCTGAGCTCTTGTTGGTACAAATGTTGCAGGAAGTTCCAGCTCAGCTTGGCCAGCTTCAGGAGAATGGGATCGTGACCGTCCGTCTGCTCGTAAACAGAGATGAAGAAGAGCTGCTCGTGCCTGTCGACGGCCTTACGCAGGGGCCTCTTCAGGACACGAGCAACTCGTTTCATCAGCAACAAACCAGTTTGATGCTCGGAGTATTTAGCCAGTTGAGCCGTCGTGAATACGATGGCTTCGTCCAGTATCGTCTCTCCCTGCATGCGGAGATATCCAGCTTCGTACAGGCTCATCATACCTTCGACGTCGCTCCCCAGCTCCTCCTTGAAGGTTCCTTCTCCTTCTTCTTCGTTCTGGAACCTCTTGAATACGTCTGCATGCATGCGCACATGCATAGATAGCTACGTAAAATGATAAAAACGTATATGCATGCAGATGCAGGCGGTGTGTTACGTAAACACACCGTCTAAGGCTGAAAATTTGCTTGACCCGTCCCTGAAGGGTCAAGATGTATAACTGACCCGTCCCATCCCTGTCTCCTTCTTGACTCTGTCTGACCCTCAAGGGATGGAACGGGTCGGGACAGTGGGTCGAGCCTAATCTACACACTATTTTTTTATAAATTACGTTTTGGTACCCAAACTTATTTTTTCTTGCAATTTAGTACCTAAAATTTATTTTTTTACAAATAAGTCCTTAAATTTGATGGGAAAATTACATTTTGGTACCCAATTTTTTTATTTTTGCAATTTAGTACCTAAACTTTTACAAAAAAAAAGGTCCAATGTGGTATGAGATATTTGTTGTTGTTAAGTGTCACAGGGTCAAAAAGAGATCCGTCCCTAAATTGACCCGACCCTTCCCGACCTTTACAGGGTCAAAAGCTGACCCGTCCCTAAACTGACCCTATAGACAAACTGACTCGTCCCGACCCTTAGGGACGGGACGGACTAGTGGATTTTCAGTAGGGCTGGCTATTTGGACCGGGACCGGATGAAAAACCGGAAACCGGACCGTATAACCCGGACCGAGACCGGACCGGGACCGGATAGTAAACAATCCAATCCAATCTTTGGGCTTAGATTTGAGGTAAAAAACCGGATAAAGACCGGATAAGAGAGCTCAACACCCAAAACTTAAGGGTAATTTGCATAAACGGTCACAAACCTTTACACTTAGTACAAAACTTAACCAACTCCTCACCCTTTTAGGCCTTAGGCCACTCAAATTCCCACAATCTCAATATAAAATCAAGACCGAATTGGGACCGGACCGGGTCAAGACCGGACCGGATCAAGACCGGACTGTATCCAATCCAATCTTCGGTCCTTATATTCTCAAAAAAACCGGACTGGACCGGATCAATTTGGGCCAATTTAACCGGACCGGACCGTATAGCCACCCCTAATTTTCAGGGTCAAACTTACACCCCCCTACGTTATGGACGTACCACTAGGCACGTTGTAGCCATGTTGCCTGAGCAGTCGAAACCGGAGTGCGATGGTGAAGAGGTCCTCGTCGATGTTATTATTTGGATGATGATGATAGATCTCCTGGAGTTGCTCTTCGATCTCTTCGTCGAAATGGTAACCGATGCCTAGCCTCTCCACCACGTCGATCAGTCTCAGCTTTTCCGACGACGTCGGAGGAGGAGCTGACAGCAGCATCGCCTTCACGTTCTCCTTCAGCGCTTCGATTCCCGCGTTCCAGCCGTTTACAGTCTGCATGCCATGCAAATATAGCACGTAGAGCAGTTAGAGAAAAAAAAGTTGGTATGTATATAATTCTACCACCATGCCGCCAACGGTTCGGCTGGTATTTAGGGTTTTACCTCTTGGTCGTTGAAGACATGGGTAAGGAAGAAGTCGGCCCAGACAGTTGGGTGGAAATCTGCGGTCCGCCTTTCGTGAGCAGTTGCAGCAGCAGCACTTGTAGTGTTATTGCTGGAGCAGGCCATATTATCTCGGAAGCAGTGGCTTCTATAACTTGTAAGTTGGGTGAGTGAGACTTGGCCTTCTCTGTACGTCCAGCCCTTTATATAGTAACTTGCGGTGAAATGAACTTACCGTTTTGGCCCTTGGCCGGCCGACAACCTGCATTATTATAGCAGATCTTTGATTTTTTTTAGGTAACTATTTGCACATTTGTCTCAATGATAATTTGTGGGAGCGGTTTGTATAATTGTGAGTGAGATCGACGGTTCTTTTTGTTTCTTCCGGGAATCAGCAATCTTGGAAAATGGAAACCCCCATTCTTAGTTAAATATATATCACACGGGAAATTAATTAATTGGATTTTATTTTTTGGCCAACTCTTTTTTATCATAACTCGAGTTGTTTTCGTCAAAGAAAGGTAAATCATGATTTCTTTGCCCAGCTCTTTCTATCGTGGACCATTTGATCCCAATAGTTAAATTTTGAAGAGAGATCATTTTGATTTCGGGGGAAATTATTATATATGTGAATTCACTGCATGCACGCTTACGTACCACTAGGCACACTGTAGCCATGTTGGCGGAGAAAATCGAAACTCGAGTGCAATGGTGAAGAAACCCTCATCGTCATTACAGTGTTGTTTGGATGAATTCCATGCTCTCGGATTTGCTCTTCGATCTCTTATTCGAAATTGTTATAAACGCGCTGCTACGGATCGGGAAATCGCCGGAATCGACAAAGCAAGAATACGAAAACGAGAATCGAAAACACGACACACGATTTACGTGGTTCACTAACACGATGTGTGCTAGCTACGTCCACGGGCGAGAGAGAGCCAGTTTCACTATATCGAGGAGATTACAGATTACAGAGGAGTATGAGAAGTATTTATAGTACTTCTCCATGTGGGTCTAAACCTAATTCAATCTGACAAAGGAAACGGTTACAGACCAGGCCCAGAACCCGAACCCAAATAACATTGAGCCCATACACCGTGGGCCCGGGGCGTTGCCCCCCACCCCAGCGAGACCCCCGATTATCAGTCGTAGCGGCTGATAGTCCGATTCAAGTCATATCAACAGAAATGGTGACTCTTTGATCCGAAATCAGTAAAGCACGAGTTGATGATTGAGATAGGATAAATGTCTAATTTATAAATTTGATTGCTTTACAGTTGTTTGGGTTGGTGTGCATAGCCTTTAGTTATGCAGTAGTCCATATTTCATCATAAACATTTCTTCCCCTCAAATCTAACTCATTGGATCAATTTGTGGAGATTTGACAATTGACACATGCTATCTATTTGGATCCTGATCCTGATCATCCTTTCTCCTCAGTCCTCATCCGTATAGGATGATTGGCAAAGAATGGGCCGCCTTGGCAGTTTGGGCTTTTGATTGCAAATTTGCAATCTTAACCAAACAGCCCGCAGCGGATCACAGGAGCGTTGGGCTTGGGCAGGGGAAAATGGAAAAAATAAAAAAAAATGTTTTAAACCTGCAGTTATTTACTGTGTTACTATTAAAATATGCGGCGGGATTGAATATGTGTTGTTGGGGGGAAATTGTAATTGACTCGAATCGAAATCCACAACGAATGGGTCAATCCTGGTAAGACGGAGCGGTCCAAAGAGCTCATAGGAGAGACCTTAACCCACCAATTCGGGAATTGGGCCAAGGCCCATTCACAAGACAAAAGACGCAAAGGTAAAACAAAGCCAATTTACGAGTTTAAGATTTGCACATGCAAGTCATAACCAAGGTTTTTTAAGACAACACTTAGGGGTCGTTTGATTCATGGATTTAAAAATGAGGGTTTTGTAATTTAAAAACCCAAGAATTTATCAAGGATTTGAGGCATCATGGATTTGTAACAATCTTTTGTTTGTTGGGATGTTTTTATCATGGATTTAAAAGTGTGGGATTTACTACTTAAAGTCAAAAATTACATTACTGCCCTTTTCTATATGTTTGACATGTTTATGATATGTACACAAAACAAGGACAAAACTTTAAAATTACCTTACTATCATTTTCTATATGTTTGACATGTTTATGATATGTACACAAAACAAGGACAATACATACTAATAAGCATAATGTTGCCACATGGACAATAATAATAAACGAGAAAATTCCGTTTTAACTTTTAACGTAACATAATCAATTACCAATTCTTTGTCCTCCTTTTCAAAAGTGACATATAACAACATATATTAGAATCGGGAGAACAAAGAATTACACGTTGCATGAAAAGGTCAAAGAAAACTAAAACACAAGAAATGATATAAAAAATCTAACTCATGTTTGCACATTAATTGAACGTTTATATTATTCATTTATTGTTAATTATAATGTATAATAGTTAAATTTGAGGACAACCTTGGAATATTAAAAGTGCATGAGGGTATATGGGTAAAATCTCATCAAGGATTTATGCCATATTTCAAATCCCACATCAACATGTGGGATTTATAAGTCCGTGGGGTCCACGGATTTGGACCCTTAAAATCCGTGGGGCCCACGGATTTGGTCTCCAAAAAATGTGCAAGCAAACAACGGATTGTACCTAAATCCTTGATAGTTGGTTTTTTGGTACCAAATCCATGTACAAAATCCTTGAAGCAAACGATCCCTTAATTTTGGAGGTTGTGAGGAATTGAGAATTTGAATACGTGACATTAATGATAAAACCAGCTCTAATAACATGTTATAAACCAACTAGTGTCAATAATTTGAATTATTTGCGAGAAATCCATATATGATATGGTGTATCCTCGTAAAATATATTGAAACTAGTATCTCCGGAATCTTTTCACGAATTAGCTAACGCACATTAATTAATGTGTCAGTGCTTTTGCTGTGTCGATTTCCTTATAACATAGAAACAAGCTCACATAATATAACCCTCACAAAACCAAAGAGTCACAATAATACCAAGAAACACGTATGGCTGGAGTTGACAATACAGTGCTAGCTAGCCAGCAGCCTTATTCTTGGGCACCATAAAAAGGATTAACATCACGAGCACATACATAGTTGCTACACAATTAAGTTTCCCATAATTTCTCAGCAGTGAGTACAACCTTAACTTAGTTCCATGGGAGTGACGAGCAGAGCAGTCATCATTTCATGGGTGGTGGTGTCGGAGAAGGTATAGCTGTCGTAATCCTTGTAGAGAACCTCCATCACCCTCGCGAGCCCGACAAACATCGAGATAACTTCCTTGGAGATGAAATCGGGGCGGTTTACCATCAAACACTCTTGGTTTATGACCTTCCAATCGTCCTCTATCATCTGATTCAGTGCATTAACCGCCTCGACTCTCAATACCTGGTGCTGCTGCATGTAGCACTCCACTGCCGAACATACATGTCCTCTTTTCTGCTCGAACTACATACATATATTCGCCCGAAAAATGGTTTAAAAAACAAAACTTACTAGCTAGCTAGTGGCAATACGACGTGTGTATGTTAACGATGAATGAATATACCTCGTGAGATACGATGTCATCCATAAGGCGACAGATATCCGCCACGGCGACGAGGATCTTGGGATCGGCGAGCAGCCAATCGAATGCCTCCTTTGGTCCCTTGTCACCCATGCCGGCGAGGGCTGAGTAGGCAAGTAAAGGGTAAGTACAAGAGTAGATCCCCAGGCGCCGGTATTCCTCTATCGTCGGAACTTTCCCTTCCGCAAACCATCTCGCTTCTGCCATGTATGCTCTCATTTGATTCTTCTCCTGCAACAAATTAAATGGTTATTAATTAATGATCGTAGTAATTAATTAACTAATTGCAATTCAATTCAGTTAATTACCGCTTGCTTTCCGTAGTCCAAACAGTAGGGCCTTCCTTCTCTGCTAGTAACCGTGTCTATTTCGTCCATGAGACCAATAACTGCGTCATAAAACAATCTCATGTACTCGGGAAGATCCTTCATGCTGGTGTCCCACCTATTAAATTAATTGATCGATTCTTAGGACCAGATCCAATCCATCAATCCAATATAATTCATCAAACTTAAATATTCAACCAATTCAATTCATTTAAATTCAATCCTTTTGATCCAATCCGGCCAATTGGATGGGTGGATCCATAGAATATTGCGCGAAATTATAATTTAGTGACTATACTTTTTATGCATTACAATTTGGTTTATTTTTTATACAAAAACATCATTAGAAAATTATGTTTTGTTACCTGAAATTTTTTTCGATTTTCATAATGACATTTTAGTATCTAAACTTTTTTCAAAATTTACTTATTGGTTCAATGTTTAAATCTCACTTGGATCCATGATCCAATCCACCAATCCATACGATCCAATCCATGATTCCGCAAATCCATACGATACCATCTATTTGTTACCTCAGAATAGAATGATATACCATGCATCATCGGATCGGATCGTACATGCATGCAATGATAAAAGTTTACCTCTCAACGGTAGCGGTGAACAGCTCGAGTTCGTCGATCGTACCGTGCACGTCGTAGATATCATCATTGATGGACACGAGCGTGGTGATTTTCGTCAGAAAGCGCCTAGCCACAGCAAATTTGGGCTCCCACAGGGCTCCCACTCCCCAAAAGTACACCTCGATCAACCTGTCTCGTGCGAAAGACAACTTTGTCGCAAAGTCCAAGTCGATCCACCACCTAATGAAAATAATTATCATCACAGCTAATTAATTAATAAAAAAGAAACCTATTATGGGGGAAATTCAAAAAAAAAAAAAAAGCGACACGATCGATATAGTAGTAGTACTGAGTGATGCTCCCGAGTTCTTGCTGGTACAAATGTTGCAGGAAATTCCAGCTCAGCTTGGCCAGCTTCAGGAGAATGGGATGGTGACCTTCCATCTGCTCGTACACAGGGATGAAGAAGAGCTGCTCGTGCCTCTCCACGCCTTTTCGCAGGGGCCTCTTCAACGTACGAGCAACCCGTTTCGCCACCAACTTATAACGCTGTTGATCATCACCATCATCATCATCATCATCAACCAACTGCCCTTGGGACGATTGCTCGGTAGTGTAGTTCGTCAGTCGAGCTCTCGCGAACTCGATGGCTTGGTCTAGTATCGTCTCTCCATGCATGCGGAGATGTGCAGCTTCGTACAGGCCCATCATACCTTCCACGTCGCTCCCCAGCTCCTCCTTGAAGGTTCCTCCTTCTTCTTCATCTTCATTGGTCTGGAACCTCTTGAATATGTCTGCATGCAAGTGCGATCGATCGAGGAGGACACATGTAACATTTGAGAAACATTATAACGACGCATATTGTTAAAAGTTAATTTTAACAACTACGTACGTACGCACCACTGGGCACATTGTAGCCGTGTTGCTGAGCAGTCTGAACTGGAGTGCAACGGTGAAGAGGTCGTCGTCGTTGTTGTCATTGTTATTCGGATCATGTTGATTCCCATGATAGATCTGTCGGAGTTGGTCTTCGATCTCTTGTTCGAAATGGTAACCGATGCCAAGCCTCTCCACCACGTCGATCAGTTTCAGCTTTTCCGGCGTCGTCGAGGGAGCTGACAGAAGCATCGCCTTCACGTTCTCCTTCAGCGCTTCGATCCCCACGTTCCACCCGTTTACAGTCTGTGACGGTTATATATATATTCTGTTTTAATTACCTGTTGGTCACTAAAAAGACACGTTATATATTCTGCTATATTTTGTTTTTACCTCCTGGTCACTAAAGACATGAGTAAGAAAGAAGTCGCCCCACACGGTTGGGTGGAAATCTGCAGTCCGCCGCTCTTGAGCTGCAGTAGTCGCAGTTGTGCTGGAGCCGGCGGCGGCCATATCGATCGATGGTTGGCTCGCAGTTTGGTTTGTTTGGGGTGAGACCTAACAATTCACTGTCCGTCCTTTATTGTCTAGATTTCGTTTATGGGAAGGAAAAGGAAACATGGGATGCTATATATAGATAGGCTGATCTTCAACAGCTTGCGTTTTCTTCTCTCTAGTGTTAGTAATTTAACCTCGTACATTAATTATCACCCACTTCGGCCAAAGAGCACTTGCTCGCTCACCCGTAGACTAAATGTGAAAAGTATGATGACCATGGCACTAACTTTTTTTTTTATTATTATTATGGAAAATCTTATATTCGGTAGCCATGGTAGAATTCATTCGGATTACGGGGACATGTACTGATGTACATGACAAACCCGAGTGTATTCAAACCATGTTTCGTTCCTTTGATTTTATCGTTTTTTTTTTCTATTTATTTTAATCAACGGCTAAAAAATTAATTTTACACGATGTAATGGTTTAGATCTATTAAAATGGCCTAATTTGATACTAAGCCGAAGCTACGATACGAAATCTCCAAGAGTATATTATTTGAAATTATGCGGATTATGAGAATGGTTGTTGGCGTTTACATGTACGGTTTATTATAACCTTCTTTTTTTTTTAATCCAAGATAAGTCCATCGGGCATGGCCGGACAACAGGAATACAAAAGATATAATAATAAAGAACGGTAGCCCGTATGCAACCGGACTCCCGATAAAAGAGCTTGTTATGCCACTAATGGGCAGCTCTAAGAAAGCTCCAAAGAGCGGAAAGACACGAAACTGACACGGAGACAGGAAGTGAGAAAAAATTTCCCTGTAAATGGCTCCGGCTAAAAAAAGGGAAGACTTCCTCGATGTAAGGTCCATGATGACCAGTTGAGAATCCCCACAACATGTGACAATCAATATATTATTAGTAAGCATTAATAATACCATAATAGGATTTAACAAAATCAATTGAAAGAGTTCCATAACCTTAGAAGTTGACGGAGCCTCTAGCCATCCCTGAGAATTTTTTTTTTTTTTGATAACGAGGAACACCCTCCACGGTCACCACATTTTGTGGTGCCGTAGTCGGGCTAAACCCCGGGACCTCCGCCGGCGGTCCGGGTGATAGCGGGATGCCTCCGGGAACACCATGGTGGCGGTGAGGATCGAACCTAGGACCTTATGGTCACCAGTCCGCCTCCCTTACCACCAGGCTATGTGACCTTTGGCATCCCTGAGAATTCTTTAGAAAGACTAAATAGCTATTGAAGAGATAAACTCGAGACTTGCTTTCGTCACAAGTTGAAGATGTGCTCGACCAAAATAATTAAACAAAAGAAAATAAATAATGAAAGGAACATTGTAGAAACAATCTATATGACAAATCGCCATGAATCTTTGCTAGATTTCGTTTGTCTACTTAATTAGATGTACCTTTCACCATCACTTAGTGGTTTATATGAGAAATAAAAAGTGCATTATTATGCCATCTTTGTTTTCTAGGGTACGTACTACTTTGCTTATTTATCTAATTATTACTGGTTTGTTTATTATATTACGATATAGGAAGTGCCTTATCACCTCAATCTTTGCTTTTTCAGGAAACTATTTGCACATTTATGTATGCATACATATGTTGGTAATGATTCCAAATTCATGTGGGAGTTGGTATTTGAATTGGACACTCGTTTGTTTCTTCTGCGCACTCAGCAATCTCGATCGTTGGAAACCCTTTCATCTTGCAATTGGTGGAATACCACTGTTGTGGAAATGCTCTAACAATTATACGAGCACCCACTATCCTAAGGTAATGATGAGCATGATATTTCATTTTGGAATCGTGTCCAAATTGTTAGAATGAATTGACTTTAAAAGTTCCAAGCAAGGCAGGACCCTAGTCTTCGCAACCAGATCGAAGCTAGGGTTCGCGTTCATCGCGAGGAAGGAGAAAGGGCATAAGAGAGAGGGTATCCGGAAAGTGAATGAACCTTTCAGAAAGAGATCGAAACATCTGATTCCGATCGAACCACTAGGAATTTCGGGTTTTAACCGGAATTGATCGGTTTTGAACGTAACATCCTGCTGGTGACATTCCAGTCAATTTCATCATCGACACCGATTCAACTTGGTTCAACCGACCGACATGCCACTGACATGACAACTATGCTTTATTGATCCACTGTAAATGCTGAGTGGAAGCACAATGCGATATTTGGAAGATATTATTTATAAAAAAAAAACCAAGAGTGTGAACACTCCAACTCATATCATTAACCGCTAAGCACTAGCATTCAACACTACCTTAAACTTTTTTTTAATATTTTTATAAAACACCATCTTAAAGTATTAGCCAATGATTGATTGGGAAGATGGTGGAAGTAATCTAGCAAGTGCCACCTTAAAGTTTCTACAACCAATCATGGTAATGGGAGGCTCTTTACACCCACTGTGAATATATGCAAAGTGGAAGCACAATGGCAGATTTGGAAGATATTTATTAATACTAAAAAAAATCAAGAGTGGGAAACTTCCAAATCATCCTACCATTAAACACTAAGCACTTAAGTTAACACCATTTTAAAGTTTCTAGAACCCATTATGGTAATGGGAATATCTTTACACCCACTGAGGATTTTCCCCCCAGATTGCTCTATTTAGTAAACAATATCCAAAGATTGTGACTTATTCCTTGAAATACCCGAGTATGCATGCATGCACGTCATTTTTGTGTTTCTATGCATGGATATTATACCATTCTCTGAGTTTTCCATACCTAGCTCTCTCTTATACTAAGTAACTATTGGGATCTGGTGGTAACAAATTGTTGCTGCTAATTACCTCTGTGGTGAAGAGTACTCGATCGGGTAACTAGCAACTTGTAGTTATTAAGTTAGGTTTTGTTTTGTTCTTTGTATTTGGCTTAGTAAGTACTCTGTTTAATACGTGTCTATATGGTCGTACGTATCTTATGTGTTTAATTAAAGCCTCTATTTTCGTTTTATTGGCTAACCTTTTTATATTTATCCACCCATTTGATGGCTCTCGTACTAAACACGCCGTAAAACACATTTAATACTTATATTTAATGAATTAGTGAAGGCAAGAAAGCAAAGCAGCTAGCTGGGCGTTAGCTAAGGTTGGGTTGGGACAAGGGTTTCATTCTTTCTATTAGAAAAAAAAAAATCCCTGTGAATGAAGAGTGGAATCACGATCACTTGGTCAAAAACTCAAAATATTTTTTATATTATGTCAGAACCGTTTAGAGGTTCATGAATGAATCTTATACACTCTCATACAACAATAAGCATACGGATAAAAGACTTCTTAGTGTAAGGTTCTGATTGATAATTAAGAATCTACAAAGGATATCGTTATAAGAAAATCAATCTCTCTTGACTCGGGAGAAAATTGGGTTATCGTTAATGCTTTTAGAGGATGGATCTTCAAATTGTTTATTAGTTTTTACTAACTTCATTTTTTCTTGTTCGAATTGGTTGGATGATAACTTTGAGACTTACAATTTTTAGAATATGAATTCCATCCTGCAACAAAGAAACTGAATCATACCTCTATTTCTTTAATAAAGATCGTAAGGATGATAATTACTTTGGAAAATATTATTATAAAAAGCATTTAAGTACTTCTGCAATGACTTCCAGTCGATGAAAGATCATTCGATTCAAATCATATCAACAGTAGTAATGCTTCACAACTATTATTAGATTGAAATCACATTACAAAACAAGTTATTTATTAACAGTCATAAACGATACGTGATCATCAACTCCTCATGCATCCTTATGATGTGAAGGGGAAATGTCTATTTAAGGTCCATGGTAAGGGATGGGAATGAGATACAAATTATTTTTGCGTGAAACCGTAACTCCGAAATCTTCAGACATGTCAAGATCTCGAGGTTTCAATTGGTTTGGGAGTTTCCAATCAAAATGGTAGAGCAGATTCATGAGTAAAGCATAAACAACAGCAATCCCATAGTCCATGCCAGGGCACACCCTCCGTCCACCTCCAAATGGAAAGAGATGGGAATCGAAACCCTTGTAATCGATGTAAGTGTCGAGGAACCTTTCCGGTATAAATTGATCCGGGTTCGTCCAGTGTGAGGAATCCCTAGCGATGGCCCAGTAATTGACTATGACCCTTGTCTTTGTCGGTATTTGGTATCCATCGATCACAACCGCTTCTCGACCTTCTTTCGGAACGGACAAAGGAGCGAGAGGATGCAATCTGAAAGTTTCTTTAACGACCGATTTGAGATACTGCAGTTCATCGATGCACGCTTCATCTACCACTTTCCCTCTCTTGTCGAACAGCTGCCTTACCTCTCTCTGTACTTTTACCATCTTCTCCGGATTCCTCATCAGTTCAGACATGACCCATTCCACCGTAAGAGGAGAAGTGTCACCGCCAGCCACGAATATGTCCTGCAATATGTGTATGTATCAACTTAAACCATATAAAGTCACCATTTACATGTATTACTACACACACAAATACGTACCATGATGATTGCTTTAACCTCGACGTGGTTGTAATTAGTGTAGGCCAGGAGCATATCAACTAGATCTTCATCATCATCTGCTTCGGCTGTGTCAGAATACTCTGTTTCTCTTCTTCTTCTCGATACATGCTCATCAATTAATCCTTGGAGGATGACATCTGCTTCTTGGTGAATCTTTTTCAGCCGTCTCTCTGCTCCACTAATTATAAGCAACAACCTGTAAATCAAAAATTGTACATATAGGAGATATGTTATACTCAGTGGTCTAGCCAGAAATTCATCTAAGGTGGGTCAGAACGTGGAAAAAAAAAATATATATATATAACGTATGTTTCAGGATGTGTTCATGTTTAAAATTTTTTACTAAAATACATTCATCGTGCAAATTATGAGGATGTTAAGATATACCATAGCGAAAAATTGTTCATAATTCCACAACTCGTCTTGCTTAGAAGTATTTCTTTACTCAGCTTATTACAGCAAGTGCACTTTCAACACTTGAATGAGAACCGATAGCAACAGACACCCCTAAGTTTCGTTTTTTTGTTTATACCGAACTCACTTACATAAAATATGAATTAAAAGTTAAATATAGATCGCAAAACATTAACGGGCATTATTCCGATTTCAAATCCGTACTGGATCAAACCAAACCAAACCGAATCGACCCGGTCGCAACCGGTTAATTAGCTTTACCTGTTGGAAGGGAAGATGTCCCCGATGTTGAACCCACCAACCGCTCTCAGGATCTGACGCGCCACCGGCAGGAAAGACGACTCCAGCTCCCTGACCTTCCCAAACGCCGTCCTCGACGTCATCGCATTGCCCACCGCGACCAGCAGCTGGTGGAGGTTCACCGCTCCTCCGGCAGGCTCGCCGCCAATCAGCTTCACCAGCTTGCCGATCTCTTCGTCTCGAATGGGCCGCAGCGACTTGACCCGCTTCTCGCTCAGCAGCTCCATGGCCAGGAGCTTCCTCATCCGCCGCCAGTGTTCCCCGTCGGACGAGAAGGCGATGCTCTTGCCGCTGTAGAAGAGGATGCTGGCCGTCGGCATGTGAGGCCGGATGGAGAAGTTCTGGTCGTGCGTTCTCAGGTACTCTGTCGCCGCTTCAGGGGAGGATAGGACGACGTTGGATGTCTCGCCGAGCTTGAGCTGCATCACGGGGCCGTATTGTTCGGCTAGCTCTGCCAAACGGCGGTGGATTAGGGCGGAGGAGAAGGCGAGCTGGTGGATGTTGCCGATGATGGGGAGCTTCCATGGCCCTGGAGGCAGGGGAAAGGAGGATGCTCTGTTTTTGTTGCTCTGCTTCTTGTTCTGTTTCTTGAGGATGTATATGGTTGAGAAAAGGATGATTAGAATGGTGATTAGGATGATGATTAGTGGTAGTGGAGGCTTATTGCTTAAGAGGATCTCATAAACTTGTTCCATTTTCTGTTCTTCTCTGTCTTTCTCTCTTTGTGGTGGTGCATGCTAAATCCCTCTCTGCGTTTGTGTATATATATATATATACATGGACCAGATTGGCGTACGTCAGGCGTATATTATACGTCATGTACTACTAATGAGATATCTCTATCTAGATCATGAAGTAAATCGAGTTTGGGGTATAATACTATACCCTAACCTCTAATGGATAAACCCCAGACACCGATTTTCTAAACCCCAACCCGAAGTTTGATTTAATGAAAAACAAAATTGACCGATGAGATCGGCCGGAGCTCATCTAAGTACATCTAACGATTAGATCACCTAACGTATACGATTCGCCTGACGTACACCAGTCTGACCCATGTCTAGCAAAGATGCATGGCGATTTGTCATCGTGTTAATTATTTATACATTAATCTTCCCTTATGAAGAGGACATGAATCAATTTATTAACAGACCAAATAGGTTAGAAATCTGTCAAATTTGCCCTATCAGCATTCCAACTCAGAATATATAAAATAACTAATAATACACCAAAATTCTACCTATACATTCCACCTAACCCAACCTATACAAAATGATTATGGTTCATTTATCCTCGTGAAGATAACATAGTCAGTCAATTGACTTGGGACGATATTTTCTAAAGTAATTATTATCCTAACGATCTTTATTAAGGAAACAGAGAGGTATCACTAATCATTGAGGTAGGATTCAGTTTCTTTGTTGCAATGATGGGATCTGTCCTGTTCACGTTGTTGCATGTATCTACAAACTATAAACCATCATCAGTCCATTGCAAATGCATTGTCAAGAATAGATTAGCTAGGTAAATTGATCTTTCCACAAAACATCATAGTAGCATTTTGGAGCAAAATTATGCGTTATTTGTGAACGTGGTATTTCTGTGTTATTTCAAAATTATTATAGTTTTCAATTATGCCTGTATTAATTTAACTATAGAAAGAACATTGCTATTACTTATTGAAATCCATCTTTGAAAAATGTAAGTGTCGAAGTTATCATCCACGACACTACAAAAAAGCTGGCTTTTAGCGACGAAATATTTTGCGACGGAGGTTATTTCGTCGCAAAAACTCGACCTATGGCGACGAATTTCAGAATTTCGTCGCAGAATGTCTCAAAATCCATCGTGTTGTGGGGTAATGAATTCGCGACGACTATATACTTTAAAGCGACGGTATTTTCTGTCGCAGAAGAATTATTTATATTTGGCGACGAAATCTATCCGTCGCGGAAGATGTGCGGATATTGTGCGACGAAACATTCATCGCGAAAGGTCATGACTGCTTTTGCGACGACCTGTTGCGTCGCCAAAACCGTGCATGATTAGCGAGGAAGAGCTCCGTCGCAGATTTAAGATAAAACGGCAACGTTTCTATTTTCCCAAAAATTTGTTAACCGGCTAATTGCCTAGAACTATGTCGTTTTGGCTGAAATCATTATATTACATTTGTTTCTCTCTTTATTTAAAGCCTCTTATTACCATCAATTGCCTTCAATCTGCGTATGAATCCCTAGCTCTCCCAAACCGAACCCTAGCCCCCAACTCCCCTAAAACCCCTGGCCCCCAACTCTTAGATCCAGACCCCTCGCCGTGGCCGCCATCCCCATCCCCATCATCCACATCGTGGCTGGGTGGACGGAGTTGCTGGAAGCTGCCGCTGCCACAACCTCTTTCAAGGTTTTCCTGTCGGCGTCTCCACTCGCTGAGCAAAGTTGGTGTCGCTCCCGTAGTGACGCCGATGTTTGGATGGAAGTTCGACTACCACCACTGTCCTCTCCCAAATCGAATACCTCCGCCGCGAATCCCCTCCCTCATCAAGTCTCTTCACAAATCAACTACCTCCGGCTTTGACAAAGAAGCTAGGTACTCGCATCTTTTCCTTTTGGCACTGAACTATGGATTTGATGTAAAACCCTTTATGTATTCAGTTTTCTCATGCTTGATTTTTGGTTTGATTGATCCAAACTGGCTGTTTAATTTGCAAATGGATTATCAAACCTGCTTGTCTTGATTTGAATTCTTGATGCGTTTGCGAATTTGTGTTGTCTATTTCAAGTGGTAGATGATTCTTGAAAAAGATGGATGATCAGTAGATGATTAATCTTCAACTTGGGTTGAAAATATGCATAGATACAATTCCATTTCCTTATAAGTACATGCCCCTGCGTTACTTTCTTTATTTGTTGTTTGGTTTTGCATGCTTTGTTGTTTCTATTTCGTCAGGATAAAGAAAGATGAAGCTGTATATTGAGACCTTGTGATTATTCTACCATACAGTACTAGCAAGTTTGTTGGCGAGGACAACGAAAAGTTTGGAGATTAGTTTTTATCAATTTTGAGACCTTTTATTTATTCGTTTGAAGCAAAGCTAGTTTTCTTCCATTTACTCTTGTTTGAGACTCTAATACTTTCTGTTTAGTAAAATGTGATTCAACCTAATGACCCCTGATAGGTATTTTTATATGATTTGGTTCTTCTTTCTAGATAGTCATTCGCTCATCAACTTGATTGAACAGGACAACAAGGCTCTACAAGATTAAAAAAAACTAGCAGTGGCTAATGACAATCTGGAAAGGGCTGAACAACTACAAAAGTTTGAGAAGATTGCTGATTTCTTTGTGGATAAAGGCATCTGTGAGGGTCTAGACCTCTGGTACGTGAGAGTGGTCTATTCTGCAATTCTTCCTATCTTTATTGTAGTTAGATTTTGCATCTCGGTGGTGGCTAATAATATAGATAATCACGTTAGCTAGGTAGCTTAATTTAGTTAGTTAATTGCGTGTTGGAGACGATAAAGCTAGTGAAACTGTATTTTATATTAAGTGGGTAATGTGGTGACTTCGGTGAATGCATAGGGGTAGAAGGATGGATAACATAGTCCCAGTTGTTCCTGTTATCTTCTCGCCTTCTTTTATATGGAAAGCGTGGGATTTTGGTTGTAAACTTGGTCAGGGAGTATAAGGGTTAAGGAGGATATATTTGGAGCTTTGATTCTTAGGATTTTGGCTCTGGAAAATTGACTACTAGTTGAATGCAAGCTGGGAAATCATTAATCTTATTTCATCTTCTTTCTTTTTGTTAGGATGTGGTAGGTGTTTTATTAAACTGTTGCTATAGTTTTAGATAGAATGTGTTTTTAGAGAAGCCTCAAATTGTAATGACTACATTACTATGCTAAGAATATGTAGAAACATTTCATAATTGTTTAAGAAAGCGCCCATGAAGATAAGCAAAAACTTGAATCTTGGTAGCTTGTTGCTTATGATTTGATTTTGTTGTCAATTTATTTTTATGCAGATTATCAAGTGATGGAGGGTTGAATACTTGCAGTGGACTACAATGATGATTGAAGACCATTTGAGCAATCAGTTAACTATTTTATTATTAGCCTCCCTAGTGTTACTAGTGATACAAAGGGAGCTTATACATGGTTGGTAAATGAGTTTTATTATTAGTCAATGTACAATTCCGTAATAGGGATAAATGAGTATACATTTACAGATTGTACATAAGTTATACAATGGTTATTTATAATATAAATGCTTCTTTATACAGACATGTTCCTGATTAGTAGTGTCTATATAAAAAGAACAAGAAATTGATAAATAAAAAATAAAAATTTGGTGACAAATTATTCGTCGCAAAAACCTGTAGTGACAAAAATATGTCGTCGCTGAAACATGTTTTGTGAGACAACCTTCCGTCGCGGAAAATCACAGTGACGGGTTACTTCGTCGCTGAATCCATTATTTGCGACAGTATATTTCGTCGCTGAAGCTTTTCTTCAGCGACGATCAACAAGGCTCGTCGCAAAATACTTCCTTTTGTGACGGATGATTTCGTTGCAGAAAGTTTGCTGTTTTGCGACGAATGTGGTTTTCAGCGACAACGCATCAAATTTCGTCGCCAATACCCTAGGGCGACGCGGTATATGCGACGAAGGGCAATAGCCTACGGCGACGAATACATTCGTCGCAAAGAGGAATTAGCGACGATAATTGCACTTGTAGCGACGAATATTTTCGTCGCAAAAGGGTCAGTTTCTTGTAGTGCGACCAACGACCCAATCAAGAAAAAAATTAAGTTTGTAAAAACTAATAAACAACTCATGAGCCTCTACCAACAACGTAACTTGAGTTCTTGTGGACTAAACGGTTCCGACATTATATCAAACCTAGATTGACCAGGAGGACGTGTGTTCGAATCTTCACGACATTCAATATTGACTGATGTATTGTAAAGTAAGAGAAAGGGTTTCCATCGAGAATGTTGAGTGCCCAGAAGAAACAAACGCATGTCGGATTCAAATACCAACTCCCACAAGAATTTGGAATCTTTGACCAACATATGTGTACATAAATGTGCAAATAGTTCCCTGAAAAAGCAAAAACTGAGCTGATAAGGCACTTCTTATTTAGTATAAAATGAACAAACCAATAATATATAATAATTAGATAAATGAGCAAGTAGTCCTTTATAAAATAAAAATGGCCTAATAATGCACATTTTATTTACTATATAAACCAATAAGTGATGGTGAAAAGTACATCTAATTAAGATGGGGTTCCTAGAAACTACTTCCACCATTTTCCCAATCAATCATTGACTAATATATTAGGATGGGATTTTATAAAATAAATAAAAAAAGTTTAAGATTGTGTTAAGTGCTAGTGCTTAGTGTTTAATACAACTGCACCACGCTCTTAAGAAAATATTTATTTATTTTAAAGTCGCCAATGGAACATTCATAACTCATAAAATCTAGCACCTTTTGTCGTTTATCGTGTTAGTTTTAGCACTCAATTATCAAATTTCTGACTTTTTTTTTAGCTTTTTTGGATGGTTATTGGAGAAAACTTTATGCTAAAATTTTAGCACTTTGATCCCCATTATTGGAAATGATCCCAAAGAATCCAACAATCGAAAGAGAAAGATATTAGCACCATACCAAATCTTGATGGGATCATGAGAT